AAAATCAACAATTCCCAGGCTACTGATAGTGGTGATAATGCATTTTCAAACACCACCACTTTCAGTCCTGGTCATTATTTTCATGTTTGATTCCCTTGTTACATGTTGTAATGTGTTGTTTTAAGATCAGATGTGCTCACACTGGGTGGCTCTATACAGTCAATGTCTTTTTCATTAGTTTTAAATTTTCTTTTTACACTTAAAAAGATTTAATTTGTTCGACTTTTTTCACATGTCACTGCCAAAAAATCCCCTTAAAATGGCATTCACATTTTATAGAGATAACAAGAGGCATGCTAATAACCAAATATTTACATTTCTAAAATCTGCCATTTTCCCTAAATTTCAGCGTAAAGATTTCAATAAATTCTTGTTTCTAAAGAATTAATCAATGTCTTAGGGGTAAAAAATTAATCTCATCCTATTTAACTCAATATTTGGACAGTACTTTATTTCTATACTTGTCATAGCATATGGTTGGACTTTAAAGTGACACCATGAAAAAATATTGCAGATTCATTTTAAAAAAAGGAGTGCATTTTTTTCCTCATATTGTTAATTTGTCACACAATGTTTAATCACCTCCTTAAAGAAGGTACAAATTTTGACCAAAGCACATCATTCATTATAGTAATAAGTGGCCAGAATGTCATTAATGATGATGAAGAATTAATGTCACGCAATTACTCAAACAGCTAAAAGATGTTTACTCAAAAAAACAACTGATAATTAAGGCTCAAATGACCAGTCAGTATAAATAAGTAGCGTTAAATGACCTGAAATTAGTGCTAGTTTTTTTCTCTATTAACATACATCAAAATGATTTTATGGAGAGGTAATTTGACAGAAATAAAAGGAAAGAAAATGATAAGAAAGGAGGAGAGTCCTTTAGTTTATTACTACAGGTCAGAGGGTAAGAATAAAATAGTTCATATTTCAGCAATAAGTATTGTATTTGACCCAAAAAATACAATTCAAAATGAGGAATTTTATTTTAAGATAATTGTCAGTGTTATTTTACACATGAAATACAGTATGGATCAGAAAATAGACTGCTTTTTTGACAAAAGATTGAGTTAGTCAAAATAATTACCATAGCAATGATGAGAAAATGAGGAGCACGATAATTCAATTCTTCTTTTTGAACAATGGTTGAACTTACAACAATATGATGACCAGTAAAAAATCAACAGGAATTATATTACTTTGTTTATTTTGAAACACGATAAGTTTAAATCTATTTTGCTTCCGAATTAATGACCTGAATAGGTACCTCCCATTTCGATAAAATCTGAAAAAAATTTAGCATTGAATTTCAATTTGGCTTCCATATCTGTTAAAACAGATTCAATTTGATACATTTTTATCATAAAGTAATAGAAGACTGAAGTGTTCTAGATCTGCCTGATTCTACACGGTAGTGCATTGTGGGAAAGAAAACGGCCCCTGGAAAATTTATCAAGTTAAATATCTTTAATTAAATTTGAAAAGTCAAAATTTTGTTTCACTGTGAAAAGAATCTACTTAACAACATAAGGAAATAATTTCATTTCTCTCATTCTGCGTTTAAATCCTTTCCATTGAAAAGAAATCCAATGTTAAGACTTGGAATAATAAAAATTCAGTAATTAAATTTTATAGCATAGTTACTGTGAGATATCTATAAAATCTATGTAACAGATCTTTACAGAAGTTAAATATCACCATGAAATTTGTGTATCGTTTGTAGTTGTCTCTATTCAAAACCCTATTCTTTTAGATAATACCAATTATGTTCGACACTCATCAAAAGGCTATTGTTTAGCATTAAATTCCGCTAGATCATATTCAATTAGATTGAATGTCTGTTGAACAAACTATGTAGATAAATCTAAATGATGGGGTTAAATTGGCAACAATGCCTGTAACAATTTTTTTGTCCTTTTTATAGACACAAGTTAAAACCTGTAATTATTGCCATTTCTAAAGCATGGTTAGATCCTCTGTGGGAACGTTTTCAGTCTAAAAATTTGCATTAAATCTAAATATACTTTATATATGGACAATGTCAATGGATTATTAATGGAAAGTACAGGTAAAAATTTCTATGTTTAGCAGTCTTTTAATTGTGACTTGATAAATATCATGTCAAGAAGGTTGAAAAGAACCAATTTGATTCTGTCAAGAGTGATGAGTAGTAAATTGACTGCATAATAACAAGGCGTATAGATGATTTTTTGGTTGACGAGTTAGCTTCATGCAATTATTATTAATGTTTCTTTTTTTTAATTCAATAAGAAAAAGCCCAGTGGGTGGGTATATGTGTGCAACATGCTTTGTCAATGTAGGTGCTAAAAGTAGCTCTAGGTGGAGTGATCAGGGTATTAAACCTTACACCTCTCTCAATGACTAGCTTTATATGGGTGGTAAAACTTAATGTAACATTTGTCAAAACTGAAGGGGAAAAAAAGCGATATATCCTTCTTAACAACAGATGTAGGAAGTCAATGTGTCATCTACGTTGACACTACAAGAAACTAAATGTATCTTTTTCATGAAACATCTTTTAAAATTGCCTTAAGTGTTTAATTTATTACATAGCCATGCCATTTCAGTGTGTCTGAAAAGACTTTGAACATAAGGCTATCAAACTGTCTCTGGACTAAAGGATGTGAGGGATTAGCCCCAGATTATCTCCTATTAAACATATATTTAGGGATCTTTTTGGAAAATCACCTGGGGTACAGCTGTTCTTAACTTATAAAAACAACAAGAAATTGGACTATATCCTTCTATCACACATTTTGTTTACACATTTTATATATACTTGGGTCTTAAGATTTAGAGGTGTTTAGATTTTGGTTAAGTTAATTAAGATTAAAAGATAACATTTACACCTTAATTGCACTATCCTGTACTGTTTTAGATTACATTAAAACAAATTTACTTTAATGTCTTTGATAAACCCATTAGACGTGTTTTTGTAGCTTAATTGAATTTCAGTTCAATCTTATTATTTTCTATAAATGCTTGTTTTTCAATTAACCTCCTCAAAAATTCTGCTAGACCGATTGAATTATACAAGGGGTCGGAATTAAATTAAAAGGTCGAAATAAATATTGAAAATTATTGAATACGATTTTTTAAGCACAATCAAGCAGATGATACAGCCAGTGTTCAATGTTTCTTTGAGCTTAAAAACACGATGACCCTAAGGTCAGAAAGGTTAATGAAATCAACAAGTCTGTGATTGAATTTTGGCCTTTATTTGGTAACAATTGTACTGGGCTCGGTGACAGACCTTCCCGTCGTTGAGGTGACATACCCGGATGATGTATGCACCATCTGGTCCCAGATATTACAATAACACAAGACACGTCTTCCATTCATAGTAAATTGATGAAAATCATTTCTAAAGCAACAGATCTTAATACTGTTCAACAAGTTTCGATCTGCGATTGTAATGAATAATTATGTAACTCAGTTCTTCATTTCCTCATGAATAGCTTGTTTTGTGAGTAATCTAATTATATTAAAAATAAAAACCACACTAATTTTCATGCATCTTATGTGAATGTTAAAGGATCAATTTCCACCTTTATCAAACACTTTACAAAACATCAATAACTCATCTTCAATAATCAATGTGAAATTTACACGAATGTTCATGCTGTCTTAAGAAGCACACACATCTGCTCATATAAGGAAATGATAACCATTAACTTGTATTAGTGCTGTGACAAAATACATTAACATTGTCACAAGTCTCATAAAACAATCTAAAACCTGGCAATTTATATTTCCCAATTTTATTTGTTTTCGATAAGGTGAATAGAATGTGGTTTAAAATGCAATGAAACACAGTGAAGAAATGAATAGGACTGCAGCTTTACAAATAAAGGCAGAATTTCACAAGGTGTAATTACAATTTTGTTCACCTTCATTGGAGATTTTAATAGGCAAAGAATTTCCACTTTGTTAATAGGTTTGGCGTGCGCTGCTATGGCCATTTAATTAAATGTACTTTAAGAAGTTTATAGAATCTCAAGATTTAACCTCAGGCCTGTAGGTAATACCCCATCATGTAAAGAAGGAAACATTGGATTTATCATTTGATCTTAGAATTTACATTTAAGATCAAAAGGTATACAATCAATGTTTATTACATAATACAAAACCTTGTGTGAACATCATAACAATCAGTAAATGAAATTATCCGTTAGCCAATCAGATTTCAGTTACAGTATAATGGGGTGTAGTAAATCGACCAATGAGAGAACAGGATACATTACTAGAGTACCTGGTTGAATGAAAAGAGGTGTGTTTGATTGATGTGAGAAGTGTGCCCAGTGTAAAGGGATCATTCATACCTCTTCTACTGTACAGTGTGGCTGTTATCTAAGAAGTTTGGACTATATATAAAAAATATTCATGACTTTGACACTTTATAGTGATAAAATTTGTTGACGCAGTAAGACTAAAAGTTTAAAAGGATAAAAAGAAAGAAAATTGACTTGTGGTATTTTATATATATACCACAGTGACATAAATATATGTGTGTGGTGATTTGTTTATGATCAAAGGTCTGACTAACTGTTCTAAATGGTTAATTTATTATATACTCAGACCAAAGATGGATTTATTGTTGCTATTGATACAGGTATTTTGTTTTTTACTGGTTTGATATATTGTGAGGAGTTTATGTTTATGTTAAACTTCTATGAAAGTGTTATGTGACATTGGGATTTTATTTTTTTAAAATCCAGTAAATTTTCATTCTTATATGATAATTATATATTACAAATACTTTATAATTTTGATATTTAAAAAAAAATGTCTGTATATTTATTAAAACAAGAAACAATTTTATTTTATTTTCATATGACTTGAGAACAGTTTGGGATGGATAACTTCTGCTTTACTTCCATCTTATTGTAACAATTATCATTTAAGTCATTTGTAGCAAATTAATAATGTTATAATAACAGCAAAGAAATAACAAATTATTTGTATAATTTCAGATCGATTACAGTCTGGTAGCATGGCAAGTAACGGTGGAGACTCAATGGCACCTGACGAGATGTACCTCATGCTTCAAGCTGATATGGTATGTACACACTTTTAAATATTTTTATTTTCTTTATAAAGATTTTTATATAAAAAAAAATCAGATATATTAACTTATTTCTTAAATTTCTCAGATTGTCAAATAAGTTTCAGTATTAATACACTGGTAGTGATTAAAAGTTCAAAGTTTATCAACCTGTTTCAATCTGGCCATTTTTTGTTAATTAACTGTTAACAATAAACATTGTATCTATTGTTACATACCTATTTAATTAACAACAATATGTTTATGAACCATTAATAATTTATCTCTCCCCAATATTATGTCACCTTCATCCTTTAATGTAGCCAGATCACACATAGATAAGAAATATTTCTCAAATTATTTCTACCTTGTACAATTTGATTGTCTGCTGATTAAATCTTCTTACATAGATAACCTCCTGTAGTGATAACTATGTTAAGAGTTTATCTTCCTTTATTACACCAGCCTCTCCAATAAGTAACTCCCTATAGGAAGTCAGCCAGTTATAATTAATTATGGCTGACCCCTAAGTGCAGCCTCTATTTAATCAACTCCTGATTAGACTACTCTCAGTGAAGGGTCCTAACCCCTAACATTTAATTATTTCATTAATATGATATTTCATCTCAGCTGCAGCAGATAAAAGTCTTGAATTTTTCAAAACTTCACTAATTTAACATTGAAGTGTTTAGGCATTGTATGAAAGGAAAGGTAACAAATTTATTGGTTAAGATACTTGAGACTTACTGAAGTTGAAAACTTTGCAGGCCGGCAACATCTATCTAAAAGTGTGGATCTAAGGCGTACTTTGATCAGTAACAAAAAACTAATGTTTGAAAGTCCACAATAATTTATGAACACTTCAGTTGTCATTCATTCAATAAGAAATGCTAGCAAAATATTTTTTTTACATTTTCAGTATATGATTAAAAACATTTTTTTTTTTCGGCATTCAATAAATTAATTTTGAGGATAGACTGTTGTCAGGTGATCATTAGAGGAATAGAGATTATGAAATGAAGCTTTAAAGTGCCCAACGCACTGGAAAAATTAACAGAAATGATTAGGGCACTCTTTGGTTACACTGATTGGTCCAGCAGTGGTCAGAGTCACCTCAGGTGTGAAGATGACCACCGATAACAAAATGGTCACTTTGTTGATCATCGTAATTGAAGCTAGGGTCAACTTCAATAAAATTATTTTTGATCTCGCACAAGTTATGTGCTATTTAAAGAAAAGCAAAAGGTTGGAAAAGGATAAAATTTATATGCTGATGAATAAATTAGTGAATGTTTAAAGGGATCCAGCTAGTTAACTGGCCAGTCTAGGGATTTATTGCTGCTAGGTCAAGATAGTAAAAAAACACTTAATGTGGGAAAATCAAACTTAAGCAGCCAATTGTGTTTGCCTTATGACCTTTTGTAAAACAGTTTTGTTAAACGAAAAATTATAATGTGCAGAATCTTCAGATCAACGTTTTGAATTAAATAATTTTTTACGATTTCTGATCCTCGTTAAAGAAACAGGTGTTGACACAGGTCATCTTTGATATCAGATTGAAATTAACAGTTCAGTAGGCTCTAAAAAATATATTTTAATGCAGAACGGGTAAATGAAATTAAATTTAAATTATCAGCGGAAGTCGGGATTAAAAGAACAATTTGCCAAGCAGGCAGATTTACGGCAATGAATGAATGAGACTGACGATTTGGCAAAAAGGGTTTAAGGGTTTTTAACACACAGGTTCTCCTTTTTTGACAAAATTATTGGCAATCTGGTAGACTGATGACTCCCCCTATTCATTGCTTATTATTATTATGCAAGAAACCTAATCTGCTACTAAAATAGGTTCAGAAGGGAAATCAGATAAAATCAGAAGCAGGTCAGTTTAACATGATCCTATGTGAAATGCACTGAAGGGATTACAGAAAAACCCTTGCTCTTTAAATAATCTTAATCATATAGTCTGTAGTCCTGCCTTCAGCGAAAAAAGGGATCAGTTTGACATTTAATCTTTTCAAAATATTAAAACCCACATATGGCTAGTTTTCATTAATACATTCAGATTTGGCCATGAAGGTACGGAAAAATACTAGTTTTTATATCATCGATTTTAATTATAATTTTTTTGAAAATGCAATATTTATATATTTGTATTTGTTACTTTCAGGTCAGCATAAAGCAGCAGGAACAGATATTACAATCAGAGATTGAAGAGATTGCTACAAAATTCCATAACCTTCTAGAAACTTGCGGTATTGACTCAGACACGGGCTCTGGAACTATGGCGCCACCATCAACTCCTTCCTTTTTAAAGACAACCTCAGGGTCACTGACACACGTCACAAATCTTGAAACTCCTACATTCCTGAAGCAGACGCCAGGAAGAACAACATATTCTCTGTCAGACAGCAGCGATGATGACGAGTCACGTTCGATGTTCCCCGACTGCATGGTTGATGCAGTCGTCAACAAAACAGATGGTCTTCCTCTAGATATTTCTACCCTCTCCAACAAAACATTGGTTGTTGACAGAAACTCTAACTACTTAGATTCTCCTCACAATGAGTCTAATGAGAACACACCTGTGATTGAGGCTATTCCAAGTCTAGAGAAAATCTCGCCAACAGATTCTACAACTTCTACATCATCATCCAGCAGTAGCTCACACAAAATGTCGTCTTCTGACGGATACCCAAAGTCAGATGAATCTTCAGACAATCAAATAGTGCCTGAGTGTTATGACCTTGATAAGGAATTTATGTATAGACTTAAGTATTATTCAGACTTTACTCTTGATCGTCAGAGAAAGATAAACTCTATGGTTGCTAGTTTTGGGGGCGCCTCAGATGGTGCTCCTTGTGCCGTGACTGAAGACATTTTGACTCGTCATGTTGAAGGCAAGGAATCTTCTCCAGAGAAACCAGTGTTTGTGAAACCTGTATTACCGCCACCATCAACAAGTTCTGGTTCTGACTATGTTTCTACACCTACTTCACGTCATCATTCACGTAAGGAACGTACTCGTCGTCAGTCAAGAACCAGCAGAAAACGCTCATCTCAACCTCTTGCCTCTTCTACAATGCTTGATGACAGTTTCTCCTCATCTGGCAGTAGTCGTGGTAGTCACAGAGGAAGTTCACTTATTCCAAAAGCTTCCTCAACAATGATTTGTGACTCTGGGTCTTCAAGTGGTAGTAGTCGTAGGAATCGTACAAATGGTTCTAATCCTCGTGCTTGTTCAACAATGCTTAATGAATCGTTCCTCTCATCAGGCTCGGCTGGATCTAGTGGTAGCAAGCACCGTAGTTCATCAATTCCAATGGCAAACTCTACAATGATTCATGATCTTCCTGAAGCAATTCCATATGTTGGTGAACCAACAATTTCTGTCATCAGACATCATAGTGACACAAATCTCAATAGTGATAATGACTGTGAAAGTGTTTATACCTGGTCTATTCATGATAGTGACAATGGCTCAGATAGGGATATTAGTTTGGAAGAATCTTATATGCGTAAAGTAACTAATAGTGCCAGGAAAACCTCCAATAAACCACCTCTGCCACCATGTAAGCGTGTTCGTAGTGGGAGTATTAGTTCTCGAGATAGTGACTGTGAAGTTAAATGCCAAGATCATCAATTACATAAACTTCTTGGTGAACCATGCTCAAAAACAATTCTTGAATCAGTCTCTGCCATTGAACCAAGTGAAACTTGCCGGGAAGGAATTTTATTTGTTGAAAGTTTATGTGATGAAACCACCTGTGCTGTGCCAAAATCAAACACTATTCCTCGTTCAAGCACGCGTGTCAAACTACAAGACAAATCAAGTGGGAGCTCATCAATGGAGGCAAGAAGGGCATCTTTGCCAGATCTTACCAGTGTATGCACATCAAATAATAATGACGATGTAAGTGTTCATGACTCTAGTTGTAGTATAAGTGAGGATGATATCACAGCAATGTCGGAACGTCCCGACGTTCAGGGAAAATCTAGCTCAAGCAATGACAATCCTAATGCAGGCGGAATATCTCATGGAAGTGCTAATGTTGACTCAATTCTTACAGACAGTCCCACTAGTGTATGTAGTAGTGGTATTAACGCACCATACAATTCCCCAGGAACCAATGCCAGTAGTAGTTCACGTGTAAGTTGTTCTACTACCAGTGACGCACGATCCTCAGACTCTAACATTAACACTCGTGCTCCACCAGTCACACTCGTACCCAGAAATATTCCAGTGCCTCAAAATTCCCCCAAAGTTCAGAACATTGAAATCCCAGCAAACACAGAAGGTGCAGTGTTTAAGGTCCCAAAACAAACTCAACCTCTCAGAAACTTGTTCAGATTTAGACGTAAGAGCAAAACTCCCGATATGAAAACATCAACTCCAAAAGAATCTGTTAGAGGGGCAAATATTCAGACACAAAGCAAACGTCAGTTATTTCCATCCAATGGCACTGCCAATCTTCAGAGTGAGGCTAAAGTTATGGACAAAAAAGCTGTGATTCGTAAATTTAAGAAATTTAGTGACAGCTTTAGACAGAGAGATCGCTCAGGGAAACCACAGATTCAAACTCTTGCAAATTTGTAAAATTGTTGTATATATGTTATTTGATAAATGATGAACAGTATTATTGATATATTGCCTGTGCAATGATGCAAATTATGTTTGTTCAGTTTTGTTTATGCATTTGACTCTAATTCTTACCGAATTTTAGTGCTGAATATTGACTAATCCATTCACAGTTTTAAATTAACATAACATTAATATCTTTTATGTTTTATTTTGTAAATTTCAAAAGGGAAATAATAAATTTTTTTAAAACTTTAATCAATGTTTTGTAAGTTTTTAAGTTATTATTAAAGAAATTTTCAGTTTTCAATTTGTTTTTATCTAATACCTTAAAGTAAAGATCAGAAGATAATGAAAAAAATACCAATTTAGTTTCATTTTGTTTTTATTGTATATCTTAAAGTAAAGAATAAGAAATCGTAATAATTTATGTTGTTTCCTTATGTTCAGTTGTTTAGTAGTTGCATATGTGTAAAGATAAATGTGTAATTGTAATATGTGTAGACAAATGATTACATGAATATTTATTACTGCAGTGCTGCTGTATATTGTTAAAGATCAGAGTAAATAATTATATATATGAAATTCACATTGTGTTTTCTTCCTTTCTCATGGTAAATATTTGCAAATCTTGATTTATTCAAGTCTGCTTCAAGTCTGTTACGGCAGAAGTGGAGTAAAATACTTCATTTTAAACCTAATAGAGTTTGCCTGCTTCCTGGTCTCATCAGGACTGGTTCCTCAGTAACCAAAGTTGGGCTTGAACTCACAACCTATATACCAAGAGGATGACATCTTAACCACTAAGTCACTGCTATACACATAATCTGATACTGTTTTACCAATAAACAGTCAATTCCCGTCAACCCATAAAAATAAATCATGGTGAAGAATTTTCAATTCTGTGAAAGGTGAATCTCACAAACATTGTATGACATAGCAGTTTCAGCTGAAACTTGATGAGCTGTAAATAAATTCCTTATTTTACCACATTTCAAGTCCTTACAATTTTCCCATTTTCACAGTGCACATGTATTGAAGTGAATAATCTTTAAAGATACAAGTGGATAGGAAAATGTTCCAAGTACCAAAAGGGAAATAACAACAAGTTAGAACAATTTTCAGGGTTATCTGCCCTTTACTAATTTATTCCCATTTTGATAGTTCAGTATTTGAAGTTTAATTTCTGTAACATTGTTACTTATTGAGAAATGCACCTTTGCAAAAACATTTTAAAAGTTGAAATATGGTTTTAATTAAGCAAAAAAATATTCCACAGTATTAGTGAATAACGTTTTTGAGAAATAGTCCTTCCAGGGCAAAAAGAAATCTAAAACAGGACACAACTTTGCAAAATTCAATTTTATAATCGCCTGCCCTTTTTAAGTGGTATCACATTTTTATGGTGAACATGACTTGATAATATACCAAGTGAAAAGTTTTAAAAGTTTATGAAATTGATCATCAAAAAAGAGAACCATGATAGAAGCCAAAGCTAGTTTGTTATGACAATAGCTCTACCTTTTTTTTCTTGAAAAAAGAAAAGCTGAAAATTATCTATTGAACAACTCTTTTTCTAAAATGTACAAGTCAGATTTATGGTTGGCCTTAATATATTAAGCAAACTGACAGAAAAGTCATACTTCAAGAAAATGTACTTAATAATAAAAAGGTTAAAACTATTAAAGTGACATTATGCTCATATTCGCAGTCAAGTTGAGCTGAACTGACTATATATTTCAAAATATTGACTGCTATAATAGTGATTGACCAACAATTCATATTGGAAAATGTTAAGGATAAAATTTAAATCTGCCTAAAATATAAAAAGACTGCCCCACTCTTTTTATGAACTGACCGTTACAGGTAAATTCTAATGAATATTTACGAAAAAATAATTTGGATCCATGCATTGTTTATTGTTATTGTAAAATAATTTTTTATATTAAAAGGAATTATGGCAAAATGAAAAATTTATTTTAACTTTCACCTTTCATTTATACCATTGGATGGGCATAATGTCACTTTAATTTGGTTATACAGTATGTATTCCTAAATACATGATAAAAGTTAAAACCATGGAGAAACACAAGTCTCATAAAATATAAACATTGTTTACTGATCAAAGAAAAAACAATTAGTTATTGTTCATGTCTATAAAAGGCCACATCCAAATGGAAAATCTCTTTAAAATTTTGCAGTTTTCCCCCAAAAATAACAATTTTACCAAAATCAAATGGGTAAGGCCTTTTCTAAATTAAGTAAGAAACCACTAATACTGCTGCATCAAAATATTTCATAATTATACATTGATTTAAATTTCATTATTGAAAATATGACTATGTCAAATTTTTTTACCAATACATTCTACAATTGTAAAGTTCTTTAACATCCCAATCAGGATAGTTTTACAATACCAGTCAAAGGGGAGTAACTCAATAAAGCAATTTATGAAGAACACATGAGTAAGCTCCCTTTACTTAAGTTTGTATGGTAAATAAAATGTTAAATTATTTAACACTAAAAACACTGGTCATTATCATATTACATTACTTCAGCCACAAATAGCTTTTTTGTACAATTAACAAATCAAATGGGGACATCAGTATTTAAAACAAATAATTTCAATGCTTAGAGAACTCTTAGTATTCTTAAATCAAATTACATGTGACCTATAAAAATGTCTCTTCACCTAGTAACCTTGATGTCTGAGCTACAAGCATATCATGCATGGATATTAATACAAAAAAGATTTGATTTGTCCATCATGTGGCCAGATAGATTTTTTATCCACATTTTATTCAAAGTATTTCAAGAAATATCTATTTTAATAAATTAAAATTTCACAGTAATTAGGTAATAAATATCCACAATAAATTAAATGTTAAAAAAGCAAGATTCAGGTATTAAGTCATGACCATGATCATTAAATCTTTGGCCATCAAGTGAATTTTTCAACCAAAGGAAAAAAAATTCTGACAAGAAGTTGAATGGTACTAATATTCATGTAATAGAAATATTACTTTTTTTTTTTTGGTGAGAGAAATTTTAGAAATGATAAGTTTCTGTTTTCATTTTGACTAAATAAGTGTCTGGGGTCAGTTACTGGTCATATTCAAAACTAGAACGGCCACTGTCCTTCTTGCTAAAATACTCCACACATGCTAGTATGTAAGTAATGTTTATGAAATTTCCTGTTGATATATCATATTTATTTTCAGATAAGCTCTAAACTAAATTTAAGTATGAAAAAATTACAAAGAGAGATAACTCTCCAGATTTGCAAAAAAAAAATAAAAAAAAATAGAGATCTTTTGGCCACTTCATTTCTTCTCAGTAAGATCTATTCATCTATGAAGCCTCACATTGAAAATATAATACCTCAAATTATGTCATGAACAAAATAAACTTTGAAATTTACAAAGGGCTATAACTCCAAAAATATATAAAAGAGTTATGTTTCTTGGATATTGCACTTCTTTTCAATGAATATTATTATTTGTTTCAAGTTGATAACTTTCATAACTTTTGTAGTTAAGCCAAGACAAACAAAAAGCGTATAAAATTACAAAGAGCAATAATTCCAAAATTATGCAAGAGTTATGGTTCTTGGGCACTTCATGTTTCCTAAATAAGATCTATTCATCTATTAAACTATCCAAATGTTCTTGACAAACAAAACACAAAAACCAGCTGGACAGATGGAAACACTGATTCTAGTTATACCCTGTTGTTATGTGGGCATATAATTTAACCAAAATAAACAACATCAATGTGCACAACATCCTTACTAAACAAATATCATTATTGGGTGTAGTAACTGTCTGTCATAAAAGAGTCAAAGTATAGAATTTATTGATTTTGACAGTCAAGAGTCATAACTCTGGTATTAGTTGTCAAATTGTAAAACATAACATACATACTGACTACACCAAATGTTAGTTCTCCCTTAAGGTGGGAGATTATTTACATAATTTTGATACCTGCATTAAAAGTAAGGAATTTCTGTATTGAAAGGGCTGTTCTTGCACTTATAAGAATTTGAAAAAAAAACATGTAAAAAATATAGAATCAACTTACAGGTATGATAAACTGGCTATATCTCTGAAGAACTGTCTTCCTTTTTTCAGGCAGTTTCGTATCTTCTTCATCCTTACAAAGTTGAAGTAACATCTCCCGCTTCAGATCCATTGCCAGTTTAGAATTGAGATCACGTTCATGGGTCTACCAGTACAAGAGCAATGTATTACAACATTTAACATCATTATTGTACTTAGTATTTTCTAGTGGGCTTCATTGAAATTAGACATCAATATTATACTTAGTATTTTCTAGAGCATTTTCATTAAAATTAGACTGACAGATTCGAAAATATGGATCTTGAAGGATACATGCACATTACTTACATGTTTGTGGCTACTCTATTGTTCTCCCTGTTGGTCTTTAAAGACACATAGAATTCTGCCTAAATGAATAGCATTAAAATATTATAAACTGTAAACTTTGTTTCCAAAACCTTCAAAGTATTCATTTGTATGTGTGAATGAAGGGACTTTCAGACTGTGCCATTTTAATATTCCCCTCCAAATTTTCGTGGCAGGCGATCTCATAAAAAATAGTGATATAGAAATATTAAGACATACCTGCAGAATATAATAATCTAAACCAAAGGAATCATCTATCAAGTCCATGGCTCTGTTTGTACATGGAATTTTGAACCATTTGTCCAGTATTTCACTGTACAATACCCGATCTACCAGAAACGGTACACTGTATTTTGCAATCCTGTAAGAAAACACATTAAAGCACATAGGTTTTATAGCAATAAGATCTTTCTCCACCAGTAAAGTTTAAAAGTTGCCATATAACCATGTTGATGGATTTTAAAACCTAACTTACCATTTTAAGTAATTCAAAAGCCCTAACTCAAGACTGCTTATCTTATCAATTTTGCTGAAACATTGAACTTACAAATATTGTGGATATCTTCCATAAATATCCTCGAAGACGGATAAAGAAAATCAATCAACACCAGTCAAGCTGTTTCATTAATTTAAAGTAACTCCAAGTAGCCTAAAATAATATAAATATGATATAGAACATGGCTCAGATATCACAAACAAATACATTTAAACCAAGTTTCATAAAGATCCTTCAAAGATTACTTAAACTGTTGCACGAGCACCAATGTAATGATTATCTACAAGTATATTAGGAATGAATCATACCAGGTTTTACAAATGAATTGCACTACACAGACAATAATAAGACCTGTCCATAAGACAGCATGCTCAACTATTATATGTACTTGCCTGGAAGTGAGGATGATGGGCACTTACAAGCATACAAAGTTTCAAAGCAATACCTTAAAGGGTATAGGAAATAATTGGGGTTGTACGAAAACCTTAAACAAAATATAAGTCATAAAAGGGGCATATTTTTTGTCAAAATCCATGACAGTATTAAGTCCTCTTGCCTGGAAGTGGGCATGATGGTCATTAACAAGTACACTAAGTTTTGAAGCAATACCTCAAAGAGTATAGGAAATATACGTACGGAAAACTTTAACCAAAATTCTTAGTTGAAAAAGGGGTATAATTTTGTTAAAATCAATGACAGAATTATTTCCTCTTGCCTGAAAATGGGAATGATGGTCATTTATAAGTATACAAAGTTTCAAAGCAATACCTTAAAGGGTATAGGAAACAAGGTGGGTGGATGAAAAACTTAATCTAAAGTATGATGCAGATGACAATACTGATGCCTGAGTAAGGAGGATATCTCTATTATATAAATACAATAGTTGAGCTTATAATGATGACACTAATCTGATGTAACTTACAATGGAGAATGCACATGTATATATTTTCTACTTTTGATAACTTTGGCCCAGTACTCTACTACTCCTTCACCGCCCCACAACCCATAGTTACACTGTACTGGATATCTCACATGGATCGGGTGATTCTGGATAGGGAGCCTGTAATTTATATATGTATATATTGTGAACACTAAAATATAGAGAAAATTCTACTGATGAGGACTTTAGTGTAGAATCGTTTTTTGTATGTTTTTTTTTGTTTTGCTTTTTAAATAAAACAATACATTTTTAAATTGAAACTGAAGTTGATTTCTATATTCAAACTTACATCAAAAGCCTTAGTGATTATGTAGCATAACATATAAATATGTAATAATTTTTCTGACAACAGCATAATCTAACAAAAGAACTATGTTGGCACAGAGGACCAATACCTATAAAAATTTAATACTTGAATGCCAGTTATGGTCCTTTATCTCTATATTAACTTGTGATATGAATGATATGTACAAAGTCATTGTCATCAACTATTTTTTTAAACAGAAAGAAACTACTTGACCATTCCATGATAAAATAATGATAACATCTTAGTGATACTTTATTCACATTCAGACACATTACAAATATTACTAGTATTAAAATTACAGCCAAAATTTTACCATCACTAATTTTACGTACCTTGTGCCATACTCATCAACTTTATATTTCGTAGTGTCAGGTCTCCAATGAACTGGTTTTGGGTCTTTTGTCATGTAATCTAGACATCTTTGTTTGTAATGAGCTGGTAAAAGTTTTTCACATTTATCTGTCCAAACATACGAGTATGCTCCAGATTCTACAATAAAAAGATTTCCTTCAGATATATTATACATCTAATTGATGTAAATGTATTGAAAACAAAAAACATGATGCAAACATGATAGAATAATAATTCTACCACTTAAAACATGCACATGATTGTAAATATAAGTGATGAGAAAACAAGAAGGCCATGATGTCTCTTATTTCACTACCATTAAAAGAAAAGATTCAAATTTTGAGGGTCATCGCTTAAAAATTCCAAAAATCAGGTCACTGGGTCAAGTTCAAAGTCATCCATCCAAGGTCAATATTTATTCTACACAAATAACTGTACAAACGATCTAAATCTGAAAGCTATAGCTGGCCTGAAAAATGCAAAAGTAGATCACTAGGACATAGACACATAATTATACTCAAGGTCAAAGTTCATGTATCCAAATTTAGCTACAGTCAATGTCAAATTTGACTAAGAGGGAAAATTTGAACAAACTTGATAAAAAAACCACTTAACAATGCACCATTTTAAAGTGTCTTGCCTGTATGGTCTTTAATAGGAGATATTTTATGATGTTTGCTATATCAGTGTAACCACAGTAGAGACCACTTTCAAAGGCAAAGCCAATTTTGACTCATGAATTATAGCTTGAACAATTTTCATAAGGAGCACCAAAATAATGCTACATTTCAAATATCAAGTCTACACCTTTCAGTTCCTGACGAGGACAGTTTATGAACAGAATATGTTGATTTTTTTTTGTCAAAAAAGTTTAATGTAAAAGTAGAGACACAGTAAATTTTTACCCAATGCCATCAACGGAACAAATATGGTAGAAAAAAAAAAAACAACAATTAACAATGCACTAATTATTTAGCTAATAAACCTATGGTTTCTGTCAGATGTTTTTGTCCAAGTGTTTTGCTATATGTCTACAACAAAAAGTTAAAGTCAATTTTGAAAGGGGCATAATTTGGAGAAAAAATTCAATAATTTTAAGAAACCTGGTAAACGGGAATCATTAAAAAACAAGATTGCATTTGAGAAAAATGCTATGCCACTGCATTAATACAACACTAAATAGTAGTGTAGGAACAGATTTTTTTTGTTTCTATACAATTGAAGATTGTCATAATGCATAGATCCCTGACCTATCTAATTCTTATTATCAGATTAGTGATTAAATCTATTGTTAATCCAATAAAAGATCAGAGTAGGAATATATCAATGCACTTGAGTCTAGTGAATTTGGTGGTGAAGGTCATATTTCACACAGCCTAAATTTCATGACTACATCAAAAGACAACACAGTAAGACACTTTGTCAAAATCTAGGTCAGCTGATATCAAAGTTCACTTTACATCTTAATCTGTGCACATGGTTCAAATTTCATAGCTATACATCAAAGGACAAGTAGGTCACATCATCAAAATCTAGGTCACCTGATATCAAAGTTCAATTTTACAACTAAAACTGTGCACATGGTCAAAATTTCATTGCTGTACATCAAAGGACCAGAAAGTAGGTCACTGTCCCCTTGGTCAAGGCAAAATTTTGACCCAAGGGTTTAATTCAAAACAATCTTGATAAAGTTCCACCAAACAACATTTCAAGTCAAATATCTAAGCTGTAGCTTTCCCCCATTCAGAAATTTCAGCTAATTTTGACACTAGAGGCAAAATTTGAACAACTTTGGTAGAGTACCTATAGATGATATCATTTAACAAATATTAAAGCTCTAAGCCTTGTACCTTCAGACAATAAGATTTTTTGATTTTTTACTATATGTATATATTGAAAATCAATGACCCCCGGGGCGGGGGCAATTTTGACCCCAGGGCTATAATTTGAACAATCTTGCTAGAGGTTCACTACACAATGTTTCATGCAAAATATCTAACCTCTAGCATTTGTCAATTGCTAGAAGAAATTTTTTTAAAGTTTTTACTATAAGTTTTTACTATATACATATAAGGAAAACCAATGACCCCCGGGGCGGGGCCGATTTTGACCCCAGGGCTATAATTTGAACAATCTGGGTAGAGGTCTACCACACAATGCCTTATGCAAAATATCTAAGCTCTAGGCCTTTTGGGTCTTTACAAGAAGGTATTTAAAGTTTTTACTATATGTACATATAGTGAAAATCAATGACCCCCGGGGCGGGGCCGATTTTGACCCTAGGGCTATAATTTGAACAATCTTGGTAAGGGTCTACCAGACAATGCCTTATGCAAAATATCTAAGCTGTAGGCCTTTTGGGTCTTTACAAGAAGGTATTTTAAGTTTTTACTATATGTACATATAGTGAAAATCAATGACCCCCCGGGGTGGGGCCAATTTTGACCCCAGGGCTATAATTTGAACAATCTTGGTAGAGGTCTACCAGACAATGCCTTATGAAAAATATCTAAGCTCTAGGCCTTTTGGGTCTTTACAAGAAGATTTTTTAAATTTATTCTTATAATTCCTTTTGGTTGCCATGGCAACCAGATTTCTGCATGGAATGAAATTCTTTGAACAACTTTGGAAGCCCTTCACCCAAGGATCAATCCTGCCAAGTTTTGTTGAAATTGGATCAGTGGTTTTTCACAAGAAGATTTTTTAAGTTCTACTAATATATATATATATATATTCACTATATAATCTATATAACACACAAACACACACACATACACACAGGTGAATCGCTATATGCCACCGCATTGCAGATGCTGCGGTGGCATAAAAACCTAGTAAAGGGGTATGATTTGAAGAAATCTGGAAAGAATGTACATGTATTCAAATCTTTTATTTATTTAATTATGTTCCAGTGTTCAATCTAAAATGAATTCCAAGGGGGACCTTTGGACCCATAAACTCATCAACAGGGGGTCATATGAGAAAAATGGGGCACACACCTAAAATGAACATAAAATTCAAATAAGATATAATATTATGAATAAGGTATAATATTATACCTTTTAACTTACTTGTTCCCACAACTGATAATACATACTGTATATCCACCAAAAACAGTTGCAAAAATTGACTCTACTAAAAATTATTGATCTTATTATTTGGGCCTTTTTTTAGTGTTCTTTAGCGGTGATTTTGGCTCATATTTAAGAACTGATTAGTAGAGAAACAAAGACATAGTGTTTCAAGAAAAAAACTATCAAAAAGGGTCGAATGCAAATGTTGCCAGGGATGTTCGATAATAATGTTCAGTTTTTTAATCAGCGGCTGATATACAGTAAAGGAAAATCATATTTTGCAATTAGCAAAAAACATTTCACTTGAAGTTATAGTTACACAGTAGCTAAAAATATTTACCCTTCTCAATATATCCACGCCGAAAAGAAAGTATCAACAGGCGCTAAGACAAAGTACATTGACATATACAAGGGTTGTCCCAAAATATCGTAGACAAAGTCTGTTACTCAATCAATTATAATACAATAGAGTCCTCCAGCTAGGGAAAAGTCAATACACCTTTTATGTGTGTCTATGTGAAATAAAATCAAAATTCCTCCAAAATTGACCAAGTTTTTAAAATTTAAAGAATGCTACCTAAACATACCCGGCGCACGCCGTCATAAACGTCATGACGTTATAAGATTTTTAAAATGTTTTTTAAAGTATTCACTGTGTTTCGCGATGCACTGTAAGTGTGAGGCGACCCATTTATCATAAACGTTTTCAAAACAATCCTTCTTCAATGTACTCAACACACGCAGAGTTGAGTTTCCTGGCAGAGTTCGCTGAAGTTTTCGAACCTGTGACCTAGTAATTGTGATTTCAAATAAGGAAACACTGCAAAGTCTTAGGGCGTACAGAAGTCTCTGAAAACCTATCACATCAAGCTCAATCTGTGTCTCCTGAGATCTTTGGCAAGGTGCATTATCTTGATAAAATATAATGTTCTCCATGTTGTCAATTAATGCTGGACACTTCTTCAACTTAACACGGTATTCAATGACATTGCGTTGCGCCGCATTTTCATCTGACGTCGGCATTTTGGGCATTTTTAAAATGGCACTGCTGTTAAGTATTATGCTACAGACTTTTTTCAAATTAACGTTACATAAACGTTTGTTGGTGATATGACATAAAAATGAATGACGTAATTCCACATGAATGTATTTCCCATAATTATTTTTATGCTAGAAGTTAAAGGTATTATTTTAAGAAGCATGCTCTCAACACTGACCAATATTTTATCGTGCTCCGGGTATGTTGTACTGTTTAATATAAAACCCTGATAAAAAGCGTTACCTAATATATTGGCTAATGACTTTAAGTAGCTAAATTAACAAATGACCAAGGAAGATATCTGGTAAATTTTATTAAGTTATGACGTCAGGTTGAAGAGAAAATAATATAGTCTATGACATTTTGGGACAACCCTCGTACCAGCATATCTGATCTTTTTTCAGAGCAGCAGCTTCTCATGTCAGGCTTAAGATATTTGTATTGATTAATGATATGCACAATGTTTTAGCGCCGACCAACTGAAGACCAATCAAAAATAATTTATTCAATTGTCAGACACTCCCTAGCCAATCGTGTTTGATTAACTCCATCTCATAAACTTTTTAATTGGATGAAGGCGTGTTCATAATAATTTATATGCACATGTACAGTTTCATAATTATAGAGTGGGTGGACCAATGCTCGGCGTATACCAATGCTCGGCGTAAAATAGTACTCCTGTACGAATATCTAAAAATATTTAACAGAATACCCAATTAAGGTCACCGGTTCTTTTATTTACATTAATCGCGATTTTATCCTGGTGCGGTTCACTTCCGTCGAAGTCACGTGACCACGGTATAGCAGACGACGGTCTGAATAAATTCCGTACCGATCTCGAGTTGTCTTGTTTTACATACAATATCTGCCATTAAACAGGCAAAAATTTAAGGTTTTTTTTATTAATAAGGAAGAGAAATCAAATTTCAATGTATTTTCATGTTTTCTTATAAAAATTCACAGTTGAAATTTAACAAACAGCATGGATTTATACGGACCCCCTCCATCTACAATGCATATTAACATAGTATACCCTGTTCTTTTGTACTTTCAGCAGTAGATAGTCATTAGAAATGTGAATTTGTGACTTTATTTGTTTTAAAACAAATTTATTTCTTAAAAGATAAACCCGAATAAAACTATTTTACAACAATTCACAGAAAAAATAACTAAAAATATCTAAACCGCACCTTTTTATCCTGCTTTATTATCGTGGTGTCCATTCAGAATTATAAATAATGATTTAAATCCTATTGCAACTTGTTCATTGTTTGATTCAGAAATGCCACGACAACAGAAATTCACGATAGTGGTCAGATGGCAAAAGCTGTGGCCGCAGTAAAGAGGGGATATCTGTCTACAAGGCATCCCACTTGTATGGAATTCCTCAATCCACATTGAAGGACCATACCAGAGGGCGTTACAGAGGGTTAGATACTTCTTTTGGACGTACACCAATAATAACCATCAGAGGAGGAAGCAACACTTGTTTCCTATATACTTTACATGTCTGAAAGAGGATTTCCTCTGTCAAAGAAAATGGTTCGAAACCTCACAAGAGAAGTAATTATGGCCTCAGGTCGAAATACTGTTATAAACACCCAGAAAGGGCCTTCAAACAAATGGATGAGGAAATTCTTCAAAAGACACCCAGAACTTTCGATTAGAAATGCTCACAGCCTTGATAAGAGTTTCGTAAATATATAGATTTTTACGGCGGAAAGTTATTACACATTTCTTTGTTTTGACTGTAACAAAATATAATTACATGCATATATTGGATTATCTATAACTATTTTGCAATGGAAACAACACCATATCCGTAAACTTTACTATCCGGCTACTACACCGTTTACACTAGAAAACTTACTCAATTTATGGAAAACAGGGAAGTAATTTTTAACTGGCATCGCTGCTCCTTGATCTCAAGCAATGTTTTATTTGATTTTAACTGAAATAAATTTGTTTTTAAGTTACATCTATCAAGTATGTTAGTGAATTTTGTGAATGTCAAATGCCTTTTTTTTCTCAAATGGGCGCAGCCATATTAGATTGTACTTACTACATATAACTTTCGTACTTTTATTTTTCGTAATTCTATGTCAAGTTGTAACATATGTGGTCAGCAGTATTTACTGGGGGAGCAATATTTGCTATTAACATAAATGGTCAGCATTAACATATGTGGGCAGCAGTATTTAGCAGCAGTTATTATTATTACCATATAATTATGGGCAACTGTTATTACAATAAACATGACTGTGTGAGTAGGAAAAGTCGGTTTGCAAATTATGAAAAAATTTATCACCTAATTACCTATTTACCAATTAGAAACATATGTGGACAGTATATGCTATTATCATGTTGGCAGCAGTATTAACAAGTAACATACATATAAGGGGAGCGGTAGCCTAGTGGTTAAGGTGTCTGCCTCTCAACCCAGAGATCATGGGTTCGAGCCCTACTCGGGTCATGACCATGTTTCTTCATATGACACCAGTACTGGTTGGTTCCAGGAAGCAGACTCGAAAGTGATTAATATAAGTTGTAAGAACTTGTTTCGCAATCGAGCTTAAATAAATATGTTTAAACCAACATATGTGGGTAGCAGTATTTACTAGTAGCTTATGGGTAGCAGTATTTAATGTTAAAAATGTGGGAAGCAGTATTTACTATTAACATATGTGGGCAGCACTATTTATTATTAACATATGTGGGCAGCTATATTTACTTTTGACATATGTGGGCAGCAGTTTTACTATTGATATATGTGGGCAGCAAAATTTACCAGCAGTTATTACTATTAACATATGTGGGGAGCAGTTATTACTATTAACGTATGTGGGGAGCAGTATTTAATATTAAAAATGTGGGCAGCAGAACTTGGTTAACAAATTACAAAAAAAGTTTTAAAAAACCATTAACTAATTAGGCATTTACGGACTACTAACATATATGGGTAGCAGTATTTACTATAAACATATGTGGGCAGCAGTATTTTGATATTAAATGATGTAGGCAGCAGTTTATACTAAAATACTAATTATTTATACTAAACATATGTGGGTAGAAGTTTGTACTATTAACAAATGTGGTCAGCAGTATTTAATATTAACTTATCTGGGAAGTGATATTTACCAGCAGTTAATACTATTAACATATATGTAGGCAGCAGCATTTACTTGAAATATATGTGGGCAACTGTATTTACTATTGATATATGTGGGCAGCAAAATTTACCAGCAGTTATTACTATTAACATATGTGGGCAGCTGTATTTACTAGTTACATATGGGAAGCAGTATTTAATATAAAAATGTCAGAAGCAGTTTTTTCTGTTACCATACATAGGTAGCAGTATTCAATATAAACATATGTGAGCAGCAGTATTTACCAGCAGTTATTATTATTACCATATATGGGCAACTGTTATTACTATAAACATATGTGGGCAGTAGTTAATACTATTAACATATGTAGACAGCAGCATTTACTTGTAACATATGTGGACAGCAGTATTTACTATTAATATATGAGGGCAGCAAAACAATTACTAGCAGTTATTACTATTAACATATGTGGGTAGCAGTATTTACCAGTAACATATGGGTATTAATATTAAAATGTGGGAAGCAGCATATATCTAGGGAGCAGTTATTACTATTAATATATGTGGGCAGCATTATTTACTATCAACATACGGGGTAGCAGTATTTAATATCAAAAATGTGGGAAGCAGTATTTATTATTAAAATATATATATTTTAATAATAAATACTGCTACCCACATTTTTGATATTAAAAGTCAAGCAAGATTCAATAAGTTTTTCAAGGTCATTGATGATTGAAGGTCATAATCAATTTTGATTATTTGAAAGTCTTGTTCAAAGGATTGTTGTGTCCAAGTATGAAGACAATCCATTTATAAATAACAATATAATAATATCTTTATTTCCTCCAAAAGAAGAGCACATTAACATTAACATTACAGCAAAAAGCAAGCAAGATTTAAACATTGGACCTTGAAGGTCAAGGTCATTTATGAGAGAAGCTCAAGTTCAGTATGGTCAACTTGAAAGTCTTGTCCGAAGGGTTGATGTATCTAAGTATGAAGGCAATCCAGTGAGAAATAAAAAAATATAGCAACATGACTGTAGCAACAGCTCTTTTTGTTTTCTGAAAAAGTCAAGCTAAAGACGATTTTTTATTTTCAAAAATACATGTACATGTTTATATAGTCATGTCAAAGAAGAAATAACAACAACAAAATATTGATACTTAAAAATTTTACTCTTTTTCTAGAAAGATTGAAAAATAAACTATAAGAAACAATAAATCACATAGAATAATAAAGATGAGAGACACAGTTCTCCCAGCCTATCACAGCCTATATATAAATCATCACAATATAGTATATACATAACACAACCAGCAAACAGCTTTGCTCTTTAATACTCTATAATTATATTCAATATTATATACTTAAGAATTTCCATATCAATCCAAGTTAAAGTCACTTTAAATAAGAGTTAAAGCAAAAACAGAAATGTTCTTTATTTAACGAACAGTACATAAGTAAATGCTGCAGGTGTGTAGGTAAAAAATATGAATCATTAAGCCACAAAAGTTAGTTCAATAAAAAATCAATAATTGATTCGGCAAGTGATTTTTAAGACACTTAGGAACAAGCAGGGTTATATGACAACTTTTCAGCATTACTCATGAGGAAGAAATTCTTTTATACTTTTTCAAACTTTCAGCAATCACATTATAAAAATGCATTGCAATGGGAGGTAACTATTGGCATGAATAAGTCGCCCATGCCTCTACATACTGCATAGATACATGTATTAAATGTTGTTGTATTAAATATCCTTTGCTTTAAATTATTTAATTTAAAATAAAATATAGACATAAGATGTTATGAATTATGATCAAAGAAAAAAATCAAGTAATATCATTCTATGCATTTTTAAAGTGTGATATTTTTTTTATTTAACTCTAGAATTTTAAATACATTAAGAATCCAAAAAAGATAAAATATTTTAATTTCAAAACAAAGTTTCCAACAAATCAGTAAACGCCATATTTATTTAGATTTCTTTATAACTTTATAACTCATCCAAGTTGATACACTTAAGTTTTACATAGAAAAGAAGCAACCACATGAAAAATTCAATTGTCTTGTTGTTTTTTGTTGTTGTTTTTTTTACACGTTTTTCCAACAGTACACATACAATGTTCAGAATGTTTTTGTTTTTTGTAGACTATTTTCCCATTTTAAGATATCTAATTCTGCCCTGTAGTTCAATAGCTTGTCTATAGTCTTGTATCGCTTCTTTCCTCTTGCTTAATTTTCCTCGCACATCAGCTCGCCGCTTTAATACCAGAGGGTCATCAGGGTTCAATTCCAAAGCTGAAAAATATTAATTTAAAATCAATTTCACAGGATTCATTAATTACATCCATGCCTTATGTGTAGGTGTAATAACCTGTAATTTACATGTATATACATGCTTTCAAACAATGCCTAAAGAGCACAGCTTCTTACTGTATATTAAATTTGACAAAATAAAACTTTTACAGCTCTGAGGTCTGACAGATCTCAAAGGAGAAGATGAGTGTTGAAGGAGAAAATATGATCTGGACTGTTGTAAAAGTATAGGTGTCCAAACTTAATAAATTGAAGTATAATTGATCCCATTGCTTTCATGGTTACCTATTTTATTAATGTTTTATCTAATTTACTACGTAGTATAAACACCGAAGAGAAGTTACATATAGCACATATAATAAATATATCTTTGAATGCAGACAAGTTTAACATTTACCATATTATGTGACAAAGGTAGATTTTAAAATACTGAAGAGAGACAACAGATATTTCATGTGAAATAAATATTAAAGGGAGACATCTTAGAAAGTGCCCAAGGGAGAAACTTTTAAGATACTAAAGGGAGACCACTTATGTTATTTGGAAAATGCTAAAGGAAGACAACTTATAATACTTGTAAAATAATGGCTACAACTGATAACTATAGTTGAATAACAATGAAAACAGCATATTTCTAGGATCATATTGACAAAATTACTGAAATAAAAAAAAAAATTGTTAGACCAGAAAGATGTACTAGTGTTACCTTTAGTAAAGTCTTTCTCTGCCATATCATATTGTTGTGTTGAAGCATACAGGTTACCTCTGTTCATGTACATGTGGGCAGAGTATGGGCTTAACTTGATGGCCGCCCGGAAATCTTCCAGGGCACCTTGAGAATCCTTCAACATCACCTAGAGCAGAAAATATTCAATTTTAATCTTGTATTTTATTGTATTACCTAAAACAATCATGCTGTGATAAATATGTAAATTTTATTTGCAAAATGGCTTATTTCCAATTTTATGTAATACATATTTGAAATCTTTTTTTTTCAATGTTTCAAATTTAATTTCAAATGTTGAAATACTGAATGCTGAATTCAACTCATCTCAGAGATAATTATCTAGCAAAATTTTAAACTAAGGATTTGTTTATAGCCATGAAGTGTGTTATTGATCAGTGATCATGTCATAAATGAATAATACATGAGGGTAGATAAAAAAAATCAGTTATCTGTCTTCAATTTGGGCATCTTTTCTCAAAATAACTTCAATGAACAATTATATATAAATAATATTCTCTTTATGTACAAATTAAGATGGTGAAATTGCAAAGGCATTTGTGAAATAGATACCCTTATCTGTATCAGGTAGAACCTCTGATGAGCAAGAGAACTAAGAAAAGAAGAACACAAGTAAAATACTTACTCTGGTAATAGCTCTGTTAAGGATAGCTGACTCATCCTTCGGGTTGTATTTTATTGTTTTGGTAAAATAATCCAGGGCCTAAAATCAGCAAATAATTACCATTAAAAACTTTTTAAAATGTCAATGATATTCAATTAGTTGTTCATTAATGAACATTTTTATTATTGAAATAGATTATTCTGAAAAGAAATCCAAACATTTTCAGATATTTCTGTTTTTTCTGTTTTACAGTCTAATTTTTATAAATAACACTTCTATTTAAGACCTAGTGCATGAAAGTGTACATAAAAGGTAGCACAATTCTATTTTTCTACTTGCATATAGATCACTTTTTTTGTTTTTCCAAACTCTTGTCTATATAGGGAGGTTTGTCTGTCATATTCATATAACATCATACAAAATATTAATCTCCTTTGGTAGTTTCTTATATTTGATATTCATAGCACAACCTCTGCAAAGTAGATCTCTGTAGAGCAATCACCTCTTTACAACAACAGTATCATTTTTTCCCAAAATGAAGGTTTCATATAATAAATTTAACCTCTGTATAGCGACACCACTCGGTATCAACCAAAATATTTGTCTCCCAAAGAGTGGTTGCTCTTTTGAGGTTGTGTTGTAAAATAATTTTGCTCTACACAGCTGGTGTTGTAAAATAATTTACCTGTGAGAACTGCCTGCTGTGGAAGTAAACATTTCCAGCATTGAAGTATGCCAAGGAGTAAGTCTCATCCAGTTCTATAGCAGCCTGGTAGTCACGCATTGCATTAACACCATCATCCATAAACTGTAAACATACAAGTGGAACATACAAGAGTGAAACTGTTAAAATACAACTGTAATCATACAAGAGTTAAAATGTACATATACTAGTGTCAACATAGTATAAATTTTATTACAAAGTAAATTAAATAAACATACATGAAGAAATTCTTTACATTGGTTCATCAAGTTGTGATTGATGATTCCATTGTGATAAATATCTTTAAATTCTGTTTTCAAAAGTTAAATATTTCTTTATACATGTATTTGTATTTCACATCATTATCATTAAAACAATTGTTGTATATCTGACTACACAAAACACTAGACAATGTAAGGCAGTCAACCAATTAAGACACATATTAACTAAATCTAAAGTAACTAAAATCTAAGACTTTGAACTTTAACCCCCAGAACAGTAGAATTAGAAATAATTCTGTAGAATTTGACTGGTACGATAAAAAGGAGAGATAAGTTATTCTATATTGTAATTAAATATGAAAGAAAATACCACTGTACCTCAGGGTTCCATATCATGATACCTATCGGCTGACCCTGTGTCACAATATACTAGTATTTGTAGCACAACTATAATATACTGTAAAATGATTTACAAACCTGATGTATGACTCCTCTATTAGTAAGTAATTCAGCAGTTGGGTTGACCTTTATAGCTGTGTTAATATCATGGAAGGAGGCGAATGTGTCACTCATCTGTAGATTAATTATTGACCGACCCTCAAGTGCTGGTTTATAATCTATAACAACAAACATTACAATTCACAATTTTACCAAATTAACATCTTATATATCAAAATTGTACCAAACCCATTGAACTGAAGATGTGTCTATATTATACATGTTGATGCATGCATATACAGTCATGTATATATAAGTTATGTATAAAAAATCTGTTAGGAACAGTGTTAGCTCGTTTGTGTGAAAATTACTGTAAGAGTTTTTATGATAAAAAAAATCAAATCAGAGATGTAAAAATATATGTAATCCATTTATACTATGAAGTATACGAAAATGAATTTTGCTGTGACTTATAAAAACGTCTCAGTGAAGTAAACTTTAAATACTATTTTACATTTGAAGTGAACCTAATGTTAGATTTATACTCTTATAAAGATTGTTTTCATTTAACAAAGTTGCACATACTAGGTTTTAGATCTATAGCTGTAGTAAACTGTCTCCAAGCCTGCATGAAGTGACCGGACACTTGTAATGTGTACGCTAGATTAACTCGTGCAGGTAGATTCATCGCATCAAACCTTAATACTCGCTGGTAGTCACGCCTAAAATGTTATAAAAATATTGCGCTCAATTAAACAAAAGCACCATATCTTAGATGACATTAAGTAACAAACTTTAAAACAATAAGTTTAACAGTCATATGAAACTTGTTCAGGAATTAAAGTTTGTTATATCTCTGATTTAGCAGTACAGTTTTTTTCTTTATTTCTGTTAATATTGCAATCTCTTCACATAAGTCACTCATTTGATTTCAAAGCTTACAAATGAAGATCTCAATGTCTTAAGAACACATTAAGAAGATAATTTTCAATCAAATAGACATAGGTATAATAAGTGAAATAGTATGATGAAACTACCTGCAAAAAATACATCTTGTTTTGTTTGGTTTTACGGCAAACCAACACAATTTAGGTCATATGGCGCCGACACAAGAAAGATAATTTTTGCTATATCATTTTAGTATAGTGTTGTAAACATATGATATACTTACATGGCATATCTTAGACCCTTTTCATGACCAAAGTCCATATAAACATTTCCCCTGGCTATGATACCATCCAGGAAGAATGGTTGACTCTTAACACACAATGTAAATGTCTTCACAGCCTCCTGTAAACGTCCTAACCTGAACATAGTAAAATGTACACAATATAAACACAAATATTCCATCTCATGAAGCATAATTACTGCAGTCAAATCTTTACTTTATTTCTGTATTTTTGATGACAATTCATTTTCTTGATCTGTATGCAAATATGTATGTATACAAATTTTATACAATTAAAAAAAACAACATATAAAAAATGCATGTATCAATCAAGAAAATTTTTTGCTGATGCAATTTTCTTATACTAAAGGATGCCAAATGTAAAAAAAATAGAACAATACAGCTCAGAACGAAAAGCACACATTCAAATAACACAAAACATATGAGAAAAATAAGTAATTTCAAAGAAATGACCATACTTAAAGCAAATAATTTAGAACTTACAATTACACAGTTGTTTAATGGTTATGCTGCTTTGAATTTAAAATAATCAAAGAGCTGAAGCAATTAGCACTTGCTTAGTTAAAGAAGCAACTTACTTATGGAAGCAGAGTCCTAGTGTATGAAGTATCTTGTGATCATTAGGATTCATGTTGGCAGATAACTTGAAGTCATACAGGGCATTCAAGTAATCTTGTTTCTCAAAATACAACAATCCTCTGTTAATTAGCACCTGTATATAAACAATGTATACATGTATATGCACAAAAAAATTAGATCTTAACTATAGTATCCCTTGTATTTTTCTGTTTATTGAAATATACCTCATCCTTACTGACATACCTGTACAAGTTAATTTTCCTCTGTAATTTTTTCTTTTCTTTTTTTGAGAACATCAGAATTGTTTAGCCCATGCTAACTCATAGACTTAAATTGTCTTAATATTTATCCTCAGGAAAGTCCAATTGATGAAAAATACATTATAGTTGAAATCACAGACAAAATCAAGAATGCGAGCAATATTTAAAGCAGTATTATAAGACTTACCTTAAGTTTAAGTGAATCTCCTAGAAGCAGGACAATACCATAGTCTGTTAGAGCCTAAAATATAAAATAAACACATTACAAGCATATTTGTTATGTTGAGAGCTTTGAGTTTCTTCAAACTAATTTCAAGAAAACTTCCTAGGCTAGCCAGGGCTAATGTCACATAGTTTTTCTTTGACTGGGCATATTATCTCCTACATAGTTGCAGGACATGAGAAGTTTTTCTGTTTAAATGCTGAAAAAACTCTCCATACATAATTTCAGGCATGACTTTGTCATCATTTAAAGCTTGAATCAAGGTTGTCAGTAGAATCCTTCATTGCATACATGGTAGGATTTGAACCCAAGTGAGGGTAGTTGACACAACGTTATCAATAATAACCAATGAATCATAAAGGCCTTCCATGTTAGACGAAGAAAGAGAAACAATGTTACTCCTGTATATTTCAAGGCAATGACCTGTAGGTTAAGGGGCAGACATTATAATTGCACAAAATTTTAATGCTAATACCTGGTAATTAATGTGTCTCTATGATCAGTGTCACAGAGTGCCTTAGAGTAAGAAAAATATACAGTTTGACAGGAAATTGAACTGGGCCCTGGCAATATCATTATGCAGCTATACTGCCTGAGACACCTTCCCACTTACACATTTTTCCTCCTTTAGATGACCAGTTCTATCATGGCATCAGCAACAAAAAAAATCTTTCCAGTCTGCTGCTTTCATAATAATATATATACATAACGAATATATGAAAAATGATAATATTTTAGCTTTGGTAGAAATACATTTTAAATATGTAACATACCTTTTGATAATCTCTATTTTCCTGGTAGCAGACGGCACGATTAAAGTATGCTAGTGCACATGTACTGTCTATACTTGCAGCCTTTGATAGATCTTTGATGGCAAGTTCATATGCCTTGATATGATACTTCAATGCTCCTCTAGTAATAAATGATATAAATATACAATAAATGAATAAATCAATAATTGAGTTGGTTTTTTTTCTTAATGAAAAAATGTAAGGTATTTCCATCAGTTGACATAACTACATGTACAAAGCATCACAAGACTGACCCATAACCCCATCATCACTATAATACAGGATTTTATGTAGGATCATTAATCATTATTTTCAACAGTGGACATTAAATTTTTACCTAACTTTGAAGAAAGTCCTTAAAGGAGTAAAGAATTTAAAATGCACACACAAAATTGTCAGACATTTGACCTTCAAGGTCGACCTTGAGCAGCCACAGTGGGGGGGTATAAGTTCCACACATCATCTTACTATAATTGGCCTCCATCAAAAATATTTTAGAAGCATACAAATGACCATGAATTACCTGTAAAGAAAAGCTCTAACACTATTTGGCTGAAGTTTGATCGCCTCGTTACAGTTAAGGATAGCTTTAGTGTAGTTTCCCTTGCCGCCATAGTAACAAGCTCTGGACAGATACGCCTGGAATATGGTAGGATTGATTGCCAGTGCACGGTTGAAGTCTTGTATTCCTTTAGACATCTTTAACTTCATCCTTGCCATTCCCCTTTGATACAGGGCCTAAAATATATTATAAAACATAAGTTCTCAGATACATATGTACTAAATATCATTACTGTACAAATTGGGAATGAGATGATTCTTAAATTAATAAAAAGAACATAAATTGATTAAAATATATCAAAAATATCCAAGTTCGCAATGATAAAAGATATATTGTTATGGTAATGTGATATTATAACATTATAGCAAAGAAGCTTACTTCCATAAAACTAATATTTAATCATCTAATAAATATGCCCATGATGAGTGCAACACATCTTCATTGAAAGAATATTTCTATCAGTGTTATAATAAAATTAGTTACCTCCGCCATTGAAGAGTTTAGTTTGATAGCATCAGTAAATGCATTGAGGGCATCGAGATAGTTCCTCAATTCCATGCTACATTGACCAATTAGATAATGGGCATCTGCCGCCTCCTGGGGCCAGGGATCTCGTGCCTTCCATGGTTTCTGTGTCAAAATATCAATAATCATTAGATCTTATATTGGAAATTTCGAAATAACAAAGATATTCATGTACATGCAGTTTGTTCAAGATGTTACCTACTACAAATCTACATGATTCTTAACTTTTTTTCTTTGTTTATGTATTATCTGACATCACAAATGTTATTTTCACTTTTATTACAATCAAATTGCAATGAATTACATCAAAATATTTTTTTTAAAAAGTAAACAAACAAAAGACCATTTTATCTATACTGTTGAAGACAATAACGTTGCTGAAGTTTTATTTCCTTCCTAACTCAGGTTACTCCTTCATACTCTTAACATCTTTTATATTCAGCAAAAAGCAAAATCCCAACACTTATTTTAACACTAGGCTAGCTGTTGGCGTAAAACACAATTTAACAACCAAATTTTTATATTACTTTACCATATTCAACTTCCAAAGCAATTTCATATGAGCTGCACCATGACAAAATCACCATAATGCGTTTGCAACCAGCATGGATCCAGACCAGCCTGCGCATCAGGATCCTTGCTGTTTGCTATCAGTTTCTCTACTTGTTATAGGTTTGAAGACGAACAGCATAGATCCTGATCAGACGACCTGGATGCGCAGGCTGGTCTGGATCCATGCTGGTCATAAACACGTTATGTTGGTTTTGTCGTGGCACGGCTCAATTTTATCATTTAAGCTTTGATTATGATTTCGATGCAACACTTCAACATTACTAAAATGAATTTACAGACCAACTTTAATCATAGCAATAAACTTAAAATCTCATTACTGATACTTTATTCTTTGAAAAAACATGTATCTGCAATACAACTTAAATTGAATGTCTTTAAATTAGTAATCATTTTTTTTCCAAATAAAAATACAATATTCAAATTATGCAAATCACCATCACAGAAACTTATCTAAATTTAAGATTTGTTTTCTACTCTAAACATTATGTGATAAACCTTTCACCTTATTTTTTATAGATTAACAAAATTTCTATACCAGTATTTGTGCAGCTTTCAAGTACAACTAAACTATTTTTAAGTATGCCATATTTCTGTAAGTTTCTTTAATCTACTGATTAGTTTGTGCAACAAGCACCAGCGGGAACCTTTACCAGTAAATGATATCCCGAACTTGGCAAATGTGGGTTTTTCCCATCAAATCTGAGGGTCCAACCAGAGACATACAATAATGTTATCTACATCTTTGGTACAACAGAATTTTTACCATAACAGCCCAACTGTGCAGTTAATAGCCTGATTAACATTTTGGCATTTATATCCATATACATGTATTTACCATGTTATAACTATAAAGGTTTGTCTGTACCCCGAGATAAGCAGAAAAAACAACCAAACATTTTCCAAGTTCAGGAGTATCTTCATATATAGATTAAACCCTAACAAGCTAAAGCCAGCATAAACTGCATTTATAACACATATGGTAAATGTAGTTCTTACTCTTAGGGTATTTTTAGTGCTTGAGGATAGAATGTTTGTGCTTTCTTTATTCTGCTTGGACAATGGCCATTTCACAACAGACACCCAAAATATATATACATATCCATACATCTTATATTCAACAAGATCAGTGTTTCACCAGGCTATTAAATGACTGCTTGCCAAATAATAGATTGACTGATTTTACAATTAATTTTAACAGTACAAATAACTTTCATAAAACTTTCATAGAATTCCAAACTTATCCAAAAAGGTGAAAATTTGTGAACTTATAGATAGTTGCACTATTTTTCAAAAGTATAGCTTTCATTTCAAAATTGTACAAAATTGTTTACAACTAAGTTTCCTTAGTTTAAGATAGAATTAAAAGCTGTATGGACATGATTTATTAAGTCTAATTGGCAAAATGTTCCAGCATAAAACCATCAATTGTTATAATAGCTACAACAATAAAGCCCCATATTTCAGAAGCAGGGCTAGGCATAACCGAACCAAGGTATGCTTACTGAATGCTGAAATCTATACTCCTGTTCCTTTAAACAATTATATGTTCAACATCTTATTTTTATAACATCTTTCTTAATCTTATATCATCTTTAAACAGTACATAGTTATCAATATTGCTCAGCCTTTGCATAATTGAACAATTGCCTGCAGTGCTTTTTTCTAGTAAAACGTTTCTTCGTAAGTTGAATTCTTATTTTCATGTGTTTTTTTTATTATTTTTATTATTATTATTATTTTTTTAAAAGTACAATGCGTATCTAAAACAAACCTGTTTCAGCAACAATACATACATGTAGTTACTACAACATGAGTGTTCTAGTTTGATAAATTGTATTGCTTGAACTGATTGTTCAAGTTGTATACAACATTAAACGACCAATCACAGTGATACAATCCACCAGTATATCACTTATATGTTGTTGTTTTTTTTAAACATACTTTTTGTTAAATGCTTAAACAAAATCTGAACAAAAGAGAAGTAATTTTTTTTTAGGCGTATGATATACTGTACACTTTTTTTCAAATACAGAGCCTAATTCTTAAGCGACTGTACAAGTGCAATGCATATTTAAAGTATCATGATACTTAAGTCATTAAAAAAAATATTTGTGCATTTTTCTTCTCCATGAAATTAAAGTGTTAAGGTATGCAGCTAGTTTATAAAAGCAATATACATGTTCAGTGTATAATCAATCAATGTATTCAGTGTATAATTATTCACTAAAAGTGAAATTAATATCTTATTCCATAAGAAATGAAAGTTAACTTTAGACATGATGATTCTTGCATAGCTGTTTGGTGTGATATGTGTGAATTATTCTTTTTTACAAACAATTTAAACTGTAAAGATAGACAAAAATGCTTGAAATTAGACCAACCAAGAGAAGACGAATACCAAAATGTTTCAAGCATTTGACAATAAATGAGCGGCGTCACGACAAAACCAACATAATGTGTTTGCGACCAGCATGGATCCAGACAAGCCTGCGCATCCGCACAGTCTGATCAGGATCCATGCTGTTCGCTATTAGTTTCAGTTTTTGTAATAGGGTTGGTTAGCAAACAGCATGGATCCAGATCAGACTGCACGGATGCGCAGGCTGGTCTGGATCCATGCTGTTCGCAAACGCACTATGTTGGTTTTGTCTTGATGCAGCTCAAATGAAAATACAGTTAAAACTTAAAACTTCATATTTTCATTGATTGACATCAACTATAACTAAAATGTTTCAAACAAGATTGTCATAAAAATAGATACAAGGCATGAAAACTTGATAACCATTCAATCATACCCTTTAATAGAAACTATAACAATATAATAAATGTGCACTTTATACCATGTACAAGTGCATTGCATATTACCATCGATTTCTGTTATAAAACAATTATACATGTATATTTAGTGTATTCATACATGCTGTATGCAAATTACAAGTACATCAATAGAAGAAAAAAATATTTATATTGCATTCATTGTAGGAAATGATCTATTATGACAAAACAAAACATTAGGTTCCACTTACAAGTGCCAAATTTGACTATAAAATAATTGTTCTTAATATAAAACAGTGTCCTGGTCTCAGTTTAATAATTCAGTATTTAAATCACTATATTATTTTGTCATCAAAATTTCATACAGTTATTTCTAAATGTTTTATTTAACTGTAATACAAACTTCTTTTTTCACAATTAAGAATGCATTTAACAATATGACAGGAATGATTTGCTTTACTTATGTAATAGCAAGAAGAACTCAATCATATTAAGCAATGATATAAATCCATGATTAAGAATTTTTATATATTTAAATTTTTATACATCATTTATTCCAAAAAATACCCTTGTTGTAATCATACCTGCATATAAATTACATGATTATTACTTACATAAACAGACAGTGCCAGTTGGAAACTAGTGATGGCATTTTCAAATTTCTTGGCCTTCATCTGAGTTTTACCTAACAGCATGTACATGGAGGCGGTTGGTTTGGATCGGGATGCCGTCTGTAACGCCTCTATAGCCTTCAATATAACATAATAATTTATATCTCCATGACAACAAACTCTCAAATAAAATATATAGTTAACAAATATGGTAAAATACACTATAAATTTAGCATAAATTCTAGGATTCTTATCTATAGCATGTAACATTGATTAAACATATAAATATATATATAATAAACATATAAATATATATTAAACTAGAACTATTACTGAATGTGATTAATACCCCCACAAGACTGCTTCGGAAATGAGGATGTTACTAGTAACAGAATACCTTGTAAAGAATTGAAATATAGAGTTATGGTTGTGGGCAATTAAAGATAGTTGTGGTTCTTGTATGTCGCATTTCCTTTCAATGTGGTTGGCCATTGATGAAGTTTTATTGAATTACTCTGTAATAAGTCCAGAAAGACAAGGAAAAGGAACAAGGGGCAATAACTCTATAAATACTGAAGATGAAGTTATAGTTCTTGTGCACTGCACTTCCTCTTATTGTGATTGACCACTGTATGAAGTTGTTTTGAATTCCAACCAGTGCTCCGGACAAGGAAAAGTATCAAAGGGCAGTAACTCTGTGTTTTGTAAAAATGGAGTTATGGCTCTTATGCACTGCACTTCCTTTTAATGTCCTTGACAACTGTATGAAGTTGTATTGAATTCCAAACAGTAGTTTTCAAGTTATGCTCTGGACAAGAAAAAGTAACAAAGGGCAATAACTCTGTAATTAGTCAAGATGGAGTTATGGTTCTTGTGCACTGCACTTCCTCTCAATGTGCTTGACCATTGTATGAAGTTATATTGAATTCCAACCATTAGTCTTCAAGTTATGCTCCGGACAAAAAAAAGCAATGGAAAAGTAACAAAGAGCAATAACTCTGTAATTAGTCAAGATGGAGTTATGGTTCTTGTGCACTACACTTCCCCTTATTGTGCTTGACCATTGTATGAAGTTGTTTTGAATTCCAACCTGTAGTTTTCATGTCATGCTCTGGACAAGGAAAAGTAACAAAGGGCAGTAACTCTGTAATAAGTCAAGATGGAGTTATGGTTCTTGAGCACTGCACTTCCTCTCAATGTGCTTGACCATTGTATGAAGTTAAAATGAATTCCAACAATTAGTCTTCAAGTTATGGTCCGGACAAAAGAATGCAATGGAAAAGTAACAAAGGGCAATAACTCTGTAATTACTTTAGATAGAGTTATTGTTCTTTTGCACTGCACTTCCCCTTATTGTGTTTGACAATTGTATGAAGTTGTTTTTAATTCCAACCTGTAGTTTTCAAGTTATGCCCTGGACAAGGAAAAGTAACAAAGGGCAATAACTCTGTAATTAGTCAAGATAGAGTTATGGTTCTTGTGCACTGCACTTCCTCTCAATGTGCTTGACCATTGTATGAAGTTATAATGAATTCCAACCATTAGTCTTCAAGTTATGGTCCGGACAAAAGAAAGCAATGGAAAAGTAACAAAGGGCAATAACTCTGTAATTACTTTAGATAGAGTTATGGTTCTTGTGCACTGCACTTCCTCTCAATGTGCTTGACCATTGTATGTAGTTATATTGAATTCCAACTATTAGTCTTCAAGTTATGCTCCGGACAAGGAAAATGCAACGGACGTCTGGACCAACCGACCGACCAACAGACCACCGGGTGACTCCTATATACCCCCCCCCCAAACTTTGTTTTTGGGGGTATAACAACAAATACATATCAAACAACACAACACAACATCAATTTAACATACATTTGCATGTACAACAACACAACATTAATCATATACACAATTGCATATTAAACAACACAATTATAAGAATTCATTATGCAGAACTAGATTTTCACATTATATTTTATTTTACATTCATAAAGATAACAATTTTTCATTGTATACATAAAATTTATGCTTAAAACAGAAATAATCCTTTATTTGCTGGAACCAAAAGTGTTAAGCCTTTGCCACCAGTATAGCCACACATCCTTGCAGTCTGACCAGGCTCTAACACTGTTGGTAGCGTAAACTTTGTATTTTGATATTGAAATCCCTTAAACTTTGAATGGACTGTTCCAAATTCAAAGCAGAGCAAATCCATTTGATGAAAATACAATGTAACATGAGTAAACACTGACTTGTATCATTAACTGTACCATATTTTGATACTAAAATCAAACTTGTCTATACAAAATAGTTTTGGAAAAAAAGAGAAAACAAAATTGATTTTCGTGTATAATATTGCAGTTCAGTTGTTGAAATTGAAAAATAAAATGTAAACATTCTTCATTTAGCTCACAGATTCTCATTAACATAGAATTATTTATTATTATATGTGCATTGATAAGAATATCTAAATAAAATAGCATATTTTTCTAAATAATTTGCTATTGTGCATGATTTACTTTTTATACATACCTGTTAACAAAAGTAGTACTTTCTCTTCTAAATTTTACATTAAAATTAATGTGATTAACCTATTGTTATGTATAAAAATCGAAAAGCAATTTACTTAATTTGGTTTCTCAGGCCACACATAACATAATAATTAAAATTTAGGCCATCATCTGTGAACAAAGTAAAAACAGTATGACCTGAGAAATGTCATATTAGCAGTGCTTGTATACATAATGTACATAATAGGTGCAGATTTTACTATGCATTTTATTGTTATGTTCAACATTTATAACAATACCTTATCATAATTTGTATGCTTCTAGAATGAACAAATAAACAATAATTTATTAGACTTACAACATAGATCTATTCAAATATATCCTTAAAGTTATACAAAACAACAAATACATCACAAATACTTTCTGAGTAGGGTACATATTTACAAATGAAAATGAATTATGTCAAAACAGCATTTACATAGCACATATCAGATCCTTCAATATGACCTTTAAGATCTGTGATCTTGACCTTTTAAATTAGTGAAGTTGTTATAATATAACATGTTTTCCTGTCAGGAATGAAAGAACAATGATTTATACAAATACAATGTACACTTAACTGACATTAAAACAACAACATAAAACATGAACAGATATATTTCATGGACACACAGACATACAAACACAATAACAACACACAACATTATATGATAATCCCTTATGATAAGACATTACATAACATACTACTTACCTTGTCATAATTTTTCAAGAATGAGTGTACAACAGCTTGCTGGGTGGGGCGTTGTCCCATAGATACATTACTGCCAATCTCTGAAGCATGTCTATAATAAAAATATGTTTTAATGTCAGATTTGATATTCCAATACTAAATTTGTTAACTTTCATTCAATATCTTAGGTTAGTATATTTAAGGTGAAGTTTCATAAAAATTAATAAAAGAAGCTTTTTGACTTTGGTGCAAAACAATTGTATGTCTGTACTTATAATGCAGTTACATAACTGTTGCAACAAATCATGCCATGAAATTGAATATATCACTGAAATAGAGAAAATCACTGTATTATGCTAATTATAAAAAAGATATTTTTCACATTAAGAGAAAAATAAGTAAAGAAGTGAAAGATAAGAAAATACCTGACACAGAAAGCTGCAAGGTCAAGGTGACCTAGTTCCAGTAAAAGTTGACCCTGAAAAATACAGAATATATTACATCTTTTACCACATTTTATGTTCATTCTTTTTTAAACTTTCATGTAATAGTTCTGTTTTACAATTCAATTTACAAAGTCATTTTTTGTCCACCAAATTTTTGGCACTTGGATTGCACATGGTTGCTTTTAATAATTAAGTCTTTCATTTACCTGTAAGTCTGATAAATATATAAAACATGTATATTGCTTTTAGTGCACAACAAGTTTTTCATGGATTAAAATCATATGAGTTTTATAGGAAAGTTGTTACAGGTTAAAATCTCACCCTGTACATATAGTAATGGTGTACATCTGGTCGTAGATGTATAGCTCTAGTAAAATCCCTCAGAGCTAGTTTCAGCTGAAATATATAAACATATTCTTTATAAATACATACTTCTCAGTTTTTGTTGTATATAATATATGTATATGACAACATTGTTAGGTAGTGTGTATCTTTTAAAGAAATGTAACATTCAAAAGTAAAAGAAAAAAGAAAGAAACTTAACATGTGTCTTCATTGCTAAACAGTTCCTCTAAAAGTCAAGCTAAAAAGTGATACTTCTTTAGATGCTCTAAATTAACAAATAACATTATGCTTATACTGATCTTACCTCATGTATTTTATGATAAGCTTCCCCTCTACACACATAGGCTCTAACATAGGTCGGATCTACTTTAATGGCTGATGTAAACCTTTTGATGGCTCTAAATGAAGAAATAAAACAAACATCTTTTACTTAAAAAAAGACATACTTGTTTGATATAAAAAAATGAGTGTTTGAAGAGGATTGGTCTACTATACTAAATAATCTAAATATGAGCCGTGTCACGACAAAACCAACATAATGGGTTTGCGACGAGCATGGATCCAGACCAGACTGGGCATCCGCGCAGTCTGATCAGGGTCCATGCTGTTCGCTTACCAACTCTTTTACAAGTAGAGAAACTAATAGCGAACAGCATGGATCCTGATCAGACTGCGTGGATGCGCAGGCTGGTCTGGATCCATGCTGGTCGCAAACCCATTATGTTGGTTTTGTCGTGACGCGGCTCATATAATTATTCATTGTAATATATACCTTCTAGACTAATTCACTTTGAGTTTATGAAGAAGAGAACGGCTGGCGATAAAACATGGCTATTGATAACTAATACAATGATGAAATTCTTTTTAAAAAGGCCATGCTAATTACATTTTGTAAATCTGAATAATTGTTAGCTTTCTTGTAATTTAGGTTCTATGTACAAACACCAAGGTTGTAGATAAAAATGATATTTCAATACTTTTTGGTCCTCTTTTATCTGCAATAATCATTTGTCATTTAAACCAAGAACTTACTGTTATAACTGCTACAATGTACAACTTAGCTTATGATATTTTTAACATTTTTTATGGTATTTTTTTTAAATATGTTACCTATGATAATTATCATAATGATTCATCATTATCAACCCAAGATTCACGTGAGCACAGGCATTGTCTTTGTTCAACTTTAACACACTCTCAAAATCTGGTATAGCATCTTCTGGTCTGAAAGTATAAAATAATAGCAAAAATTGAAAAGAAATATTACTTATGGCAATGAATGCTCTCTGAACATGGGACTTCAAATGTCTTTTGACAACAAGTTATTGTTGTTAACATAAATTCCAAGTTCAAGGGGGTAAAATCTAGAAATAGTCACACTAGAGTTATGGACCTTGTCACACAACATGTGTGTAATGATAAGAAAATATATTTGAAGTTTAAAGTAGATACCTTAAATAGTAAAGAAGTTATAATATTTCTTAAAGAAATTTCTAAGTTCAAAGGGAGATTATCTGAAAAACTTGCTTCAAGAGTTGTGAACCTTCTCACATAAGATCTGGTTGATGATAAGGAATATGTATTTGAAGTTTGAGGTCACATACCTTTAAAACTAAAGAAGTTATAGTAAAAAATAACATTTTTCAAGTAAAAAAAATCTAAGTTAACGGGGAAAATTCTTGCAATATTGGTACTAGAGTTATGAACTTTGTCACATAAGATGTGTTTAATGATAAGGAACAATTGAAGAATTAAGTTGATCCCTTAAGAAATAAAAAAAGTAACAGTAAAAAATAACATTTTTTTAAGGAAAATTCTAAGTTCAAGCAGAGATAAATCTGAAAATATTGGTGCTAGAGTTATGAATCTTGTCACATAAGATGTGGTTGATGATAAGGAACATATATTTGATGTATAAAGTTGATCCCTCAAGAAATAAAGAAATTACAGTAAAAAATGATATTTTTTAAAGAAAATTCTAAGTTCTAGGGGAGATAAATCTGATAATATTGGTGCTAGAGTTATGAACCTTGTCACATAGGATGTGGTTGATGATAAGGAACATATATTTGAAGTTGATACCTTAAAAAATGAAAAAGTTATACTGAAAAATATTTTACTGCACCAAAACTTTAATGCGGATGCTGATGCCAAGGCGAGTAGGACAGCTCTCTATTTACTTCGTTAGTCAAGCTAAAAACTAAGCAATCTAGAGAACATATTTCTGTAACTGTGGTTAGTTCGAATGAGATAGCATTGATAGTTTAGGAGTTATACTCTTGACAAGGATAATTAAACATTTTTCAATATCATCAAGGGAGACAAATCAAAGATTAAGCAAGGCAGAATTATGGTTCCTTGACACTGCAATTCCTTTCACTATTCACTATCTCTGTGTTAATTTTTGAGTTAAGTTCTTTGAACAAACACTATGAAATTTCATAAAGGGAGATAATTAAACATTTTTAAGCGTAGAGTTCTGATTTTTTCACAGTCAAGTTGAGCCCCACTCTTTTTATAAACTGAACATAAATTCCAATACATAATTACAGAAATAATTACAGATTTTTTTTTTTAGGCCAATTCAATTATTTATCGTTTAAGCCAAGAAGATAATTATATTGAAAGGAATTATGGCAAAATGAAAACTTATTTTGACTTTCACCAGTTCACTCACTATATACCCTTGGATGGGCATTTATAATATCACTTTAGGTTTGAACTTTCCATATGTACAATCAAAGAAAAAAAATCATGGTTCACAGCCCCCAGTGAGGATCGAACTCACGACCCCTGGTTTACAAGACCAGTGCTCTAACCACTGAGCTATGGAGGCTCATGTAGGCCTCTCAGATAGAAATTTAATATTTATATAAATATCAGATAAGCTATCATATGTCACATTGGATATTTGCCATACACCCATTTCAATAGCTTTATATACACAATGTGCAGCATATGTAGCCTCTATAGCTCAGTGGTAGAGCACTGGTCTCGTAAACCAGGGGTCGTGAGTTCAAACCTCACTGGAGGCAACAATCTTTTTTTTACATAATATTTTAATAAGAAGAAAAACAACTGACCTATAATTAAGTTATAGATTTCACTAACATGCTATTTTATGTAGTAAATTATGACATGATGATATGCCTGATGTAGAGTATTATATTACTCCAAACTAGTAACAAATAAAATCATTAAACTCGACCTGGTATTGTATGTGTGTTCCTCACCTATTTAAATCACTGTTTTATAAATTATGACATGTTAAACCCACTCATGTAAAGTTTTATCTATTCAAAAGGATTATCTTATTACAGGATTATCCTAATAAAGACTTTCTGTTGAGATTGACTTTAATCACATTATAAAATAAAGAAACATTGAATTACTGATTTAAACAAATATTTCAGCTGAAATAAAATTTGCATAACAAAAAAAGAAATCAGATGCATGAATACATTAACATATAAAAAAGATAGATATATTAATCATAAAAACAGTCATTTTCACATTATTTCTTACAAGATTTCACAATAAACCTATTAACCAACAGTATTTCAATGATACAAATGTTGTAAGTTCTGAGATAGAAATCTTAAACTGTCTTTTAACTTTTTTAACTTAAAGGTTGCTTTGATCAGCAATACATTGTATATTGCATATAAAATATGATTTTTTTTTTTCATTTTTCGTACAAAAATCATACTTCATTATGAGCTTTAATATTAATGGTCTCCCCCACCGCCCCCTGTAACTTTTGCAACAAAAAAATATTTGTTCACAGCCCCCAGTGAGGATCGAACTCACGACCCCTGGTTTACAAGACCAGTGCTCTAACCACTGAGCTATGGAGGCTATATGGCCATATTGTACATATATGAAGGATTAACTATAATAGCATAATAAAGGACAGGCTGTGACTTGTTAAGTTATTGGATTATTTCTTATCTTACTTCACAATGTCTGTACTGATATGGTATTAAGTTTAATTACAATACAGCAGTATATCATATGCCTCTATAGCTCAGTGGTAGAGCACTGGTCTCGTAAACCAGGGGTCGTGAGTTCAAACCTCACTGGAGGCAATGTAAATTTTTAACATTACATAATGACAAGATAAACACCTTTAGTCACCTGATTATCATACATATCAAATCTTGTTATCTTAATTCAACCTGTCATATTTGACAGCTGAATTCAATTTTTTTTTCTCATGTTATAAACTTCTTTATTGTTAACTTATTCAAGTTATACATATATTCTGATGTACATAAGGTTTAATTTTGGAATGGACTTGCCCATGTTTCAATCTGGACAAATTTAATTACCTATTTATCATTTTAAGGGTTTATACTAGTGAATAGTGACGGCACAATCTTAGTCTGCATTGGGTGCATTTTTTTTCTAAAATATCTTATTTGTAAATCCATATATTATCACTTTAGTGCAGTAATGGATTAACACTGTATATCATTTAAAAGAAGATAACCTGTTACTGCACTAAGGTAACAATTTATCAGTTCATATTTAAAGTACTTTGCATCATTTTCAAACCAAATAAATTCAACCAGCTATGCAAACAGATTAAAAAGCATAATCTTTGCTATTATCTTTGTGTAATAAATGCATTTTTATATTGGTGAGATGATTTTTGTAAAATATTGGCAGATTGACAGAATAGGATAATTTCTTTTAAAGTTACTAAATTCAAGATAATATTAATTTCAACCCTAGATTTATCACTGTATGTGAACTTTATACAAATAGTTTTTTTGTCATTACAACTAGTTAGAACCATTATTTGCGAGGTTTTATTGTGGTGATTGGTGTTATGTATAATATAGTGAATAATATTAATAATATAGTCTAATAGCTGTAGGGCCCAGTGGTCTAGTACTTTTGCACAATAAAAATTATTATCCTTGAAAAACCTAGTGAGCAAATGATCTGAAATTCTGTACACAAGTTATTAGTTATTAGACATTTATCAAATGGTACAAAAATATTAACAAAATTTTTCAGTCCAGTCATATCAAACAAGAGCTGTCGGTAGGACAGCAACGCTCGACTATTCTTAGTGCTTGATTGTAAAAAAAAATTCTTGATACAGTTACCTCCTCCTGTTTACAGGTTGGGGTAATGATGGTGAACAAGTGTGCAAAGTTTCAAAGTCATATATCAATGGACTTTGAAAATATTTGAGGTATTACAAAAACTTTAACATAAATTCTAAGTCGAAAAAAGGGGCATAATTCTGTCAAAATGATCGATACAGTTACCTCCTCCTGTTTACTGGTTGGGGTAATGATGGTAAACAAGTGTGCAAAGTTTAAAAGCCATATGTCAATGGACTTTAAAAATATTTGAACTATTACAAAAACTTTAATGTAAATTCTAAGTGGAAAAAGGGGCATAATTCTGTCAAAATGCTTGATACAGTTACCTCCTCCTATTCACAGGTTGGGGTAATGATGGTGAACAAGTGTGCAAAGTTTCAAAGCCATATGTCAATGGACTTTGAAAATATTTAAACTATTACAAAAACTTTAATGTAAATTCTAAGTCGAAAAAGGGGCATAATTCTGTCAAAATGCTTGATACAGTTACCTCCTCCTATTCACAGGTTGGGGTAATGATGGTGAACAAGTGTGCAAAGTTTCAAAGCCATATGTCAATGGACTTTGAAAATATTTAAACTATTACAAAAACTTTAACGTAAATTCAAAGTCGAAAAAGGGGCATAATTCTGTCAAAATGCTTGATACAGTTACCTCCTCCTATTCACAGGTTGGGGTAATGATGGTGAACAAGTGTGCAAAGTTTCAAAGCCTTATGTCAATGGACTTTGAAAATATTTAAACTATTACAAAAACTTTAAACGTAAATTCTAAGTCAAACAAGAGCTGTCGGTAGGACAGCAACGCTCGACTATTCTTAGTGCTTGATATTAAAAAAAAATGCTTGATAGAGTTACCTCCTCCTGTTTACAGGTTTGGGTCATGATGGTGAACAAGTGTGCAAAGTTTCAAAGCCATATGTCAATGGACTTTGAAAATATTTGAACTATTACAAAAACTTTAACGTAAATTCTAAGTCGAAAAAGGGGCATAATTCAGTCAAAATGCTTAATAGAGTTACCTCCTCCTGTCTACAGGTTGGGGTCATGATGGTGAACAAGTGTGCAAAGTTTCAAAGCCATATGTCAATGGACTTTGAAAATATTTGAACTATTACAAAAACTTTAATGTAAATTCTAAGTCGAAAAAGGGGCATAATTCTGTCAAAATGCTTGATAGTGTTACCTCCTCCTGTCTACAGGTTGGGGTCATGATGGTGAACAAGTGTGCAAAGTTTCAAAGCCATATGTCAATGGACTTTGAAAATATTTGAACTATTACAAAAACTTTAACATAAGTGGTTACGCCGACGCCAACGCCGACTGCAATAGCTCTACTTATTCTTATCGAATAGTCGAGCTAAAAAGGGGCATAATTCTGTTAAAATGCTTGATACATCCTGTTCACAGGTTGGGGTAATGATGGTGAACAAGTGTGCAAAGTTTCAAAGCCATATGTCAATGGACTTTGAAAATATTTAAACTATTACAAAAACTTTAACATAAGTGGTTATGCCGACGCTTGGGTGACTACAATAGCTCTACTTATTCTTATCGTATAGTCGAACTAAAAAACTCAGTGGAGTCCCTTTAAACAGTCCTTATGAGAATAGCTAAGACTATAAAATTGAGATCCCGAGTATTGCATATGTTATTCCATCTGAAGAAAATAAAAATTCATTAAAGGGGACAATACATTTTTTTTTGTGAGTGAAATAATCTCCATTTATTTGTGTTCATATAAATTGATTAGTAAACTGATTGTACTTCGAGAAAAATTAATAATCATGCAATATACTCCCTCCTGGTGATTAACTTAATTTTTAAGGTTGAAATAATTTTAATTATGAGAATCTGATGATAATCTCAAGACATCTGTAGTACAGTTTTTAAAGCAACACATTTTATGTTTAAACATAGCCAGTTCAGTACCAGACTCATTATCAGTATTGCTGGCCATGCGGAGCAAGCCATTGTTTCCTTTAGAAAGAAATTTTACACTCACTAGTTAGTAAAGATTGGTTCCTTGAACAGATTCAACATGTGTCTATAAACTTTCAACACAATCAAATTAAAGTAAATTCTGTACAGACAGTTACAAAATGACTCAAAAAAAATAATGCATGAAAATTTTCAAATGCAGGTAGAGATGGCCACCATTTTATTTCCAGGTTAACAAACTTCTCATATATCTCAGGAAATCAAGGTGCTTTGGAGGTGGGGTGGAGGGAGTGGGGACATTGTTGATGACATATATAATTATATGTACAAAAATAATATACAATCAGATAATAGTTATTCAAGAAATATATTTCCATTAACATAAAGATTATATATTTATGCCCTCAAAAATCTGCCAATGAATCAAAAGGAAAAAGGGCTAAATCAGACTAGGTTGACTACAAAGGAACTCTGGGAAAGTAAGTGCAGATTGCCGGATTGCATTATTGGATATATTTCATATATATTGGATTATTATTCATATAAGTACAAGATATAAAATTTTAACACAAACATTGCGGCAAATGGCTGATGCCACTCCTTGCTACTTTATTATTTCACAAATTTTGTGGATTTTTAAACTATCCCATGATGTCAAATTGAAGTTATATCCTTACTGATTGTATGCTCTGATAAATAAAAGATAATTTAATACTGGACATACAATATATAAATATGGTACAAGCAGGCAATGAACCTTAATTTTTGATATCAATTACCCAGATTCCTAGGGGTATAATGTTATAACAGGTAAATTATTCTAGGTGTAAGCATTTTGTGAGGTAGTGTTTGTCCCAAATGTGTAAGATTCTTTGATTATGATAGTTATATAAAGGTATAAATAAAAGATATCTTACTTTCCCATGGCATTATACAGGATTCCTCTATGAAGATATGAGCTGATGTTTTCATCGGAATCATTTATCATAAGTGATACACTAAAATCATGTAATGCTCTCTTTGGGTGAGCTCTAAAAAACAAATTATGGAAAATGTATACATCATGTAAGGTGAGTAATTTATATAACAACATTAATAATTCCCTATCAGTAGATAATAACATCACTGGAAACATAGTTCAGGCCCCGGTTTCACAAAGAAACTTAAGTCTGTTGTATTGAATGTACTTATTTTACAACTTAAGTTGAGTAAAAATTTGAGTTGTGGTTTCACGAACTTTTAATCAACTCCTCATAATGCTCAAGGCTTGAGTTGAGTCTGATAATTTGAGCCAGCTAAGAAGCTACCTTAAATTTCTAAATTTCTACTCAAATATGGTCGAATTTATGAGACGCATTGAGTGTATTCGCAGACACCATCGTTTTGCAGCTGCTGTCAAGAGAATAATACCTGAAAGAATCAATCGGACCTATTTGCTAGATGAAATTAGGTAAAGCAGTGCCTGTAAGGACTAATGACTTATTTAACTAAACTGCATAAAAAAACACACATATACATGTATATATAAAAAATATAAGTATATACATACTTTCTCAATATACATGCTCTATGATAGAAAGCCTGCCAGTGGTTTGGATCCAGATGTATAGCTGCAGATAGGTCCTCTACTGAAGGGCTCCACTGACCCATGGCAGCATAGGCACGACCCCGAAGTACACGAGCAGAGGCATTTAGCGGGTCAACTCTCAGTAAGTCAGTAAAATCATTAATAGCATTTCCCCAGCTCCTGTTCAAAATATGATACATATATTATCAGTCAAGTTCTGAAAGATTTTACTGTCTATATCTGGTCAGTTATGTAAAAAAATAAGATGGTCAGTATTGTCTTGCAACAAACAAATTCTACATCCACTAAAAGGAGAAGAAAATTATTGAATGATTTAAGGATCCATAACAAGTTTTCTTGTTTCTGGTTGTTTTTTTTTTTTGTTGTTCAAGGGTTTTTCTATTTTTTAACTTCAGTGGTTTTTCATAGAGGTCTATCAAAATCATCTGACCAATATTCAATGAGCTCCATCTAATGATGTTACATTTAAAATTATGTGATGAGTACATCAATAGTTCATAGAATTGATTGTCACAGCAAATTTAAAATAAATCTGATCAGTACTTTTAAAGGAGTAATTGATTGTTGGTGCCTGATGATACAGCATTCAGTCTATACTGATAAGCCCTCCTGAAACTTATTTTAAGTGAGCTAAAGACCTTACAAAAAGGGATATACACAGGCATTATGATTATATTATAATGTACTCTTTTACGACTGTTTTTCCACCAAGGGTTCATAGCTTGTGTTGCTTTTTTTTACCCGAAAGTTTAATTTTTAATAATCCTTTCATGAAATGTGTGGTAAGCTGATATTCATAGCATAAAAATCAGCCTTACTTATTTTCAAAGTAGTACATTCCATGTTTGAGTATAGCATCTGTCCTAGTTGGCTTGATCTTTGTACATGCGGAGTAATCCTCCAGGGCCAATAACATGTCTCCACGCTTTTCATAACACTCTGCACGTGCAAAATATGCCTCATGGTCTCTAGGGTTGAGTTTTATTGCCTGTGTATAGTTGACTATCGCCATGGTGATGTCATCTTGTTTCTTATAAATTTCAGCCCTGAAAGTTAGAAAAATACATGTGTATTATATAATGTTATATAGCATACACATACAGTATTCCTCAAAACACTACAATGCTTTATCTTAAAACACTGCAAGGCTTCAGCAATATTTCTATAATTCAAAAAATGCTTTATCATAGTTTTTCAAGGGAACATACACAAAACATATACAAAGTTTGTAAAATTCAATGTGGAAAATACTCATTTCTTTCCAGATTGTCATAGAATGTACAGTTCTGATATGCTCCAAGTCCAATTCAAATGCCAATGTCAGCAAGGATCAGTTTGGTTCAACTTAAACAATGAACTTTCTAAATTCAATGGGGAAATATCATATTTCCTAGATTAAATCAAGAATTTCATAGAACAAACACTTAGGAATATTTACATGGATCTATATGCCCCAGCATGTGATTTTGTATGTTTCAGTAGAAATGTAAGGTCATCCAGGGCTTCTTTCTTCCTATCTTGTAGAATATACAGTAAATGTCTGTGCCAGTAGGCATCTAGTAACAGTGGCTCTAGTTGTATAGCTCTGAAAATAGGCAAAAATTGTCCAAAATAATACAACTCTTTTTAGCATATATGGATTTAAAATATCTTGGATATTGTATTCTATAAAGTTTTTGAGATCAATCTTAGCATTTATATTACATTCAAAACTACACTGTAAATGCTTAAGATTATTTCTAAGTTATTTCAGGTTTTCTTTCTTCATTCATGTAAATTAGTTTATTTGTCAGTTTCATATATACATGTTATTATACTTTAGAAAATAATTCATGAAATTGAACAAATGTTTTATCATTCAGTAAAACACCAAAGAAAAAAACATTCCATCACTCAAGCACTTTTATTGTCATCAACTTCTAAAAACTACATGTATAACTACACCAATAAAATATTCTCAATAGGTTCACTCATTTCCTTGCATTAATTCACATTTCTTAAAAAGATCAATAAAAAGATGCCAGTACCTTCCTAAGTCATCCTCTGCTGCCTTTAAATAGCCAATCTAGTAAAAGGGAATAAATTTTCTAAAAATTAGTAATGGCAAATTATGTCTTTTCTGCATATGTTTAATTCAGGACAAAAAGTTGAAACATGTAATATTGTAGTAAATCAATATACATAACTAAGTCTTAAAAAAGTTAGAACTATAAATGTTTGCTCAAATGTTGGGGATCATTGAATTCAGCACTTGCTAGGGGGCCTGAGGGATGTAGCATTATCCCTCATGTACAGTCTCAATCAAACCAAGTGTGCAATTTTCATGTTATTTTGATCATATTTTTCAAGATATTCAAATACTACTTCTAACTAAGCATGATCAGTGGTGAAATGGGTTGAGCTGTCACAGCAGTTGTTTTTTAATTTTACTATAACAAATATTCTAAAATGCTTTTTAAAATTATTTCAACTGATGGGCCCTATACACTAATTCAGCCTATAACAGCTTTTATGAAAAAATGCATCAATAATAATAAGCTTTAAAATATGAAAACAAAATTTTGACACTACTATTTGATACTCAAGTATTGTTTCAAGTCTTTAGACAAGCTTTTATCGGATGCAGACAGTATTTTAACAGATTTCCTGCCTTTCTATATAGAGCCCCACGTCTGCTGTAGTCAAATGCTTTAGGTCTCTTCACTTTGTTCATCTCTCCTGTCAATTTCTCTATCTCCTCCATTATAATCTTAAATATACATGTATAATATAAAATAGCAAGAGGAATATTAATTTACAAAAGTTATTATTACTTAATGGAATAAATAAGTATTATTTAGCTATCTGAAATAATAGCAACAAACATAACAAACTTAAAATAAATCATGTACAAAACAAGAACTGTCGGAGGACAGTAACACTCGACTATTCGAAAAGTTGTCACAAGGGTGTTTCATTGAGTATAATAATGCTCACTTATATGAATACATTAAATTGTCAAAAAGGTACAAAGGCTTGTCATTAAGATGTTTTATCGAGTAAATCACTGCTTTATTATTATAAATGCATAAAATTGTCCCCAAAAAAGGCACAAACAAAGTCGATAAAGGGGCATAATTATGCAAAAAAGCAAATCAGAGTTATGGGACTTGTGCCAATCATCTTAGATAATAAATAAACAAGTGTGTGAAGTTTCAATCCATTCCCTTCAGTAGTTATGGAAATACCAGCTTACGCGCAAAAACTTAACCACAGGGACGCCGACGCCGACAAATGGGTGACTGCATTAGCTCTATTATTCTGTGAATAGTCGAGCTAAAATCTCATTATATATCATATATATCATTCTATATTTGTGTTTTCTTTTCTTTGAATTTCAAATTTCATATAATATACAGTATATATAATACACTAAAGACAACATAATGAACCTTATTTACCCCATAGCTAAAATGTCATATTCAACATATTCAATAAAGTTCAAAGTTAATTTCATAAATATCATAAAGGAGTCTAAGGAGCTGCATACAAGTAAACTTTACAAATAATCTAAATATATACATGTATCTTCAAAACCTGTACCAAATAAAAGTAAATCAAGGACAATAATCAGTTACACTTTATAATTAAATGAACTAATCAGTAAAAAAAGGTAAGGATTATCACAAAATTGACACCAGAAGGAATGATAAACTAAAATATAACAACTTTTTATCTAAACTTGAAAAAAACCTTTTCTAACTATCTATCTACATTTAAGTGCATTCTACACTGTAAAGGATCACTACTGTGCTTTTCATAACATCACTGATTTATGAGGATATTCAATATATAAATAACACATAGGTTTGTGGGTAACAGTTAAATTATCATCCCAAGGAAAATACTGTTACCCATGTGTAAGCCGAGGGTAACAGTAATTTGACAAGGGCTGTTACTTACAAACCTTTATATTATTTATTTTATTTCCCTCAACAAATACTTAATGGAACACTGTTTCTGTATGTTTTTATTTTTCAGATTTTTTACTCTGAAAAAGTACTGTTACCAATGTAACAGTACAAAATTTTTAGCCACATGACAAAGAATAACTCCCATTGGTCTATGGGAAATCAACATTACAAAAATAGTGAGTGGTAATAATATTCAAAAAAATATTAGTAAGTTTATAAGAGTTGTTATCTGGTAAATGAACAATATGTAGGTACAACAACCTTTGACAAAATTACCCAAAATAAATAAAAAAACATTACAATAATCAATAATCACCCTATTACTGGGAAACTGAAAACACACAACTTCTTTGAAAAGCATTTTATAAACTACCATGCATTTTCAGATTTTCATTATACTAGATTTATAGTGTGCCTTATGATAATTTATGATAATGTCAAAAAAAGCTCGAGTGTCATGTATCCATAGTCACTGAGACCACACAAATATTCTGTTCTCAATTCTGGGACTGAAGAAGAGAGATCTACAGTGATAAAAACTTCCTTATCTGTAAAAACCAGGACATTTTAGTATGTTACTGTCATGTCTGATTTTTAAAGAAAATAAAAAACAACAATTATTAACATTTATTTAGCAAAATCTCAAAATGTCCTATTCTTACAAAATATAAAGAGTTATGACTCTTTGATAGCAAAGCTCATTTATGAGTAGTAGAGATTAAGTTGTGATCCCTTGAAAGAATAGATGACTTTGCATGATGATATCAGTACTCAAATAATCAATGTCTTGTTTCATAACAACACATCTTTAAAATAATGTGATTTTAGCCAAGTGTAATATTTTGTAAAATTGATGCTGACTCTTATATGAGCTACTTCACAATGCGTTATCTTAATTATGTAGTCTATTCATATAAACAGATTTTAAATCTATAAATGCATATAATGCTTCCTCAAAGTGCCAGTCTGCTCATTAGAGCAGTATGACCAAGTTCATTTCTGTTTGGCTGTTAAATTTTAAGTTTTTGATAAATAAAAAATCCCTCGAACTTTGCAATTCAGAATTCATGTCAGGATACAGCCATTACTTACATTCCACTGGTTTAATGTCAGGGACATAAGTGAGTAAGTGTTTACCTGGTGAACCTCTAGAGTTTCATCACTCTCAGTTAATGGTTCTATATATTCCATACCCTCCGGTACTGAGCTGGACATTGAACTTTTCCTAGAAAGTGACAAGTAAAATCACAAGTTAAATGTATAACCAGAAGATGTACAATGATGAATTCTACTTCTATTCATTTGTTTTTGTTGTTTGTTTTTTGCTACATAATGATTACTAAGCATTGCATCATTAAAAGTTGCTTTTTACATGTTCTACATCTGTTTTCAAAAGTCCCCCCCCCCTGTTATTTAACTGTTAGTACTTACTTGTTTCAGTGTACATGTATTTGTAAATGTTTCTTAAATAGGATATTTTAGATGCATTTTGAAACAGTTCCATTATGAACTTGTAAAGTAATTTTCTGCATGCAAGAACTTGCCAGAAGGTGACTCCTTGAAAAAGCATCATTGTTTTATACCAATTTATGACTCAAGTATGCTGTAAAATTTACACATTCTATTTACAAGATATATATATTAAATAAACTGGCATTATATACCTCTTCCTTTTCCTTTCCTCTTCTTCTCTTTCAGCTATTTGTTCTTCTGTCAGTTCCTCTTCTTCTTCATAATCTGAATCTTCTGGAGTAGGTGGAAAAACTTCATCAAACCAAGTATTCCAAATATCTCTAACCCATTCACGAGTGTCGTCCTTTTTCCTACAGAAAAAAGTAGTAACAATAGGAGAAGAGGTGGTGTACAGATAAAGGTGTTTGCTTCTTAATGCAGGGACTGCAGGTTTGATCCCCTTTCGAGTCAAAACTGTTATGCCTCATATGACAGTGTGTGTGTTTGTGTGTGAATATGAGTTTATTTATACTCACCACTGGTTGCTCATATGGGCGACTCCTCCAGAAGAGTATTAGTCATTTTATACTTTGGAGGATGGTGCAAGATACAGATACAGAAAGATGGCCCATTTCCAGAAGCTTCTCCTGGTTCTTTAACGTGCCAAGTGTTTAAGCATTGATTCACAAGTCCTCAATTAAAAGTCACATCGGAAAGACATTTTAGTAATTTTAGTTGGCCAGCCTGGGAATCTAACCCATAATGTTGAGATTACAAGAATCGCACTCTAACCAAATGAGCTATGCGGGCTGGTATTTGCATGACAGCAGTACTAGAGTAAGTTATTATGTAAAATCATTTTTTGTGGGGCACTGACTTTAGTGGTTCTTGTGGATAGGTCAACACACACATTTAAGATCCAACAAAATTCTATTTTCTCTGCTATAAGATTATTTTTGGATAAAATAATTATCATTAAAAAGACAATCCAAAAATTTAAAAACACATGAAAAATTTCTTTTTTACAAAACCTCAAATTTTCATACCCATTAAATTAAGTAAAATCACACTATCTTCGAAAAGTATCTAAAATAAATACATGTATGTTTAAACTTGAGATATGTCTAAAGCTGTCATGAAATTGACCAATAGTAAACTCTATTCCTCTGCTATTGTCACAGTTGTTTTAATGACACATTAACATTTTATAAAAATATTGCAAATTAGGTCAATCTATCACACACAAAAAAACTTACTTGAGACCTTTCCTTCTACCATAATCATCAAAGTTGAAGATATCTGGCATACTTCTTCTACTACCTTCTCTAATACGACTGAAAACAAATCAAATATACTTTTTGGCTCATTAGAATAACACACAACCTTTAAGTATGTATTCAAAACTTACAAATTAGAGTGATAATAAAGGAAAATATAAACTAACAAAAAATTGCTGTTTTCAGATATGAAATTGCAACTGTGTTTGACGACTCAAACAAGATGGTTTCCTTAAAATAGAAAATAAACATTTGGTGAATAACTTACGTCGGAACTCTCATTTCTTTCTCTATAGGTTTTGGTATTCTGATCATGGACTCTGATCGCACTAATTTCTTCGGTTGTTTCTTTAAGAAGTTTTCAATCTCATCCAGTCTGGCCATTGATATAGTGGACTTCACCTTTTTCTTCTTCCTGATTATGTAACATATATATTGGTCGTTAAGACAAAAATTGTTGCTGTATATAATGGGAAAATAAACTCACTGCTTTTATGTTGCAAAAAAGGCTTTAACTTAGTTTTAACAAATCAAAACAACATACATGAAACAAATTACAAGAAAAAAAAACAGCACTGTTTTGTAGTGTTCTAAGCTGACAATATAAAGGTTATACATCAACTGTCCAGTTCTAATGGCAGATATCTGTAAGCAAGCTTGATAGCTTCTCAGATGAAACCATCAAAAGATCTGACAGGATTTGAAGTTTAAACCAGAAAGGCCCTTAATTTAATATTGGTATTTAAGCCTATTGTATAGGTTTTTAAATATCATCAACAGTTAGATCTTGCATCAACTTTCCTGTATTAATCACATAATACATATTTTATAAATAAATTTGTAATTAAGCTCTACTTTTGCAGTCACCTTATGTTTAAACATTACAGAAAATACATTAGACTCACACATTTTTACATTTCAAACATAAAATCCATACAACCAACCTGTTTGCCTTAAACATAAAATAAAATCAAACCATTTGCCCTTTCAACATAAAATTTATTTAAACTTACACTCAATTTCATTAACACAAAACCCTAAATGTAAAAGAAATGTTAAACATTCAAATATTCTGTCCTAATCATTTAACATATAACCAAATAAAACAACATACATGTTAACATTTAGATAACATTTACATAACAAGAACACAGGTACAACCTGAGCCAATTCAAGGCTATATCTGTATCAAAGCCCGTAACCAAGCTTGTAGGCAAGCTTATTTTCGATGGACTAAATAAATAAATAATTTATTGTTGTTTATACCAGTAATATAGGTTGTATGCCACTATGTAAATTAAAAAAAATATGTTTGCTGATCAATGCCCGACCTCCAAATGAAAAGTGTCTCGGAAATGAGTCTAAAAATTATGGCATGTATGATAAACATGAAAATAATTCACAAATAGCAACTGAATATAAATTGCATGTAAATGGTCTTTATGTTATTAATGTTTTTTCTTCAGATTTCATAAAGAAATCAAAAACTATATCACAAGATTCTGGAGATTGGATATGCTGGCTAACTAAAACAGGATACATCCCTACAAAATAAGTCACCAACAAGAAAAAATATCCTATTCTCTTTATCCATAACAAGTAAGGACCTATTAATCTATGTAATGTCTTAAACCAACAGAATATGCATGTTCTTAACTGAAAAATATTCGGGAATCCATGAAAATTATTTAAAGAATAAAACAAAAACCCTCTTACTTTTTTGGCAGTATAACATATGCCCTTCCAGCAGCCAGTGCAAGCTCTGCCGGGGTTGGTTCATCTGAAATGGTACAAATGGTACATAAATATTTAATTTATTTAATGTTTCATGCTAAATAAAAACAAGTACAATAATCTTTGTTACAGACTCTGTTATAGAGACACAAGTGTTTTCTTTTCTTTAAATACAATAGCTCTTTTCAAAACTGTTGGTTTGCTTTTTGCTCTGTATACACATGTATTTGCTTTTAAAGCAAGATATAAAGAAATAGAAAAATTTGAAACAAATATGTGCAAGATACAAATTAATAAAAAAAAGGATAATTTTGGTGTCTGTACTTCTGTAAAAGTATAGTTTAAAAAAAAACAAGGATAAAATCATTAAAAAACTATGTTGTAAAAAACAGAATAATTATTACCTTGTTTCTGGGGTGAGTGTATTTTTAGGATGTCTGCCTTGTACTCTTGTGGATCAACCCTCTAAAATCATAATCAAGAAAAATATTATTATCATAATGAAAAATATAACATAGTTCATTTCTTTTATGAGACTTTTTTGTTTGATTTATGATATGCTTAAAAAAGTAAAAAATCATAATATTCTCCATCTTTTCATTTTTCAATTTTAAATCAGTCCAAACATTTGTAAATGGTTTCCTAAAATCCAGATTGTTTTGATAAAAACTTGAAACAATTATTTTCACTTCCAATTTAGCCAAAACAACAGCTGTCCGTAACACAGTCCGCTCTTCTCTACAGTAAGGGGCATAACTATGTAAAAAGGTAACTTTATAGTTATAGACCTATGCCCATCTGATAAGACAATCACAGTGTGCAATGTGTGAAGTTTAAGTAATTTTTGAGGTACCAACTTACACCTAACAACTTAACCACAGTATGACGCAGATGTTGATTTTTGGCACAGATGCAGACATAACTACATAAGCTCTCCCTATTCCTCAAATAGTTGAGCTAAAAAATAATATTCTAAGGTATGTTACCCACCTTTAATTGATCTATGGTCTCCTCCTCCTCCTGGAATATTTCAGCTGGTTGCATCGACTCTTGTTGCTGCTGCTCTAGTTTTTGCTGGATCTTCCATTCTCGTATGTTACGTTTTTGTCTCTGTATTTCCTCCATGGCCGTGTTGAAATCTTGTGACACCATCAGTGTATCATCATCCTCATCATTTAAATCTGGTGCAGAATTTGATCTCCTACAACCATATAACACAGTAACATGAGAGCATACAACACAGTAACATGAGAACATACAACACAGTAACATGAGAGCATACAACACAGTAACATGAGAGCATACATCACAGTAACATGAGAGCATACATCACTGTAACATGAGAGCATACAACACAGTAACATGAGAGCATACAACACAGTGACATGAGAGCATACAACACAGTGACATGAGAGCATAAATCACTGTCACAAGAGAGCATAACAATACAGTGACATGAGAGCATAAATCACTGTGACATGAGAGCATACATCACTGTGACATGAGAGCATAAATCACTGTCACAAGAGAGCATACAATACAGTGACATGAGAGCATACAATACAGTGACATGAGAGCATACAATACAGTGACATGAGAGCATACAATACAGTGACATGAGAGCATACATCACTGTGACATGAGAGCATACATCACTGTGACATGACAGCATACAACACAGTGACATGAGAGCATACATCACTGTGACATGAGAGCATACAATACAGTGACATGAGAGCATAAACACAATGTGACATGAGAGCATAAATCACAGTGACATGAGAGCATAAATCACTGTGACATGAGAGCATAAATCACTGTGACATGAGAGCATACATCACTGTGACATGAGAGCATACAACACTGTGACATGAAAGCATACATCACTGTGACATGAGAGCATACAACACAGTGACATGAGAGCATACATCACTGTGACATGAGAGCATACAATACAGTGACATGAGAGCAAAAATCACTGTCACAAGAGAGCATACAATACAGTGACATGAGAGCATAAATCACTGTGACATGAGAGCATACAATCACAGTGACATGAGAGCATACATCACTGTGACATGAGAGCATACATCACTGTGACATGAGAGCATACATCACTGTGACATGACAGCATAAATCACTGTCACAAGAGAGCTACAAAAAAGTGACATGAGAGCATACAATACAGTGACATGAGAGCAAATAACACAGTGACATGAGAGCATATAATACAGTGACATGAGAGCATACAATACAGTGACATGAGAGCATACATCACTGTGACATGAGAGCATACATCACTGTGACATGACAGCATAAATCACTGTCACAAGAGAGCTACAAAAAAGTGACATGAGAGCATACAATACAGTGACATGAGAGCAAATAACACAGTGACATGAGAGCATATAATACAGTGACATGAGAGCATTCAATACAGTGACATGAGAGCATGCATCACTGGGACATGAGAGCATACAATACAGTGACATGAGAGCATACAATACAGTGACATGAGAGCAAATAACACAGTGACATGAGCACATATGATACAGTGACATGTGAGCATAAATCACTGTCACATGAGAGCATACAATACAGTGACATAAGCATACAATACAGTGACATGAGAGCATACAATACAGTGACATAAGAGCATACGATACAGTGCCATGAGAGCATACAATACAGTGACATGAGAGCATATAACATAGTTACATGAGAGCATACAAAAACAAGAATCTGTGTTTGATAAACACAAATGCCCCTGTGCTCATGTTGTCAATAATTTAGCTTTAGAGAGTGAAGTAGCTAATTTGTATGGAAGAAAACCAATGATGTGTAGAAATCTGTAATTGGCACCCTTGACCTTGACCAACTGACCCCTACCTCTATCAAAAGGAAGAATATCATGCAAGTTATTTTCCTACCAAATATGAAATAAATCTGTCAATAAATAAAGGCTGTATGGGCAAAAGTGTAAAAAATATATTTTAGCACTGGTGACCTTGACCCAACTGACCCCTAACTCCATCCAAAGGAAGAATATCATGCAACTTATTTTCCTACCAAATATGAAATAAATCTGTCAATATATAAAGGCTGTATAGCCAAAAGTGTAAAAATCTATTTTTAGCACTGTTGACCTTGACCCAACTGACCCCTAACTCCATCCAAAGGAAGAATACCATGTAAGTTATCTTCCTACCAATTATAATACAAATCTGTCAATAAATAAAGGCTTTATGAGCAAAAGTGTAAAAATCTATTTTTAGCACTGGTGACCTTGACCCAACTGACCCCTACCTCCATCCAAATGAGAATACCTCAATTTTATGTTCCTACAAAATATACAAGACATCTGTCGATAGAATAAGGTTAATACACCTGTAAAAGGGTAAAAAATCTTTTTTTGACATTGGTGACCTTGACCCAAATGACCCCTTACTAAAGGAAAAGGAAGAAGACCTCCCATGGTATGACTATTATAAACATGAAAGACATTAACTTAAAAATAAAGGCTGTATGAGCAGAAATGTTTAGATTTATTTTTTTACACAAGTGACCTTGACCTTGACCTAGAGACGCCTGATGCCACAAAAATTAGAGGACCGTTAAAGGTATCCACCTACCAAATATGAAAGATATCATTAAATGAATTAAGTAATTAGGTGAATTTTTTTGATAAATCCAACTTGGCGGAATAGGTTAACCATACAAGGCCCTATTTTCAAAGTGATAAAAAGGGAAATTACTGGGAAAATGGATGGCACATTTATATAACTTGGCAATATCATGTACATTGTATTGATAAGTATGTGTGAAAATTATTAAGTCATTAGTTCAGATAGAACATAAGATATTTCCAACTTGCCGGTTTAGGTTAACCATTATTCATTTTCTAAGTGCTGAAAAGGGCCATAACTTGGTGCAAATGGAAGCCATAGTTATGTAACTTGCCCAGATCATATACTTTGTATCGATTAGTAAGTGTGTAAATTATGAAGCCATTGGTACAGGTAGAACTTAAGAAAAATCCAACTGGCCGTTCTAGGTTAACCTCGTACGGATAGACGGACAGAAGTACTTACAAAATGGTACTTATTTGACTTTTCCTTTGATCTTTTTGGCCATTTTTAGTCACACAAGGCTTAAAAAAAGACACACAAGTAAAATCGGAATGAATAGGATCAAAGAGAATTTACAGTTACCCATTGTTCTCCAAGTCACACAAGTACCTCTGGGTTCGTACGCACGGACAGACGGACGTATGGACAGACAGTTCAATTACTATATGCCCGGGGGCATAAAAAGATACAAGAGCATATAACAGACATAAAAGAAGCATTATTATTACTTAGTTCTTATGTTTAAAGGAGACACTAACCTCCATGGGACAAAGGTGGGAAATAGATCCGAGTCGAGAACTGGTCCAGTCACCTTCACAAAACTTGACTCCAGCTCTTCAGGAACTAAAAAACAAAAACATTAAATAATCAAGAAAGGAGACCAAAAGATTATGTCTAGAGCCTTTACCTTAAATCGAACTAAAATTATGTTTTTTATTGCAAATAATGCATGAAAAATCAATAGATACATGTATGTATGTATATATAAATATGGAATTATGAAAACATACCAGGAGTTTTTACATCTTTCTCAGATTCTAAGACAATCCTATCTTCATAAGGAAACAGTGTGCCTGCTTTAATTTCCTCATCTCTCTCACGTGTGGCTTTTACCAAATCTGTCAGATCCTCCATCGACTTGTGACGTCTTAACATAATTCTGTAACAAGAAACTTGTAATCTTTAGACATTTATGTTTGATAGCATACTTTATTAAGTACCTGCACAGTAAGATCCAAGTTCAAATTAAGTTTTTTGTTCTGTTTTTTTTTGTCAGTTAAAGCTCTTGTATTATATGCAGATGGTCATGTGATCTATCACACACAAGTAATTTCAATGTCCATTATGAAATTGATACTTGTATAAGTCACTTTACCTTGTACACAGCATTATTGATATAGTTTTATATCCAATTTTAATGACATGTTATTTAAATGGCACAATTAAGTTTGTCTATGTGCTCATTGCTACAATTTTTTGTAATGGATTTGCCCTGCTTTGAAGTTGGAACAGTCCATTCAAAGTTTACGGGGTTCAATATATCAATATACAAAGATTAACAGCTTAAAAATCTAGAATATTGGTGATCTCTAAGATGCATTAATCACAACAAAATTACATGAAAATAACAGACTCAGCTTGATTGAGTCTGTAAACAATGGATAATGAGAAAGTGCAAGATCCCTCAAGGCCCTTAGCACCATCTTGAGCGGTACTTAATTTTCAACACTTTAAAAGTGCTGGAATCAATGATCCCCAACGAAAAACCTGGTCAGAATGTAAGGATGTGCAGGGTGGCCTGACACTATACTGGTGGAAATAACCTATCATACTCAGTTCCAGCAAGTTTAAGGAAGAGCATCAAGCACACACTAGTAACAACAGACTCACCTCTCTAGCTGTTCCATCTGTTCTCTATCTTCCTCGGTTATCTCAGTTTCTTCTTCTTCCTCCTCACTACTAGATGACTCCTCCATCATTTCCTGCATCTCATGAGACACTGCTCCAACTGTTGGTCTCTGATAAACATTAAAATACATTCAAATACCTAAGTACAACAATAGCATCATTCCTATCACTTGTTTGGCTCTTCAGTGGTTGAAAAAAGTTTTATCACAAGTCAAAATAAAAACATAAGGCCTAAAAATTTATTCAAACTAATTTGACCTCTTACTGACCTGAGTAAATTTCGACCATTCTTTATGCTAAGAAAACAAGCATATTTGTCAATATCAATAATAAATGAAAGTATATGTATCATCAAAAGTAAGGTTCTGCATAACAGGTCTCTTAGCAAATCTTATTACCAACAAGAACAACAATAAGTTATAGCTCATCTAATCTGAGAATGTATGCAGTGTTGAAATGTTACATAGAGGATATTTGTTTAGTTCAGTGTAAGATCGGAATATATTTCACCAAGTGAGCACCAAAAGGTATATTTCACGAGTGGCGCAGCCACGAGTGAAATATGAACTTTTGGTGTTCACAAGGTGAAATATATTATGATCTTACACTAAACTAAACAAATTCTCTTTTAATTATATGCAAATAAATGTTTTAAAAAGACATTAAACCTAATACTGAATGAAAAGCGCGCCAAATAATAATACAACGTGACGTCATTTACGATGTCACGTCATTAAGTTGGGTACACAGTACTGTGCACGCTGGTATTTCACTGAAACAACGTTAGGGGCTTAAATTCAAAACAGTGAAATTATCAAAGTGGTAATTTCACTGTTTCAAACAGTGAAATTACCAGTTTTATATCACTGATATATTTCTATAAACCACCGAAAAGCATGTAATAAAATATCATTACCTGATATTCAGGAAACAGGATGTCCTTGACCTTGGCTGGTGCTACATCAAGTTTAGGTGGAGCTGGGGTCCAGTAGAGACGAGACTCATTATACTGTGATGACATAGCAGTCCCTGCTACATTCGGACTTTCAAACTGAATGTAAATAAATCATGGCAGTGTATCAAGTCAGTCTTAAATATTTTACAAAGAAAAGGATAAAGTGCATGTTCAATATCAATAAGAGTTATATCAACAGACAGTGTCCTTCTCCAATCTGACACATTGGTAATCAAAACTAGCATTCCTAAGAAACAACAAGACACTGGTATGTAGATTATAGTAATACCAATCCTGACACATTTTGTGACCATAATAAGTAAATAATTATCTGTAACATTAATTGTATAATTGCTATAAATTGTCTTAAACCAACTGTGTCCTAAATTTTGTTTTAAATAATTGTGTAAAATTACAAAAAAACCTGCCACAGTTTCAAAATCCCTGATAAAGAGATGATTCATTACTGTTTCATTGGAGAAGGCAGTACCATTATGTCTTACCACTTATTTTTAAGTCAAATACCAACCGGAAATTTTATAATAAAGTTGTGAAAACATACACTAGCTAATTAACAAAACACAGGTGAAAGATTTTAAGCAATAAAATAAAGTGTATACCACTTCCTCTGCCCTCTGTTGCCATGCCTCCATAGTATCATCTCCATCCCCCTCCTCCTCTACCTTCTGTAATACCCTCCTTGCAGCAGCAGAGATTCTACGTTGCTCCGAGTCTCTTGTATCAGAGGCCCTCGTCTGACCACTCTGTAATGGTCTATCTTCCATAGCACTAGGTCCTCTACTACCAAACTATAGTATACACAAACATTCAACTTAATACAAAATATAAAGTCCTATAAACTCTGAATAAACAGTACCTTATTTCAAAAAGTATTTTCAAATGAATTCTATATACATTATGTTTACAACATAGCATTTTATTCAAAAGATAGTACTGGTTTAAACAACAATTAAATTCTCTATGTAGTATACTAGACAGCATCATTTCTTTAAATAATACAGCAATAAATTAAAATTATGTAAAAAGATAAAACACTTACTCTGAACTGTTGATCTGGCATAGCAAACTCAAATCTACTTGGAGTATGATACTTCCTGCCAACATTAACAAATTGTTCAGGAAGTTGATATTCTGTGGTTGCAGTACAGAAATGATGTACGCTCTTCGAGGGTCGTGACTCAGTCTCAACATCATCCTCGCGTTTACGTTTCTCTGATACTGGTTTCCATGCCGACAGAAAGGAGACTGCGTTGGAGTATACTGGTGCAGCATTGGACTTAAACCCAGGTAGTGGTGGATGGCGGCCCTCTAGGAGAGCTGATGTACCAGTCACACCAACAAGATCTTCATTCTGAACATCTGGCTGTTGTAGATCTTCCCAAGCCTAAACATCAAAACAAACTTTATATGTACATCATGAATTATATATATGTGTTTTTATAATAATATTATAAATGACATTTTCACCATTATTTACATAAATTAACATCAATTAATCATTTTATTTTAAATAAGAATTGTACACCAAAATAGATGAAATGTACATTAATAAGATTAAAATATCTAAATAATTCTGAGTCTTAAACATTTGAAGAGACAGAATAATACAATATATAATTATCATTTCACATGTAAGTTTCATTAAAAAAAAAGTAGATTTTTTTAGCATTGGTTCATACAGAATTTATTTTAGTATGATTATGTATGAAGCTATAAGCTTATAGACACACTTTCGAATTCGTTCCTGGAACCAGCCAGTAATGAGCGATGATTGTAAAGTTTCTTGTTCAAGGAAACGACGACTTGCATACTTTAGCATTGTGTGTATAAGAATACTAAAGAAAAATCATGAACTTTCCTATCTAACATAAATGGAAAATGAAACAACTGAAATGTATACAAAGATACAAATGAAGTTAGACCCTTAACCTGCTGGTGGCTCCAGAATCTACTCAGTGCAGACTATGATTAGGGCTGTTAGATCATGGTCTGCCCTGTTTGATATATTTTGAAATTTTCATTAAAAATAATAAATGGTTTTGTCCAGAATAAAATAGGACAAGTTTATGTAAGGTATTTATTTAAATATGAGAAAATAAAAGTTAATATAAATATGAGGAAATATAAGTTAATACAAATATGAGGAAATATAAGTTAATATAAATATGAGGAAATATAAGTATATATAAATATGAGGAAATATAAGTTAAAGATGTATCACCTTCTGTATGTCAATGACAGGTTCCTTATCATCATCAGAGTCAGGTTCATCAAGACCTAGAAGACGTTCAACCTCTGCTGGTCGCTGGGCAGTTGACGGAGGTACAGGCGGAATGTTGGCATCTATAGTTTGCTGGAAACATTTACAACCAAAATTTCTTAATTTAATCTTATATTTTAGTATGTATCAATACATTTGTATTTGAAAAATTAGAATGAAATCCTAATGACAACAAATTCTCTTTCAAATCAAAAGCACTAACAAAGCTAAGCTATTGAAAACACATGAAATTCTAAGAAACAAAAAAGATTTTGTTTTGCAAGCATTATTTCATATACAGTGTACTAATATAAGAGAGGCACTTTAAAAATACAGTAGTTACTAACATGGCATGAATTTTCTACCAATGTCACAAGAAATGTGTATGATTATGTTTCCCTTTATTTAAAAAATTAAACAAATACATGTACATTGTATTTCCTTCTTCCATTGTTATAAATTTCTCACATACACACATACAAAAATAAATCTATAAGTAAACTAGACAAATTACCATTCTTTCTTCTAGATATTTTTCAGCTTCTTTCTTGTCTTGTTCTAAAAAAAGAGAAGCTGTGACATTATAGCTACATTACATTTGTATACACATATACAGCATAAAGTAAGAATTTCATCTTAAGTACTATATTGACAATATTTAAATGATGAAGTTAAATAAGGGATTATTTAAATACATGCAATTAAGATTTTGTAAAGATGCACAACACGTAACACATGTCATGCTATCAAAAAATGCTCATCTCTGAGCTCTTTGTGCTCAAGTGAGCTAAAAATAGATCCTATTTACAATGGATGATCAAGAATTACCCAAAATTTGTCTGTAATTCTGATAAATTTCATGTTGTCTTCATTAAATTTATACTTGCTTAAGTTTGATGACTTACATTTATCTAATTGCAGAATACTGTAATATTAATATGCATTTGGTGTCTTTGATGTGTTCAAATTGTAATATTCTTTTTTTGTATCCTTGTAAAGAGGATATATTATGCATTAATACATGAATAGTGTTTGTTACATGAAAACTTTTGAAAAATATTATTGAATTTATGGCTGAATTCCCGATATTATTGAATTTATGGCTTAATTCCGGATATTATTGAATTTATGGCTAAATTCCGGATATTATTGAATTTATGGCTAAATTCCAGGTAATACTGGATCATCACAAGGAGTTAATTGTAACTCTTTTTGAACTAATGTTATGACTGATGCGATTGTTGGATTTTGACAATGTATATATAATATAAGACATATTATAATGTTACCATCAGTATGTTTCTCCTCTTCTTCTTCTAGAATAGCTTCCTGCATATCTCCCTCTCTCCTTTCTGTAATACATATATATAATATATACCACTATATCATATGTCATTTCAAAATATGAATGATTTCCAAAATATCATTATATCATAATTACATCATTTCAAAATATGAATGATTTCCAAAATATCATTACATCGTATGTCATTTTAAAATATCAATGATTTCCAAAATATCATTATATCATATGTCATTTTAAAATATCAATGATTTCCAAATTATTTCCTGATTAAGAACTAGAAAGGTTTGAAACTGGTAGATCTTTATTAAAATTTTGTTCACATTTATCCGGTGTTGACGTGTGGTTTCTTTGTATTCTTCTTTTCACCCAAAAGTCATAGAAGTTAAATACAATTAATTTATAATTCCTGTTGCATAATGAAATGACCCTTTTGTGTAAACCTTAAACTTAACAACATTCATGACAAATGCTTTTTTTTAATCAACAGCTTTTTTTAGTTAATTTCACATTCAAATACTGAAACATTATATAAATTCTTAGGCTGGACTTTTACAAAATTAGAATCTATGAAAGTGAGAAAATAGGAAGTAAATTATCAATATTATTTATATAATAGCTTTCAGTTTGTTAACTGTCGTGTTTTAATGTGTTATACCAATTAATACATAAAAATACTCATTCCAGCCAGTGCATTTTTATAGCATTTCAGAAGAGGTATTTCATTGAATAAAACAACATAATACTCCTTCACTGACACAGTTATTATGACCACAATCATCAACAAATATCAATTAAGCTATCACCTGTTAGAAAAACATATACAATGAATTCTGAACCCTAAGCCTTTTTGTGGCTACAAATTCTGTTGTCTAATCATTGTTTGCAGTTTGCTAAATTTGAATTTGGTCAGTTCATACTATTTCTTAAAAAATAATGAATTGTTTGTCCAGATTAAAACATTGATAAGGTTTGAGGGAATATTACCCTTTCTTGTTGTATACTGTTGCAACATAGCCATTGATCATGGCCTGAAATAAACTGAGAAAGGCTCAGCTACTCTCCCCCCGCCCCCCCCAATGTCTGGTACAAGTTTGATGTAAACTATTCAGGACACTTCTGTATATGCTGAAAAACTTTCTGTTTTTGGAAAGAAAGAATTAAGTCCCTACAAGGAAGTTTTATGAAAGTAGAGGAGGTGTAGGGATTTATAAGAAATTTCTGTTTTTGGAAAGAAAGAAGTCCCTGCAAGGAAGTTTTATGAAAGAAGAGGAGGTGTATGAAAGTTGTAAGGAACTAAAAGCAAGAAGTTGTTTCTGTTGTATCTGAGTAAATAGTTTTATATAGCATCAGTGCAGTAGTCCTTTTACGTTATAAATATTCCTGACAGGTTATATGGCCGTATATAAACGGTTGTTTGTAAATATAACCCGATGGTTACCCGTGTACAACCACCAACCTTCTATAAGCTAGTTTAATACTATTTTCATATAAAAGAATGCAATGTCCCTAGAAGGGATAGAAACCAAAGTGGAAAAGGGTACATAATTTACAATCAATGACCTTAAACACTTTTATTACATGCTTTTCGGTGGTTTATAGAAATATATCAGTGATATAAAACTGGTAATTTCACTGTTTGAAACAGTGAAATTACCACTTTGATAATTTCACTGTTTTGAATTTAAGCCCCTTACGTTGTTTCAGTGAAATACCAGCGTGCACAGAACTGGGTACCAACTTAATGACGTGACGTCGTAAATGACGTCACGTTGTATTATTATTTGGCGCGCTTTTCATTCAGTATTAGGTTAAATGTCTTTTTAAAACGTTTCTTTGCATGTAATAAAAAGAAAATTTGTATAGTTTAGTGTAAGATCGAAATATATTTCGCCTTGTGAACACCAAAAGTTCATATTTCACTCGTGGCTGCGCCACTCGTGAAATATACCTTTTGGTGCTCACTCGGTGAAATATATTCCGATCTTACACTGAACTAAACAAATATCCTCTATGTAAACAAGTAAACAAGTTGACTGTGAAATGATTCAAGTGGTTCTAAATGTTTATCGCTACTGATTTACAATTGTTGAATTTGAGAGAGTAAATTTTATGTTGCAACACTTTAAAAAAAAAAAAATTATACAATATACAGAATTGTTCTAGGACTGCTGCACTAGGGCTATAGTTGTAAGGGAGAAAATTCTGTCTTCTGATTAAATATAATATCTATCATAGATGGACACTACAGAGATTGCAATGAAATAAGTACAATTTTACAATTTGTATGTCACTAAATGTGAGATTTTGACATATTTGTGACTAATATTCCATCATAGTTTCAAAATACATATAACAAGGTAATAATAATCATAAATAGAATCTCATCTTATGTCAAGTAAAATGTCTAGTAAAAAAAATCAAGCACACCATAAAAAGCTAATGAAAACAAGTAACTTAAATTTTACCCTTTCTGTTAAGCACACAATGAAATACATAAAAAAAATAAAAAAATATTATAAACTTCAATTATCACCAAAATGTCACAGGTAAAATATTACTCCAAAGTAAAGCACTCAAGCATTAGCAACACATTTAGCAGAGAACAGATTACAGGGACACAACTCTGTCCAACCTGATTTAGCAGACGCGGTGGCAGGGCTGGGGGTAGACTGGTACCAGGAGGGATCACTGCTTCTTGTTAGAGTGGTCGAGATAGAAACTGATTTGCCAGTGTCACTGCCCCTAGTTTGTGGGGCAGAGCCACTGCCTTTAGTGAGTGGGGACATTGTTAAACTGCCCCTGGTGGGAGGGGTAGTAGTTACACTACCCCTCGTTGGCGGGGTCAAGGTTGAACGAGATTTACCATCCTGGTCTGTATCTGAAATATGTCCAATAACTTTGTTAGTTTTTGTTTGTTTTGATATTTTTTTCCTTTGAATCAATATATCATATAACCCTATTAGTCAGGGCCTTTGGTATTTGATTAATTTGGAATCAAATGTACCTTAAACGTATTTATTAAAAGGAGTTCAAACATCTAAATATCATCAAAAGTTTAATGTGTTTCTTGTTGCTTTACAAGAACAGAAGTTTGAATATCACCCATCGAATTCCTTTTTTGAAGAAGAAGAAGAAGAAAAAAAAGAAGAAATGTTTTCATGACTTAACAAAAGTATATGAATTAACATTATTATGCCAAGTAATTTGATTAACTATATATGTGAATGTTACTTATAGGTCATATCACTACTCCAGCAAAGTCCATCATGACTATTCCTGGAATTTGATATATCCAGTAATCACCTTGGTCATTTGCTAATTTTCTGACAGAAAAAATCTTATTTTTGAACAGATACAGAAGTGACATGACCATAATTCATTGTAAATTCCTATTTGCAAAAAATAGCTCCAATTCATAAGTGAAAAAAAAACCAAACAACATTTTCAAAATTGAGTGGGTAAAACAATCTAATCTATGTGAAAGGGAATACAACATCTATAAAACAACTGTTCTATACCCAGAAAGATTGCTATTTTCGGCAATTCAACTTGTACCATTCAATAATACATGTACAATTTCTTAGGAAAAAAGTTCTTTGATCCAATAGAAAATTGCATCTTGTATAACATTATGATTATGTTATTCTACTTTTCTAAACACTAGAGATTACAATTATGTATGAGGTAGACATAACTGTCACTTTATAATCTATTACCTTGCTAGATTTTTATTTTAACTTGTCCTGCATGAATTTGAAACTGTTAAATGTTAATGTATTGGGTTTTGATGTATCAATATGCTAAACATTATTTTGGTATGGCAAGTTATTTTTGCCATAAGCATTCACAAGGTTTAGAAATATAATAAATCATAAAAAATATATGCACTAAATGGACTAAAGTCAGTTATCAAGCCCCAGAAACAGAACAATGTTTAAACACAAGTTAGGTCTACCTCACCATCTACAATATACAGTTTCCAATAATAAACAAGTAGCTTAAATCTCTCTCGCAAACTGAGAAAAACTAAAATGATATCAAGACTCTAAATATGGTATATAACCAAATATAAATATAAAATAGTACAAAAAAAGAACTTGAAAAAAAGTAGTTAATAAATTCTAAAGGTTTCAATAGACAGGACTGATTTTGAGAATTTGGGTCTCTATAAGATGCTAGAGGCATTTTGTAGTACAAGTGGTATCTTGGTGTATTTTACCTATTTAAGGTATGCTGAATCCGATAAAGGTGGATACCAAACTGAAAAACTAGATCTTGACCATTGAAATGGCCATCTAAAATGACCACTAAAATGGCCGCCACATTTCTTTATCATAAATGGATGATATATCAAATAAAACTTTAATGAAAGGAAAAGCCTGAAATTTGTCACAAAGCATATTTAGGTAAAAACAAATAAGACACCAAAACAGAATTTAAAAAAAAGCCAATCCAATATGGCCGAAAAAAATCCAAGATGGCCGACATTTTCTTAAGGCCAATGTAGGAACCGCCAAATTCTTTATCATAAATGGATGATATATCAAATTAAACTTTAAAAGATAGGAAAAACCTGAAATTTGTCACAAAGCAAGTTAAGGTATAACAAATTAGACACCAAAACTGAATTAAAAAAAAACAATCCAATATGGCCGAAAAATCCAAGATGGCGGACATTTTTCTATAGGCCAATATAATAGAAATATAGAAGTAATATTTAAGATAGTACTGAACATGCTGAATATTTTAAGGCATTTAAACATAAGAGACTAGAATGTAAGAGATAAAATTTCTAGAAAGTCCCTACTCCTTTGAACCATCACTATATTTAGGGTTTACGAAGCGAACACTACACTCTTCCCTGCCCTATCTGCTAAATATATAGATACTTCATGTATTTTATCTGGCACTTTATGCATGCATATAGAGTGGCTACTCAGATTCCTACTTATATTTGCATAGCACTATATGCCAGTATTTCTTTTAACAAGGTTTTTAAACTTGACTAACCACCTGAGAAATTTCTAAAAAGTTTACTCTTACTCCTCAGAGCTGCCCAATTCAATTCACTTATTGCGATATTGAAATTCAGGAAAAATTAAGTAGGATGATTAATATTGTCATTAGAAATTTTAAACCAATAACACTTATATAACAGCTTAGATTTAAGTTTGCTTCACTAAAGGATTTCTTATTACTGTCAAACAACCCTATCCTCCCATGCATGCACTGGTTTCCAAGTCAGATGTCAGTGAATGAAGCCGGTGCTAGGGGGCGTGAGGGATGTTGCACTTATTCATTATCTCTCATGTACAGACTCAATCAAACTGAGTCTGCAATTCTTATGTAATTTTGTTGTGATTAATGCTTTCGAGGGATCACTTTGTTTCCAGAATTTCACCTAAATACACATCTACATATCCACAAGCTGAACTGCATGAACATCTAGAGGATTATATTTTGATCCCAGTTAAAATGCCCTATCCAGCAACTTACAAATTTTATTTATTGACCAATAAGCAAGAACATTAGGAAAAAGCTGGGTTACTATGATGTCAATAATTGGAGTTTGTTTTCATAATGACATTGTTATAAAGCCATAGGATTCAAGCTAAATAAGAGTACAATTATGAAAATTTTTAATTATTATAAATAACGAAATGGCATTGGATTTTTCAATGTTTAGCGTGAGCTTCATAATGGCCATGTCAAACAGTTCGTCAGAATGTTTGAATCTTATAACGGCCGACTTTTCTCGTTATGGACGTGTTTTTTTCATAATGGCTGAGTTTTCTATCCATAATGAAAATGCATCAGCTCTGAATTGCAAGTGCTAATGCGCCCAATATTGCACAGTTAATTAATAATGCATATTATAAAACTCATATTGAATCAAAAACCTCCGAACCCTTGGGCCAGACTAAGAAAAAAAGTTTTTAAGTTGGCAGCAACAATTATTGCCCTGTGACTTTGTCATTGAATGAGATGTCATGGTTATGACTTCAAATTCTGCTAAATGCTCGTTTTATTTTCATCACAAGAAACCCTATACCACGCAATTTATGAATAATTAACATTAAAAAAGACATTATATTATGCAAACGGTTTGGCTTTCTTTTTTTTAATAACAGTTACTTGTACTTGAAGCTTGCTCAAAGTAGGTTACGACAAAGTGTTCTACTGTGATGTCAGCCAAACAGATTAACTACAACATGCACATCCAGGCTAAAATTGCCATTGACCTTCGAACAATAGAAAGTTATCAGAAGTTATCATAATTATTCATGAAAAATTAATGTTATTCTGTCAATCCCTGCAGAAAAGTTAGAGTAATTTATTGTAACTGTTGTAAAAGAATAAGAAATAATTGTGTCTTAATCACTTACTTTTTAAAGTAATTTGCCCAAGGTATGATTGTGGCTAACTACAACCCATAAGATGTAAAATTTGAGTAATTTGTTTCTAAATGTTGTGACCCACTAAATCACTGGGTGTACTTATATAATTTTCTGCTTTTCTTGCAGTTATCCTTACTCCCAACATTACTAAATAGTCAGAGGTTGAGCCACTCTTAAACTACTCTTCCCCCACCATTACTCATGGGAAATAGCCTTTCCTATAGGTACCATAACCACCACTATCGCTAAACCTAAGTCTCCAAGATACTCAGCATCAACGGCAACATATAGAGCGAGCTTCCCATATAAAAGTTGTAGGAGAGTGATCAGAAGACTGGTATGACCGTATGATTGCTTATCAGTTCTTACCACCACTACTCCATCACTACTCCCTAACCACCATACATTTTCTGCATTTACCCCCCAAAAATATAGACAAATAGTCCTGTCGGTATTTACTGACCGATGAGATGGCTTCATTGATTGTGTTGGGATCACTAATGTTAATTTTAAGCCACCCGTAATAGAATAACTTGTCCTAATATACTTGTTTTAAAACAAGCCACGCTTATAAATGCTAACAATTTTCTCAGCTCAAGCATATAACCTGTTTGCAGAAACTTCAAATATTCACAAGGTTCTCAATTGCGTTTTAGCTCATTCTTATGGGATTTAAAAATGAAAGTGTTACATTTGCGTTTGCTATTGAATAACCAAAGCTCATGCAAGTTACCGACAGCTTTGACCAAACTAGGTTTAAAGTCAAATGAGCTCATAGCCTTAGTATTTTACAGTGGAATCCATAAAATCCTTAAATCAAAAAGAATGTCTCCTATTAGTAATCTCCAACCCTAATTTTCTTACAAGTCACTGGTTTACATTACCTTACCTAGATGTTTTGTTATTGTTGCTGCTCCTGGATGGCGACATATATAATTAACAAGATTCAACCATTTCTCCCCATAAGCCATTCAAAATGCATACTTTAATGCCACATGATAACAAATTGAAAGACAAAAAAAAAACTCGAAAATGGACCCCTACTGTGCTCGCAAACCGCCATATTTTTGTCATGTTTTCTTTATACTGAAGTTTATAGAATTAAACTACTTTCTTCATATGCAAACCTTGAACCCAGTGTGTGGGCTTCTACTAGGTAAACAATATATGGAATATTTCTATTAAGAGAAGAAACATAAGCTCTTTTGTTCAGAAATGATGTTTTTTTAACGATTTGTTTTTTCGAAAACCCAACTGAATGGCGTTTCTAGTGTTTTTTGAAATGTTTATAATTGAATTTATTTCAATCTGCCCTTTAATCGTTTTTATTTTTAAGACCGACAAAGCCTTTATCAAATTTTTGAGTAGTAAACAAAATCAGAAAACAACATATTGAAAGACTAAACATAACTTAACCAAACCAATGTTTCAGACTGTGACAAATACTGGCATGTGTACATATAACGAATGGGCACTCAATTCATGAGTGTGATGTAATATTTACATATAAAACAATATTGAGAGCTTTATTGCATAACACAGTACAGTTCTTTCAAAGCTTTAGTATAAAATTTATTCAGTAAATTCATAAATATGATAAAAGTATAATAACGAAATGTAGTTTGAGCTTACATGATAATAATAATCATGCTTTGCGAAATAAAAATATATATGACCTTTATGACCTTGTTTTTGAGTGATTTTTACGTGTTAACCTGATATATTACTAGAAATATGTTATTAATAAATTTAATAATTGTATAAACTTAGAGAATATTGAATAATCATTCGATTTTGACAAGAATAATTTATTGCATCATATTGTATCATAGTTTTAATGACCTATTTTAGTATTTTTAAGCGGCCATTTTGAATTGACCTTTTGAAGGTCAAGGTCAATTTTATTTTTTTGGTATCCACCCTCATCGTCTTCAGCATACCCGTATTAGGTTAAAACACTCAAGATATTACTTGTACTATAAATTGCCTCTAGCATTCATATTTTCTTAAAACCAGTCCTGTCTACAATGCAAACTTTATTTTCACATGTTAAACAAACTGGTAAAGTGAAATATTGTCCAACACCTTGAAAAAGTCAACTATGTCAAATTTGAAGGAGAAACAAAATTTTATCCTGTGTAAATAATACTAATGTATAATTACATGTATGTAATAAATATTTGTACGACTCATTACATATAGAACTAAACAGAACTAATCCCAGACAATTTGTAAAGAAAGTAAATTGAAAATAGTTAAATTGTATTGCTTTAAAAGAAAATCATTACATGTATGTTAACTCTCTTAATATTATTGAAATGTAACTTTATTATAAATAACTGTATGCATCCATATGTATGTTTGTTGACTGTGTTTCCATTTTCACAAAAATCAAGGCTATTTACTAAATGATGAATGTAGTTTTTTAGTCTCCATATGAAATCACTGTTTTGCGTATGATGAATATGAACAGCAATAAATGAGGGTGAATAAGACACCATTACGGCATATATTATAAGATTCTTACACTGACTGCCGTACAGACTGGAATATCTAACTTGAGGGTAACTGTTTATGGCGGTAATGAGGCTCTGACCAATTTCTGCCGTAAAAAGATACCCGAGAGCAAGATATTCCAGTCTGTGATATGACAACTGGTGTTTGATTCTTTTTCTTGCACATTACAAATTAATGATATTACGAAAAGAAATTACGAAACTAATATTTTCATTAAGCATTCTTTTCTTATGGTAGCGAATGAATATAGAACTTCATTCACCATGGCACAATGACATCATCCTAAGATTGCAATTAATTCATAAAAGAGCATGGGAATAATGTCATTTAAAACAAGCAACTTGTCTTACATGAGGAGTGTTAGACAGGTTTTTCTATCACCTGTAAATAGTAGATATTCCTGTCGGATGTGCAAGAATGAAATCATTCTTGACCTTAAAAAAAATTCTTCAGTTCTGTGAAAACAAGTGATTGTGAGAAAAAATATTCTTTCTAAATTGACCGTGAATCAAAATCTTGAAAATTATTCTAAAAATGAACATTTTCAATACTATGATTGTAAAAATTCTAAGAATTGAAGAGTTGTGTGAAGGAGGTAAGAAATATCTAAAAGATTATAAATAAGTTTATAAAATCTAAATTTGACATGTTACAAGTAAAAATGTAAATCTGGCTTGAACTCTAAAATATATGATTACCCGGGAACTGAAGTAAACCTGTAAACCAGAATGTATCATTTATTATAACATAAAAGACCTGAAAAAGTTTTGTGCTTGATTACTTAGTCTATATTACTTTAACAGTAATGTAAATCCCATTTTTTTTACATTTAAAATATCTAAAAAATGGATGATGCCCTTCCATATCCAATCAAAACCATGTGTAGCTATCCCCGTACTATCCCAGAAACTGACAACTTCTCCACATAGTGGTGGTCAGCAAAATAAAACTGTTTTACTGACATCAATATTGAGATCATGTACCAACAAGAGCTGTCACAGGAGACAGAGAAGCTCGACTAATAAAATACAGGATGCAGTAAGGAGGACAAAACTATGAAAGAAAAATCAATTATGTATAATTATGTATTAAGTTATAGTAAAAAAATAACATTTCGATGCCTTGGTGCGAAAGGGTTGTAACTCAATATTTTGAAATTATTCAGGGGAGACAAAAAACTTATTTATTCTTTTACATTCTTATAAATTCTTCTATAATTTTGCTTTTTGGCTTTAATTCAATTACTGATATATAATTGATTGGCAAGGTTATTTTATTTTGTCAGCATAAAGAGATAATTGATAAAGTTTCAGTTACAACCCTTTCGCACCAAAAAAATCAAAAATTTCAAAAAATGATTTGGTGCGAAATGGTTGTAACTTAATTTTTGCTTTAAATTCTGATAAATGTAATGGGTCAAATGGAAAGATCCAAGCTTAGTTGTGTTAAGTATGTACTAATTTAACATATTGCCTGGATATTTCAGTGAAAAACCTTCAAATTATATGTTTTTAAAATATAATTTCAGTCAAATGACTTTTTTTTAAAGAAATTCACTTTATATATTTTTTGTTTTCTATGTGACACAAAGTTCAGATTGTCAAACCCATCATAAGTACCAAATATGCATTAACATTGTAAGTTTTTGCAAGAATCAAAGGTAAATTTTTCGCAATTCAAAATGTGAACTTACATAATGACAAAACCATCTAAGACACATTTATTTTTGTTAATATATAAGCCTTTTGAAAATGAGAATACTCTTATTCTATTTTCCACCTATTCTATACATAGGCTTTTCTTAATTTGAAAACTTAGATAATTCCTAGGATGTGCTTTTGTGTACAAATTCTATATATTTAAGCATTATCCAGGTGCTGGATCTTCTTTACTGTTAAGCCAAAAGTATGAGAAAGATGATAAATATTATAGATGTTCTAAGCTTCTAAGCTCATGCTATTCTTACAACTCTTCACAGTCCCAAATTTCATTGTTTATAAATCAGTCCAGCTTGAATCAGTCAGTAATTAAATGAGAAAAAAAATAAGGCCTGCAAATAATACCAATTACAAAATGCAATCCCCTGTGACCCCAATAAAATTCACAGGTGTGCACACAAACGCACATACAGCTGAGGAAGTGATTAATATCTTTATGAATGATTTTAAATAGCAGATAGAATATATCTGATAATTTACTTTTATCTAACAGAAAACAAAGGGTCAATAACATATTTTACTTAATATTTTAACATGACCCGCATTTTTCCCTATTGAACATAGAAGAACCGAAAGTGTGCGTTATTATGCAATAAAATCACTGTTTGACATTCTATATTAAGACATGTGACGTAGTCATTATACACGCAAAGTAACCACTAAAAATGTGACGTGCTGAAAATGAGTATGAAAACAAATCAGGCGCAATTTAGATAAATATAAGGTACGGCAGCATTAAAATTTTATTTGTTGATGTAGTGTTAGAATCAAAATAATATATATGCAAATCGCTTGGAATCACTTGATAAAAATCACTGTTTGTTGAATGTGCATCATTATATCACTCGGGCTATGCCCTCGTAATTCCACACATCCGACTCCAAACTGTGATTTTATTGAAACACATTCCCAGTCATCCAAGAAAAATGTACTAAATGTTTAAGCATCTGAATATGACTTTTCTATATTTATATTAGCCGGTGCTAGGGGGCGTGGACGGTAACTTGCACTTTCCAGTACCGTCCATGAACAGGCTCAATCAAACCAAGCCTGCAACATTTTCAATTTTGTTGTGTTGGACTTTCTTTAGGGATTCTGTTTTTCTCTATTTTCTACTGTCATCTCCTTCCCTGTCTCTTTCCCTGTCGTCACAATATGTACAAGTAAAATGGTTTCCTGCGGGGATCATTTTTTAATGATGTAAAGATATTTCTTTTAACTATTTCCAACATTGTTTGGGGGGATAAATAAACATTTTACCAGGAATAAAGTTGACAATAATCGATCAATATAGAAGAAGGTCTTTGGAAACCGGGGACCGTTGAAGACCTGAGACCGGAGAAGGTCGAACAGAAAACAATAAAATGACTTAATACCATTTACTGAATAATTACGAACAAAATAAATAAAGTAAACACACAAGTTTACGCAGAAAATATGTCTATTTAGTATGGCAGATGCCACTACAAATATTTTTTGTAGATTTTCAGTAAAACAATTTATTGTTTGTAAAATTTGAGATAGATATTAAAGAAACATTGATAATTTTCAAACACATCATTCAAGTTTTTCCACCTTAAACGGTAAAATAATTATAGAAAATAAGAAATATCACGTAATAGTTTTAATGTTGTTAATTAGGTGTAATTTGGACTAATCCGTAACGTACCGGCAAACGGTATTTAGCTATGTTTTCGAAAAGGTAAATTAACCAATCGTGTACGGTTTACAGGTCACATGCTCCTCCATGTACCGAAAACAGGTCACGTGCTCCTCCATGCCTCAAAAGTTAAACGCGTACCAATACCCTGCGGTCTTCAGACCGCAGGGAAAAAAACAGAAAAAATGAACCAGTTAACAAGCAAGCTCCAGACTGACAGTGAGTTAAAGCATTGTGCATTTATTGGTATGCAATTTAACTCTGACATGTTTTCAAAAGTCTCCAAACTATGATACAATCATAATATATTGTATGACAATTGTTTATAAAAAATTTATTTTGAGTTACAGTAATTTCATTTTCGTAAAACCAAAATAGGTCCTTTACTTTTTCATGCTATTTTGCAAACATTGCAACATTATACCAATAACATTTTTTATGTTGAGTAAAAATCACTATAATAGTTCTGTTAGTCAAATATAGCAATGTACTATGATATTGTTTCTTTTACAAGCATTGGAATTGATTTATGTTTGAAATATGTGTAAGTTATTCAAATTCTTGTATTATGTCTGAATGAAAGCTTAACAATTATGTAAATAACATGGAATCAGAAGCTGAGACTGTTTATAAACTTGTCAATTAGTTTGAAAGAAATAATCTACTAAATATTTCACAGAATATGATATAAGATATTGAGATACAACTGTTTTGCACTGGGATTTATTCAAAATATTATCAAAATGTTGGTGCGAAACAGTTGTAACTTAAGTTACAACCGTTTCGCACCAACAAAATATGACTGTTTGAGTTACAACCTTTGGACAAATATACTTTTTTGGTAGTTTAATTTTAGCTTTCAAGTTTAATATTTTTACAACATGTGTGTATATTGCTCCTACATTGAAAAACACCATAAAACCATTTTCGGTGAAATTATGAGTTACAACCCTTTCGCACCAAGGCATCGATTTGTTAACATAAATCCCAAGATCAAGGGGAATAATTCTAGAAATAGTCACACTAGAGTTATGAACCTTGTCACACATGTGTGTAATGATAACAGGGTTCGTACAGACATCCAGTATCAAAATTCAAGGACTTTTTAAGCATTTTTTAAGCATGTTTTTCCATTTTTCAAGCACAATTTGTTGGGTGTCTATCCTACACAATGTTTAACCAGTATTAATTTATAAGTCATTTTTTGTTGAAAACACATTTTCTGGCTAGAGTACACTTAAACAGTTCCTATAGAATAACAAGAAGGATACTGAACTGCCACCCTGTTTTATGGCCCCCTATTAAAACCCTAACTTCAATATATCACGCTCTTTTGTAGGTTTTCCGTTTCTTTTAAATATAAATACTATAACATGATAATATGTTCTATGAATATATCTACATTAGTAAATTGTCTTACAAAAATAATGTCAATATTCATTGAATGGTTAAGTAAAAATCATTAGCACTATACAAAATTGCAGTGAGTGGGGTATTGCGATGATCTTGCGATGAGGGCTACAAATCAGAATCTGGCTAAATTCTGTGTTGAAACCTTGGAACACAACATAAGCATTATAGAGGGGTTGAAGTGAAGTTCAAATTAAGTGCAATTTGTGTCTGTTACATTGAGCAAACATTGATTTTGGTACTGAACAAGATCTTTTTTTATTGGTAACTGTTGATTTTTACTGACACTTTTCTGTCATTCAATCATTTTCAAGCACATTTGTAGTGAATTTAAGCACTTTATAAGCACTTTTCAAGAGAATAATCAAATTCAAGGACTTTTAAGCACTTTTTATCATTTTTAAGCACTTTTTAAGAAAGGGACTGAAATTTAAGCACTTTTTAAGACTGTACGAACCCTGGATAAGAAATATATATTTGAAGTTTGAAGTAGATACCTTAAAAAGTAAAGAAGTTATAATATTTCTTAAAGAAAATCCAAAGTTCAAAGAAAGATAAATCTGTAAATATTGCTTCAAGAGTTATGATCATTGTCACATAAAATGTAATTGATGATAAGGAATAAGTATTTGAAGTTTGAGGTAGATACCTTTAAAACTTAAAAAGTTATAGTAAAAAATAACATTTTTCTAGGATAAAAATCTAAGTTTATGGGGAGATAATTCTTGCAATATAGGTGCTAGAGTTATGAACTATGTCACATAAGATGTGGATGATGATAATGTACATATATTTGAAGTATGGAGTTGATCCCTTTAGAAATAAATAAGTAACAGTAAAAAATAATATTTTTTAAGGAAAATTCTAAGTTCAAGGGGAGATAAATCTGAAAATATTGGTGCTAGAGTTATGAACCTTGTCACATAAGATAGTGATTACGATAAGGTACATAAGGTTGATCCCTTAAGAAATAAAGAAGTAACCGTAAAAAACAGCATTTTTTTAGGAAAATTCTAAGTTCAAGGGGAGATAATTTTGAAAATATTGGTGCTAGAGTTATGAACCTTGTCACATAAGATGTGGTTGATGATAATGAACATATATTTGATACCTTAAGAAATGACAAAAATATAGTGAAAAATATTTTACTGCACCAAAACTTTAATCTGAAATCTGGACGCGGACACCGACGCCGGGGCGAGTAGGACAGCTCTCCATATACTTCGTATAGTCGAGCTTAAAACAAGAACCTTTGTAACACTTACACTGTCAAGTATTGGGTTTAATAGGCAAACTTTAAACTTAATCAATCAATACGATATTTTCAAAACTGATGAAAAGTTAAAAGATTTATGAAAATATTTTCAATAACCATGAGATGTATAACAATTTGCCATAAATTATTGACTTTTATTATAAGTTAGCATGGTATACATGTAGTATCGTGCAGTTGAGGTGTATATATATCATGCATGTGTCAAGTTGTAATATTATACAGGAAGACAAATCAACAATCAACTTACCAGGCTTGTCTTCCATGTTCTCTTCACCAGCTGAAATAAAAAATGTGAAAAAATGTGAAAATGGCAAAAAATGTGAATGCTACAAAAAAGAAGTTTACAACACTTGTTTCCTATCTATTATGCTTTAACACTGTTACACATTAAAGGGACTTCACTGAGGTTTTTTGACATGATGGGACTGAAAATAAAATTTTCTGATAAATGTACCATTTGATGTAGGCTTAGACCACTAATCTTTGTGCAAAATTTCAGATCATTCATGCACTTTGTTTTTCCAGAATAATTTGTCAAGTTGTAAAAAATGACCAAAATGAAAAACGCTTAAATGCTTTTTACTCAAATCGGGCTAAGAAAAACATAAAAATACAATTTTAATTTATTTCAACTTATATTTCTTAACTATCTTTGCATATATTTCTGTTTAAAGAGCCCCAGCTCATTTATGTAAGAAATTCAAATGTTATGTTTTAGGCTATTTAACCTCAGTGGAGTCCCTTTAACAGATTATATATATATATAATGTGAATAATATTCTTAATTAAGTTATTCAGTCAAATTTCATTCTTTAAGTTTATAGTAAACATGAAATCAGAATACTTTAGTTATACTTACATCATTTTCTGTAACCGGCTGTTTATTTATTGTAAAGAAGTTTAAAAATAAAATTTTATTAATTTCTCATTGCCCATTGAAAAACCAAGGCAAAACATGATAGTAAAAATTATCTTGAAATGCATATAAATTAAATTATAACAAAAACTTACTTGCTCCGCTTGACCTTGACATGACCCTTTCCATGATTTCCTGTATTTTACGATCTGCTTCTGACTGCCTGTAAAACACATAATTAATGTACTGATATGACCCAATTATATTACAAATACAAACTTAACACAAGTTCTTCTGCTCTAATATGCCTTTATTCTGTTTTGCTGACCTCATACCTTATAAAACATATAAAAAAAACTTCCTGTCAAAAATGTTAGCAAAAATGTACAATATGAACTTGAACTATTTGTACCACAAAAAATGTATCTTTCAATATGCCCAAAATATCAATTTTAAATGCAAAATAAATAAGTTTTATAATTCATAGCTCTTAATAAAGAGGTGTTTTCATTCATATGCATGTAAATTCTTTAGTTTTTAGTTAACATTACTAGTTTCACTTTCAATGACATACATCATATATAGCTACATATATCTATCTATACAAAATAATACCGTAATACTCTATTCTACATAAACACAATATAAGGGATGTAAATATACATGCAGTTTATAGGAAGAACTGTTAAACAAAACACAATAGTGTAACACACATTTTGTCATAGTATTTACAAATAATAGAAATCATATTATTTCCAGAACCGTGCTTTCAATTTATTTGTTAAATTAACCAAACTTTTTTTTTACAATATATCAGGACAACTAAAACTTATTGACCACTGTGCAAATTAAAACATTCATATTAATTGTTCTCTATTACTCTGTTCAATGGAAGTTCACTTCTGTATTATAACCTATTGTTAGCTCCATGTTCATTATATCACAAGAAACCTGAATGTAAATCACAGTCCAATTATGATTACATACCCACACATAAAACACTAAAGTGATTGTAACTGGGCTTTAAACTTAATTACTTAAAGAACTTCAAGCTCTTGTGAATGTGTGTAACTTTACTAGTTGCCAAGAACAACAACATTGTTGTCAACGGTTTAAATTCAATCATGAAAATCACCAACTGTGATTTTTGTTCATGTCGAGTATTTTAATATCCTATGTTAGCTTTATTTGCTTAACAAACAGACATACAGACAAACAGAGGGTCCCTTTCCAATAATGGTGTCATTAGTTTGAACAAAGCTCACAGTGAACAATTCATCTTTTTCTCAAAAAGAATCTGTCTTATAAAATTACTACAAATATAACAGATTTGCTACTCTACTAAAATCTTTTAGACAAATAAAACTGTACATCTAGCAAATAATATCTCTTTTTCTAAGTTCTCTGGCTAGTGTTGCTTTAAAAGTAAACAATGGGACACTCTTTATGCTTGAATTTTATAAATATAAGAATATAGTTTAAATTAGTTTTGAGTAAAATCTGCACACTTAAATAATAAACAGTGACCTATATCAATATGAATAAAGATAACTCCTTAATGAAACTTCACTGTAGTTTTCTATTATATACCAGACAGAAGAGAAGAGTATGACCTCAATATGAGTGGTCTCTTAATGCAGGTTAAATATGAATTATAAAATAATTGATAAAAAAAGAAAAGTTTTTTTTAGATAGTCTTTGCAGATATTTATTTTCAAATAATTTTTACATGCATTCCTGCCAATTAAACCTTTGAGAGTAACGAAATATCAATCACTGTTTCTGATTTTGTTTCATAGGAAAGGACTTAACAACTATTCAATTACACACACTAAACTAGACAATATACATACAAATATTTTTGATTTTCTTACTATATATGATATTCTCTCTAAAGAAAACCTCCTGTCTGTGCTTAAGTTGTCAAAGTGTCTGATCATTTTGTACAAGCAGACAAAACACATTCTAGACTTTTTGAATCATAACAAAAAAGAAACAAAATGATCTATAATAAGCTTTCAAGGTGGTATCAAAATTAAGTTTCAAATGTTTCATACAATTTTCTCAGACAATATCATCCAACAGAATGCATTTTGTCTACTTGAATGAAATAGTCAATGGCTGATGATGGGTGGGTGGGGTAAAGTTTCACAAATGGGACATTATACAAAGTTGGTGGGTGGTATATTAATCTGTGAATCCAAAACTATAACTGGTCATGATAAAATTAATTAAATCATGCAAGGGAAACAATTTGTGTATGTTTACTTACTGTTGTACACTGTAAATAAAGACATTATATTAAATACAAAGATGTTTCACATCAAATTTCAAGTCAATATTCTTTTATTCTAATACAACCCATACACTAAAAATCAAATAGCTTTAGTAGAAATCTATTACAAATCATCTTTATTCATTTATTTAAAAGTATAAAGCTACAAATAACAAAATACAATATACAAAACATAACAACCTATATATTGACCATAAACATATTAAATTATTAATACAATGATGATTGTATTAAGACCCTTATCATATTGGTACCAAGTGTTACTGTATCTTTGTACCAGCACTACAGTGCATGGCCAACCTGCACATTTATGCAGTCACAATTTTGGTAGCTTAATTTTGAAGTTTGATATTGAAATCCCTTTAACTTTGAATAGACTGTTTCAAATTCAAAGCAGATTTAACCCATTATACAAATTCAGCATGTAAATGGTTAAACTTATCAAATTTGAGTAAATGTTTTTATTTATAAGAAATTCACTAAGAGAAGAGTTACACACTTAAAAGCTCAAAAAAAGATTTCACATACTGTCCTGTTCTGGACTGACTCCTTAAAGAAGCAATAATTTCATCAACAGTTCTCTCTGCCCTTTGTGCTCCATCTTTCCCGTCTTCATCTTTCTTTCCTTTACCCTTATCTCCTACATTGTACAAATAATTTGTTTTTATTACATGCTTTTCGGTGGTTTATAGAAATATATCAGTGATATAAAACTGGTAATTTCACTGTTTGAAACAGTGAAATTACCACTTTGATAATTTCACTGTTTTGAATTTAAGCCCCTTACGTTGTTTCAGTAATATACCAGCGTACGTTGTTTCAGTATTATACCAGCGTGCACAGTACTGCAGACATTTTCACAAAAACTCTTACGACAATTTTTTGTCGTAAGAGAAATCTTACGATAAATCTCCTTTTCACAAAAAGTCTTAAGAAAATCTTAAGTGCAAAATCTGTCGTAACTTTACGATAGGTCTTTCCCGTTCGTAAGTGTAATTTTTTCTCTCTTAAGGGTAAAATATCATGTATCTCTTACCTAAACTGAATAAAAATAAACAAAAAGTTGAAGGACAACTAAATATAAAGCAAACAGTATGCTATAAATAACACAAATTGAGGTATAATTATTTTTCAACATATACATTTGTGACGTCATAACTTGATGACGTCACGATGGAGAGGGTTATGAATAGTTTAAAATAATGTGAACTCCATACTGTAGACTAGTATTATTGAAAACTTATAATATAGGGTTAACGCACGTTTTTCCGTGTTATAACGTCTGCAGAGTCCCGAGGAACGGTTGGTGCCCGAGCCCGGTAGGGCGAGGGCTCCAACAGTTCCGAGGGACTCTGAAGACTTTATAACACGAAATAAACGTGCGTTGACGCTATTATAGCATAAAATTTTAAAACAGATTCATGATGTATATTATATACAAAACACAAACATTAAATCCTTGTGCTTGAACGGTATTTATCCAACTCTACATGTTTTACGTATGCGTTTTATTTTTTCCGGGGCCAACAAATTTGGAACCGAACGAAATTTCGAATTTTAATTGATTTAACAAAGCTTAACTTTTGAGATATATTAACTTAAGAAAAAACATAACATAACTCTACCCAAGACAAAACAGGCGCCTCAGAAATTCCTAGAATGATAACAGATTGGCGGTAGAAAAAAGATCAGTGACATCAGATTCAATTTCAGAATCGTTTTTTTTTTCAAGCACGCAAGTTTAAATAAAAATCAGGCATAAAACATTCTCTCAAAGAAACATACAGAACATCAATATAAACATCAATAAAACAACGTTTTCTCATATTCATTTTGTGCTTTCTAGTTTTGTAAGTTAATCGGGGGATCAAACTGAATGACAGATTCTATTTGTTTACATTGACAACTGTCCGTTTCTTAGAAAGGGCGACAACTAAGATTAGCGGCGATGTCTATACGCCGTATTGCCGGCATAATTACTTGAATGCTGCTCGCCGTTTATGCGACTGAGGCCCTCAATGATTCCAATATAACAAGAGCGCATGATATATCAACTCTGGCAGAGGCCAAATCGTCATTTTTTGTTTGTTTACTGGGCCCTGTATGTATTGCGCATATGTAAAACCGTGTTATAACAAGAGCGCGTGACTATGTTAACGCATGGTTTTGGTCCCGTTATAACATGGGCAAAAGAGGGAAAAATAGACGATTTTATGCTATAATTTGTACAATTGGTGAGTTTGATTTCATTGCCAGCATGTACTAGTGTTACCTTTTTATTTATTAATAACATAGTAGTCCTTCTTTCTGAATCTTTTATATATATATAATTATCTTTAATCAAGATATAAATTATATTAGTTTGAATCATTTTTTTGTTCTTATTGAAATTTGATTGTGTTCAATACATATTTCAAGCTCTTTATTACTTGATTTTAAAACCGGAATCAAATATAGAGCATGCACATCACTATCAAATGAATGTTGCTAGGGATGTTTTTGTCGTAAGATTTATCGTAAGTGAATTTTTATCTTAAGATAAAATTTTAACTTACGAGTGGCTTTGTGAAAATGACTTAAGATTTAACTTACGATTATTGTAAGTGAAAAACTTAAGATAAATCGTAAGATTTTTTGTGAAAATGTCTGCAGGGTATCAACTTAATGACGTGATGTCGTAAATGACGTCACGTTGTATTATTATTTGGAGCGCTTTTCATTCGTATAAGGTTTAATGTCTCATTAAAACGTTTTTTTGCATGTAATAAAAAGAAAATTTGTTTACTTTAGTGTAAGATTGAAATATATTTCACCTTGTGAACACCAAAAGTTCATATTTCACTCGTGGCTGCGCCACTCGTGAAATATACCTTTTGGTGCTCACTCGGTGAAATATATTTCGATCTTACACTGAACTAAACAAATATCCTCTATATATCTCAGAAATCAAAATATATAGAGGATACTGAATGAGTGTTAGTGTAATACTGAATTTATTGAACTCATTGAATAAAATCATATTTTGCTCCCCAGAGGCTAGCATAATATTATTTGATTCAACGAGTGCAATAAATTAAGTAATGAACTTATACAAATTCAATATTCTATTGATCACATACCAAAAATAAAAACCGTATAGAAGTGATAAAGAAACATTTTTCATTGATGCGCCTATAGTATAACGTAACATTTAGCGCGTCTTAACATATGTTTAATGCAAATGACGTCACATCAAAATATGTGCATAGCCGTGCAACACCATTTTTACAGAATTGAAAAATCGACTTGGGTATGTGATATACATGTATATAACACATTGTCAACCCTTAACTTTGTTACCATATGTTGAGTTTACATATCAGATATCAACACAATGTATATTCAAAACAATAGTCCATTCTGAAAATAATTTCTCTTTACAGCTCTTTTCCCATTGAGACTTTTAATCTAGAGAATCAGTCAAAAAAGGCATAGCTGACATGAAAATGTTTAAAAATTCCTTTCTCTATATATTTGACTATGAAATGACTAGTACAAGATTTAGAATAAAGGTAAGAGATCCTGTACTGTCATTTATATGTTTACATGAATGAATACCTTTCATTTTCTTGACATCTTTCTTCACCTCACGTTTCCGTGGAGATCTTTTCATTTTATGCACCGGTTCAGCACCAGGTGTTGCTATTTTCCTGGCTTCCTCTAACATATCATGCACAGATTTTGCCTACATAAAATATGATAAAAAATAATCATACTTAATAAATATAAAAAACTCTTTCTAAATTAAATAGTCATATCATTCAAGAGCTTCAATGCACTCAAACTTGCAGATAAAATTTACATTGCAAACAAATTTTGATTTTTTATAAGAAATGCTAAGATCTTTGAAAACTATACAATTTCATTATTAAGAGTAATGTACATACAGTAATTCACTTTATGATTTTTCATACTTTCATACAAGTTTACAGATACAGTAGTAGTGTATTTCACAAGAGAACTGAACTTACTGCCTCTGACATTGCCCCACTTTTCCTTCCATCCTCCCCTGCTGTTGGGATTTGCACTTCCTTCTGTTCCTGTGTTCCCATGGCAGTTTGAACATTCTCTAAATCACCATCTATATCCTCAATGGCTGTATCATATTTACCATAAACTTCTTTACCAGGTAATAAAATCTCCCCACTCTTCAACGAGGAGGCAACACTTCTTGAACTCCTTCCTGTACACAGATAAACAACAAATCTGGTTATGTTCAGACTTATAAAACACCAATATTAGGTCAAAAAATACTTTATACTTGGAAAGGTGGGTGCAAACAACTCTGCACTTCTTCATGAATGGTTTATGCTAAAGAATAAAACTTGGTAGAAATACCTGGCGGCTAAACAGAACATATCCTTGCAAAAATTACTTACACAATACAGAAATGAACCTAACTAATATAATTGCGTCAGTACTTGTACAACTTTACTAGGGTGAAACACTGTGTTGGTAGAGTGTAACAATGTAACAGTATTTCATTTAAATATATAAACCTAAAATATAAATGAAACAATAAAGGTATTGAATTACAAAACAAATTGTCAAATAATTCAATTAATATTTATTTCAATATACATTTTATGTTGACAAATTTAAATAAAATACATTTTTAACTCGAGATATAATAAAACCAGGCTTTCTGTGACCATTTAACAGACTTAAATATATAAATACTTAAGTGTGCCTCTCTGTGCATTATTTCAGGCACAAATGGGCATTTGAGTAGAACCACCAACATTCAATTAGCTAGCTGGATAGCATCCTCACATGAAAGAATCAAAAGTCCTTGATGGGTTTCCAACCTATTGTAGTTAGGGGCAAGTGGAATTAGTAGATTGAAGTAAACCACCTTAATCACTAGACCACAAACACCCAATATGTATGCTACTACTAAGTTTACCTCTTCTATATTTCTTCTTCAGGGTGGCAGGATGGGGTTTCATTGGTGGCCTCACAGCTAGCGATACTTTAATAGATGTCCCCTCAGAGCCAATGATGGCTGGTTTCTTTTTTGGTGTCTCCGGTCTGTCAGGTTCAAACTCTAGACGAGTATCTGGTCTGTCAGTTAGTTCTGCTTCCATCTCAAGTTCATCTGGGGTACCAGGAGTTTCTGCTCTTTCATCTGTCACCTGATTAGCCTTAAAATATAAGAGGTTATTCTAGGCACATTTAACATATACATATATATACAAATACTTCAGATATAACTGTTAGAACAAACACTTCATTAACTCTGATCTTGCGGAAAATAAAAAAAATGGCCTTGTCGCACTTAATTTTACAATTTTCCATGTTTAAATGCTAAAATGCTCAACATGTTTTGAAAACTGCAGAGACAAGAAATCTGTATTGGTACAAACATTTGTTTATATCACTATTTAGAGAACTTACAAAAGTTTGTTGTATAAAAATGAAAAAAATCTCAAGAATGATCTGACATATCTGACCATTTTTCTTTTGTAAAAAGAAAAAAATAAAATCTGTAGACTACTGAATAAAATCTCTAGACAACTGAAACTTGCAGTTTCTGCCAGTAAGCAAATGTTTACCTCTTGTATTTCATGTAATTCAGCATCCCTCCAATGGGCTACAGGTTGTCCCTCCATAATCACTTTCAAATTAGATATCTCAGTACTGTGTGCAAAAATATGATATCATAAACATTAGAGCTCAGCGAGAAAAGAAACAAAGCAAAACTATCATAACACAAAGAAATTCCTGATTAAGTGAAATATAATATAATATTGTAGCAGTAATGGAATTCAAATATCAACAGTGAGGCTTCTAATTGCACAATAAAGTTAAAAACTCAATAAAAACAGTCACATGTACTTAAGTTAAGTGTACAAAATTGTAGAAACTTAGTATTTAATAAAGCAGTTAAAAAGGAACCTGTCCAAACTGTTATATTATTAAATGTTATTCTTTAGATTTGACAAAATATTTGAGACAAGATGATATAACTACCTTTTCCTGATAGGTAACACACCAACAGTGGAAATCTTTACCCTCTGCATTTCTATAAAATATCAAATGAAACAATTATCACAGATCAGACTTCAAAAAATGAGCCGCATCACGACAAAACCAACATAATGGGTTTGCAACCAGCATGGATCCAGACCAGCCTGCGCATCCGCGCAGTCTGATCAAGATCCATGCTGTTCGCTATCAGTTTCTCTGCTTGTTATAGGGTTGGTAAGCGAACAGCATGAATCCTGATCAGACTGCGCGGATGCGCAGGCTGGTCTGGATCCATGCTGGTCGCAAACGCACTATGTTTGTTTTGTCGTGACACGGCTCAAATAAATACCATGTAAGAAAATAACAAATACAAAGTACCTTTTTAAAACAGAATTGGAAACACGTAATTTTGGTCCAAGCTGATTTCTGCACAATTGGATAGTTTAGAGAATTACATAAATGAAATTCAACATAAAACTGGAATTTAACTATCTTAATGTGAATAAGTCATGATCTCAAATTGAAAATATTATGAACTGATTCAAACTACTTGATATTTTTTTTTAAATGTAGGAAATATTGAAATATTTATGACATAAGAGTGCATGATCTGTAAAAACTTTAAAAGGTGAAGAGCTCAAACGAAAATAAAGAAAACCTTCAGTGTTGACTGTATTTTCTCTAGCGTATGGAAATGTTCTGATTTTGTCATCGCTAAACTCTTTCGGCATACCAAACTTGTCAAGTGGATTATATGGAGGAATGTTTGGAATCAGCATAAACTGGGGTGCCTGTAGGTACAAATATAAATGTAAATAGAACAGTGAAGTTATATATGATTTAAGACATACATTTACTTTAGCCAAGTAGGAAATAAATAAATCTCAACAAGTCAATGGTCATTACAATCATACTAAAAAATTCTTGAAATGGATAAGAATATATATTAATTTGTTTTGTATAAAAGTCTTGTTATAATATGAATATAGTCATACTTCACAGCCTGTATGTGAAAAATCTAATTCTGTGTCAATAATGAAGCAAAGATAATGAATATTTTGCAGACATGTTGATTTGTATGACTGATAAAGGGTTAATTTTCCAAACAAACATCTCTTCACTTTAGGGTTATGGAAAAGACTCAATTTTGCTGTTCTTATCAACTTGTTAAAATCCTATATTTATCTACTGACCTTTGGTTTGAGTTTGAGAAGTTCATCATGAAACACTGGTTGCAGCTTCATCTTCTGTCTTAAACGTCTAGGAGCAAATGCCGGCTGTAACCTCCTATAATACAATTACAATATTTGTTGTTTCAAATGAAAAAAACAACAACAACAACATTACAATGAAATCACAAACACAAATAAGTGTAATAGAAACAAATGTTTAAAAACCAAATCATACATTTCTTAAAAGAACTCCAAAAGCTGAAAAACATCAAATTTGAGAATCTTACAAAGATCAGCTAGTTCAGCCAGGTACTTTAAACAGAAAGATTTGTAAAAAGATAGTTAAGAAATATACTCAGAAATAAACTGAAAATCCTATTTTCATGCTTATCTTAGCCTAATTTGTGTGAAAGTGCAACACTCATCAATTTTGGGTCTTTTTTTTTTAATTAGAATAGTAATTCTGGAAAAACACAGAGAGTAAATGATCTGAAATTTTTCACACAATTTATTGGTCTGGACCTTCATGAAATGGAACATTAATCTAAAAAAATTATTTCCTGTCCCGTCATGTAGAAAAAAACTTGGAGACTCTTTAAACTTTTAAAATCTTACCTTGATGTAAATTCTTCATTATCAATAGGTCTAAGTTGTTCCAATTCTTTTTTAATTATGATTTCATCCAGTGATTTTTTGGCCATATCATCAAGCTCATGGCGCAAAGCTATTTCAACCATACGGTTTGTACCATAGCGAAATGTCCTCCTCTCATCTCGAATACTTGGATACAACTCCTTAATGCCCATTTCTAGTGATGATTCTAAAAGTATTTTGTGTTAATGATCAGATATTAATCAGTTTATGTGTGTTAATTACCCTTATACTTTTACTATATAGCCGTATTAATTAAGCATAAACAGTTTGACCCATTAAACAGACTGTTTTCTCCTACTGTCAGTAGCTAACATGGACAGATTTAAACTGTTAAATTCAGAATCTTCTAAAAATCATAAGGCACTGTGTTTTTTTACACATTAATAATGTTGGCATTAATTTTTGGACGAAATAACTAATATCTGGAATTCAATCTCTGAAATCGAGAACCAGGATAAGGGTCAAAGTAGGGTAAAAATATTGTGATTTTTTTATCCTATCACAATATCACATGCAAAATATATCTTGATTCCTATTAAGTTAAATTTTCTGGACTATTTACTATATCACATAATCTGAAAAGTAACAAAGTGAAGTCTTTGTGTATGAATGCGACATACAAAAGCACAAAAATCATAATTATTTATCTATGACAAACAAAACATACTAAGTCATCAAAATATTACATTGTCGCGAATTCTAATGATAATAAATAAAGACTTTAATTCTATTCGATGCACAGAGTGAAAATGACTAAAAACCCGCTGACTTTTGACTGAGGAATAGAAAAGAATATGTCCCTTTTACTTACGGACACAGATCTTAATGTAAACCTTAGTGTAAACGTATGTACTCTATCTCAATTTTAGATAAACAAAAAATTGACAACCGCCGCCATATTGTTTGGTACGAGTTGCTGGGGCGAAAAATTGTACTTACACAAAATTCTTTTTTTTATTGCTTGGTCTCATCAGTTATTATTTTAACCTAATAACTATGAATTTATATATAGACACATTAACCATTGAAATGACTTGTACTTTTATATAAACATTGCTTGCTAATTTTAATCATTTAATCAATGAATTATATCCTTGATATGTACTGTACATGTATTTTATTAATTTAGATATTTATTTTCTATTTTTGGAATGTTTTACCATGAATATTTCCTTCACATCCACTGTCATAACAATGCTTTATCCACAACTCAATAATATCAGCCAGGATATAGATGAATACTTATATAATTATGATTAAGATTTTGTTATTAAAATTTGTGAAACTAATTAATGGCTTTCTGAGTTTGCTTGTGACCCTTTCATAAATGTACATGTGTATATTTAAAGTTTCAAATACCTGTATATTTGAAGTTTCAAATACATTTAGGGTGCATGGCACATCTGTGGCTGAGTGGTTTAGGTTGTTGACTCCAAACCACTTGGCCCTCACTTCTGTGAGTTTGAAACCCAACAGATCAAATGCTATACTATACAGCTAGGTTACAGAATGTTGGTGGTTCTACTCAGGAGCCTGTTTATGCTTGAAATAATGCATGGAAGGGTACATGAGGTCTTCTTCATGCAGGAAATCTGGAATGTTGCCATATTAGAATATTTTCATGAAACATGGATTATAAGATATATGGAGGTTATGCACATTTTTTTTTCATGTGTTGAGATTTGTGGTGGCTATATGGCAATAAGTGGGTAAAAATACTCAAAACTGGATCCTGTCAAAAAGTACAATCTTTTTGTGACCCACATACATTACAAGTGAAAAAAAAATGCACGTGATTTTACCTTGTTCTAATTTTGCAAATTGTTTGCTATGGGAATGCATACAAATCTTGTGTTTGTATTTTACATATTCCTTCTCAGTGCTGTAGTACCATTTGTTGATATCTGCAATTATTTCTAGCTATCTGAGACCTCTTCAAATGTAAATATCCAAGATAACTATTTATAAAATAAAAACAAGGAATATAAAAGCAATGATATATCTGGCAAAACTAAATAGTTAGTCTTAAGTCAAAATGAATACCCTTTTTAAAAATTGGTGTTTGGGCAATGCCCAGGGTATCTTTGCCAGACTGTGGTAGTTCTCGTTAATGTATTATTAATAGATCTAGCAGCTCTTTAGAGGAGCCAGCCAACTTTATTTAAACAAACTTGAAGCAGACAGTAACCTATCATCCTCTGCTGGACAGGAGGAAAAGATATAAAATGATCATAATCCATTGAACAATTCACAGCACTAACCCAAATAGTACAAAGTTGTTATATGAGAGCTATTCACCCATGAAGTTTCAAGTTGCTATCTCTTAAAATATTTTTTTGTATAGCCTATACAAAAAAGAAGAAAATTTGCAAAATAAGCATGGAAAAAAGGGGCAATATCTCCATAAATATGCTGTGGAGATTTGTAAACCCTTTCAGTGCATTCCTTCTCTCTGTGATTTAGAGTCCTCCAATGAAGTTTCAAATTACATTTTATATCTAAAACTTTCAGTTATGGTCCCAACAAAAATTATGCAAAAAAAAATATAAAAGGCAGTAGAAATGAAGCATTATTATACTTGTGCACTGCATTCCTACTCAATGAGATCCATCAGTTTTCGAGTTATGTTTTGGAAAAAAAAATGAGCACAAAAAATACTCAAAATGATTAAAAGGAGAATTATCATTCTTGTGCTTTGCATGACTCTTTCTTTAGAAGATTTACCCACAAGTTGATGTTGCAAATACTTCTTGAGACATGCTCCTGACAAATTAACATGAAAAATAACAAAGGGAAATAACTCAAAGATTATGATGGGCAGAGTTATCACTATTGTCCTCACTGAGATCTATCCACCTAAGAAGTTTCAAGTTGTGGTCCTAAAGTTTAGTTTCAAAATTTCTTTAATTATAAAGATATAATTTTATATATCATCTCCCTTTGGCAAATTTTGCAAAGATGTTGCTTGGGATAAAATTTTCTTGTCTATAGAACCACAACCTTATATGTTGTTTTAAAGGGACTCCAATGTGGTTTCATGACAAGGCTGGACTGAAAATATTTTTCAAGATTTGTGATTTACCATTTATTGTAGGTCTGAACTAATAACTCTTCAGATTAATTTCCTCATTCTGTATTTCTATACTAATATTGCAGGTGAAAATAACAACAGAATTGTAAATATTTTGTCATTTTATTTGTTCATTTTCTAGTTTGCTTTATATACATATATCATCAAAGATATGAAATTATTTTGGAACACAAAAAAGAGAACTACCATATAGCACATATTTTACAAATGTTGGGTGATTATGCTTTATATTAACATAAAACTGGACCTTAATTCTTCCACATATACCAACTGTACATGTGTTCATAACAAAAGCACTCTCATTACCAAATTCAGTAACATAAAAAAAAAACATACTGTTAAATACACTAAAGTAGAAATAACTACAGCACTTGTGTAAAATAGTGGTGTTGACTGTAGGCAATTAACAAAATGACTAGGGTACAAGCATATTTATTCACTTAAATAAAAAATGAAAAAAAAACTTTATGGGAAAATACTTTTTGATGAAGCAATTGCTGTATATTCAAGTACATGACATACATTCTCAACATATTTAATCTAACGAATATATTACATGATTGTGTAAAACTTGCTCACAGAGCTTACAAACAAAACAGATGAAAAATGTAGCCCTGAAAACATTTAAAACAATGAAAAGTTGGAAAAGATTAAATACAAAATATAAAACACTTTTACATGATCTTTTTAGTGTCTTTCCTACTCAACTTTTACTATATATATAAAAATTACAAAGCCTAATGCATAAGTAGGTTTCACCTTATATAGTACACATATTCTCATAAACGGTCAGCCATTCTTGTTGTTGTTTTTTTGTCACAGTTTTTGTAATACCTAATCTTAATACATTTTTTGTCACATGAGAGGGTATTTTCCAGTGAGACGTTATTGAAAAAATATAATCAATATGGTGGCTTGCATACATGCTCATTGGTGTCTGAAATATTTAAATGTGAAAAATATATTTTTTGCAAGCATCAATTATTTATAAAATATTTAAAACCTTTAACATGTATAAATATAGAGATAAGATCTCTATAGTTCATTTTCAAGTATTATATTTCAATTTAAGAACATTCAAGGTATAATCTGCAAAAATCTAGTACATATTTCATTTTATTCTTAATTGATGTGACTTGAAAAACTGATCAATGTTGAAGATTAATGGAATAGTACATTGTTGCATTTAAATGTTTATATTAATTCTGAAGTGTTGGTGGTCATTTAACTTGTAAGATATAACTGATAAAATATTATCATATTCAATAAATGGTTAAAGCTAGAGGTTTTATAAACTATTTATAATTATTCTTTGACATGATAATATTTGTTAATCAAGAATATGCACGTTTGCAGTCATTACAATATACATGTAGTAAGAAAATTGTATGAAAGGAAGTTTTTCAGACACAGTTTCATCTATGGCAAATAGTAATCTCCTAGCAACCATAATAAATATCTGTATTTGACAATTACAAGATGTAATAATACTTTTACCATTAGACACTGTCAACATGTTAATTGTTCACACAAACATTGTGATATGGCAACATAAAAGGCACTACAACATACAGCACCTAATGTGCTGGAAGACTTACTTTAAAACTATCTCACTTTCATTTGTAACCTCAATATAAACACATCTCTGATACATGAAAATAAATTAGATATGCAAAAAATTTTGAGACCTAAACTTCTTATAAAAAGATATATTTTTTTTACTGTTATATCCTTGGGACTTAAACATACATGTGCTTGGCAATGTACAGAAAGACTTTGGTATATTCCAAATCTGATCATTATTTTACTCTGGCATTATTGAGCTCATAATTTTGATCATAATGATGAGTCAGCAATATTGAGTGTTGTCAGTACAATATATTATGGAAGACTTATTTATTACAACCACAGGGACTCGTCACGTTGTTGGGACAGTGTAAAAAGTAATTCTACAAAAAATACATACTTTATATAAAAATACTATAACTATATAAAGTACATATAGTGTTGGGATAGTGTAAAAAGTAGTTCAAGATAAAAAAATAAAAAATTATATATAAATAAAAATGCTAATTTGAATTTGCCCTAGCTTTCAGCTTTTCAGCCTTCTTCAGCAGCATTTATTATAGATACAAATACGAGAATCATACAAAACAAGGGAAGTCTTAATATAATTATAATATATAGACTATTATATAAAGTATATATATATACATTTTTTTCCTAGAATTACATTTTACACTAATTCCCAACACTGTGTTGAGTCCCTGTGACACATCTCAAGTTTCTCATTAGTTGTCTCGTTATCTATTCATTTTACATGTAAAGCTTTAATCACAATAAGTTTGTATTAGTGATATGACATTTTATAATTATACAACTTTTGTGAGACCAATGTCATGGTTTAAAGCTATATTACTAGAAATTGTTTATAAAATAAATATTTATACAAAAAAAGAATTGTAGGAAAATTTCGTTGTTTAGAAATGATGTTAGAAAATATATGTAACAATCTAGTGTTGTAATATATGACGTATAAAGATAGAATATGGCATGACATCTTGAAACAAGATTAAAGTTGATACATGAAAATGAGACATTCAAAGTTGACATTGTGATTATGAAACTGATGAAATAATCCATATTTTTCCTTGCATTCATCTCAAAATCTTTTTAAATAAAATGTTAATTACAAGTGACTAACAAGTGGTAAAATCAATGTGAAGTGTAACATCAAACATTGTATCATTAACAAAAGTTTAAGATATTCAAGCTATGATGTAAAATCTATATCAAGTTAAAGGAACTTGAATATTTTCTTGTGCCAGCATAATCAATTTCAAAATAGAGTTGTAAGGTTTTAGAATTCAATATTTTCTTTATTTCCAATGTGATCTAATGCTAAATTATAATTAAGTGTAGGAAACCTATCCCTCATAAACATATCATTAATTGATACTTTAACTGTGAAACTGAAACACTATATTAAATCTGATTTTTTTTTATACACTATAGAAAATCTCTGTATTATTCTATTATAACCTTAAAAATCTAGCATTGTGACAGTTTATTGAAATAGATGTACAAATAAAGCAATACCATTCCTAAGGAAAAATATATAAAAAAAGTTTAGCCGTTACAAAATTAAAAATTTCAAACAGCTAGTTTACATACATATATCAGGAAAAGCCTGCAGTATGATTTAGTGTTATGATGAAGCTATGAGGATGGCAATATGAAGTAAATCTATGAGACATAAAGCTATGACATAGCATAGTAATGATACAATGACAGTATGAAATGATGCTTTAAGGTATGTCACACAATAATGATAGGGACTGATACTTGGAAAAAAAGAAAACATACATATATATTTATGTTGTTAATATTTACAACCTATGGATTCACACACCATGCAATTATAATATGCCCATTAATGTTCTAATTAAAATTTCAATTAGAACAATTATAAACCAGAATATGACACCTCAAAATACTTAAAGCTAACTGTTTGCAAAATTTTGGGACAATTTTTATATTATATGAAACAAAAAAGCATCTAATAAGCAAAAACATTTTTTTTTTTACAAAAAATCCTGGTCCAATATAACTTGTGAAAAAAACTTACAACTATATTTTCTCATTATCAAAATTTTCACTTCAAATAGTACATATTCTAAAACATTACATTATAACAGCAAGATAAAAAATTTAAAGTCTATTATGCTATTCAAAAACTATTTAGTACTGACATTTCATGTTAAACAATATAAACGGTTCCTATTGTATTTTTCAAAAATAATTATTTAAAAACACATATCTAAACCCTTAACCACCCTGCAACTTATAGTGATTTAAATGAAACTTTAAACCTTTGCCGCTAGTATAGCCGCCAGTATAGAACCAGACCAGTCTGTACATCCATACAGTCTGACCAGGCTCTATACTGTCAACTGGCTACAAAATTTCATCTCAATATCCTCAAAATTGATAATGGACAGTTCCAAAAATAAAACCTGGACGAGTCCATTATGTAATTCAGCAGGTTTAGGGTTAAAAGAAGCCAATATGGCAACAATCAACTTATAAGACAATACATTTTATATATTGATGCTCACTAGTTTATTTTCAAAAAAAAAAACAAACAAAAAGAAAGCCATGCCCTGATAACACCATTTACGATATCATCATTCTTAGAGTGGAAATTTTTTTTAAACTTCTTTGTACCTGAAATACACCTGAATATTCCACTCATCTCAAATTTTGTTTTGTTCATGACACAAGTCAGTTATGTACAGTCAAAACTTGAATTAATGGTACTTTTGGTCCCCTAACTTACAAAAAGCCTGAATAGATATAAGGCAATACTCATACTATTTGCCTTGCAAATATCACATCTAAACAGTGACACAAACCCCTTTGGTCATTCTAACCTGCACTTACACCACTCAGTCACACAAGATTATCAAATTCTGAGAAATAAAACCATTTAAATACACATAAAATATTATGCAAATTCATTTCCACCTTCCACACAGCATATATGTTTACTCATTAAACATTTGCTAAAGTGATACAAAATCAGCAAGTGTACTTAATCATCTCTAAATCCAGATGTTTAACAAAATTAATCTACAAATGCACACATAAATGTGGAGTTTCACTGTAACTTTTCAGTTTGTCATTTTCGCATGTTAGATCACAATAAATAACAGCTCTACAAAAATAGGTTATTCAAGTAGAGTTACCTCCCTTTGTCCATTTTTTTATATATGGCAAGTGCATTTGAAGTAACACATAGAATTTTCACACAATTACATCATCATCACTCATTTCCATAAAAAATTCTCATCTTGTGGGTATATATAAGTGGATTTTTTTCCAAATGCATGCCTATTGCACAAATGTAATAATAACATTATAACATGTTAAATTAATGCATTCAATCAAACAATCAATCACAGTCAACTTGATTCTACATGTATACAGTAAGAAATTCAGTTGAACCTTCCAAGTTATGAATCCTAATTTCTACACTGGATCTTGGCCCTTTGCAGTATATAAAATATTGGAAATATTGTCTTACATTATCTCTAGCACTACAAAAATGTATTTTTCTTCAAGAATTACAATATTCTTGTCAATGGAAAAATTGTTTCTATAAAATTTATAGAATGGTTCACAGTTGACGAAATAAATGTTCATAGACTGGAACTCACTTGAGATTTCTTATTCAAACAGACTGATTTTATGTTATCAAACAAATACACCATTATGATAGATGAATGTATTCTAGTACAAGTCTATGTTATGTTATATCTGAGTTATGAAATGTTTATATCCAGGTAGTTGATGGACTGGAATTCAATTTGGATTTCCGCTTAAAAAATCCAGATGGCCACTTCCTCAATGATGAGAGTGACCAGCGGGGTTTTTGTCAACTGTGCGGCACATGTACAACGTACGCCCCCGCTCGCCCAGTGCTCAACGGAGCTGCCTGAAAACATACAGAATAAACAAGTGTCAAAAATATCTAAATAACATGATTCTGGACAAGTTATATGGCAGGATAAACATAGTTATTTAAACAGCTCTGGTGATATAAACAAACAACCTTTTCTATAGGGCCATATAAGATGTCAAAAAATATAACCAATAATGTATGTGTTAATAGAGAATCAATGCACAATGTCATGGAATTTCAATATACATAATACTTGAACTTATCCATAAAACACTTTAATAGATATGATAAGCACCATCGTAAAAAAACTATTAAATTTCTTAAATCCCCTTTATACAATAAAATATGTAGGCAATGGGTCACCATTTATTAATATATATTTTGTTTTTTACTCTCAAATATTTATGTTAGAAAAACTTAAAAATTTGTTTGTTATGGCTTATATATGACAACATATCTGTAACAGGATTGTATTTTTACAATATAAAACAATTGAAATATACCTTGGTCCACTCATTATTTATAGGGTCATATGCCTCAACATCTTTCAGGTAATGTTGTCCATCATAACCCCCTACAGCATACAGTCTGTCCCCTAATAAACACATACCAACAGCATCTCTTGGTGCACTTATTGGAGATATCATGGTCCATTGGTCAGTTTTGGGGTCATATCTGAAAAAATAATGACTTTTATTAACTTTTTACACAATTTGTTATGATTATTATACACTTAAAATTGGCCTGAACAACTATACTCAACGTCACTAATTTCATGTCATCACTTATTTCACAGTAATGGCATATTTCCATGTGACAAGTGTTAAAATTAGTCAAACTTGAGATATTTTAGCCATACATCTTAACAACAAAGTTTGTGTGCAAAATATTTTAAATCTGTAGATTTTGACGGAAATCAGAACAATTTGCTAATTTCTGCAAAATGCCACAATAGTCCATTAAAATGTGTCCATACCTCTGAACCTTGAACTACGAGGAGCACAGTATATACAAGGCAATAATATAGGGTTGTTTGAATGTTGTTATTTTTATATATCAAAAATCTGTGCTTAGTGCATTGGTATCAAATCTTACATTAAGTCTTATAAATCTTACAAATAAAGTAAGATTCAAGACAAATGTAACAAGATAAAAGTTTCCCCAGTATTTAAATCAGTAAATCTGTGAGTACAAAACACCTGACACAATTCAAACTAATGAGAGTATTTCATTTCTTTACTTCCTGAAAACACGGCCAACAACAAAGATAAATTTCAAGTTCAAGTATCAATATTCCCCCTTTCATCATTTTCCTCAACAAATCCTTGGGAACATTATATACACTTCCTCTTTAAAAGCATGATATTTTCACAGCCTGCCCTAATACATCAGTGTTATAAATACAAAGATGTAGTTATAAACAGTGCAGGAATATCATAAATTACACAAGATCCTGTATCTCGTCTAAAAACAAAGTGCTTGTTAAATGCCTTTGATGTTTCGTTGATGAGAAGATGTTATATTTGCTAGTCTTATCTGACACTCTTTAAATATATAATATTATATCATAACAGTTTGTTCAACAAGTATGCTTCTTTGTAAAATATTTCAAATATTAATTTTATCACACTGTTGTTTTCTAGAATACAGATAAAATGCATGATGAGAGGGGAAAATGGTAATAAATTTATCTACAGGCATAACGGAGGTCTCTTAAGTTCTTACATTATATTCTCAAAAGCATTGGGGTAATTGATTTCACAGGAAGATAAGCCCACTCAATGCACTCCATTTTAAATCTTGAAGTTATAAGACCTATCCTAAAACTTCTATTATTCAACTGGCTGGGTTTCAGATAGAATTTGAAAAGTACAAAAAAGGCTTATTTCTTTGAGTGCTTGTATAATAACAACAAAGTACATGTATCACCAGTCAGGTCAGTATGACCATCAGGTCAGTATAACCACACTCAATATTGTTGCCTCGTCAATGTCAATACTGAGATCCCTTAAATTACAATTTGACAGTTCCATACACAATCTAATAGAGTCTAGTGCACAAGTCTAGCAACTTAAATATTAAAAGTGGCCACATGGCAGAGTGTTTAATGCGTCAGAATAGATTTAAAAAGATTTCTGACTGTATGGGTTCAAACCCTGCCAGAGGCAGGCTGTTGTTTCCTTGAGCAAGAAACTTTATTTTTATTGCTTAGTACTGGTTAATTTCAGGAACAGATTCAAGTGTTTCAATAAGCTTATATAACACAATTGAATTAAAATAAATTTGTATAAACTGAATTTAAAACTTTTATCAATCTTCAACATGAAGTAATGTAAACAGCAATTTAACAACAATTAAAATGTCATTCAATATTGAAAGCTTGCAGTTTACATAATGTCAAAGGTATATACAGCTGCTGCTAGTATGACCAGATATTATACTGTAAGCTGATCAAATTAAGTATTTTATTCAAAAAAATTCTCAAGCTTACATTTTTTTCCATAAAACTGTAGTTCTACATCACATCAATAATAGAATAAGATTATATAAATACAGCTCAGTCTGTCTAACTTTGTGAACTCACCTTTCAGCACAATCAAATCTACAACATGTAGGATTAGTAGCTGGAGCCTCATGACCCCCAACAGCATATAGGAACCCGTTACATGTGGTCACGCCCACACCGCCACGTCTCTTAGACATTGGTGTACAGGGCATCCATTTATTGGTGTGAGGATCAAAACATTCTACAGATTTTAAACATGATGACCCGTCACGTCCTCCTACAGAATACAACCTGAAAATAAACAAATTCATTGTCATAAACTTTTATGTGGATTTTGAATCACACCTTTGAAGCTGAACTCCATGGCAACTTTCAAGCTGGTATGTTAAAGGACCAACAGGCTACTCTGTGTATGTATATTTCAGGCAATGACAAGCACGTACAACCAAAACATTTTGTTTATGATTGATCCAGAGATTCCTGTTTCATTGGCATTGAACTGGTCTCTTCACTGTCAAAGTTTATGATATTATTTACTTTTCTTGTAACAATTATGCTATACCTAAAGTGTTGCCACTGATTTTTTCTGTAGCAAATTTGCAACAGTTTGACATATAATAATGATATATGTAAATTTTGGTCAGAACAACAACTTATGGTATCATTATAACAGTAACTAAATTATTGCTTAAATCTTTTTGGAGTTTCATAAAGTAAATATCACAATTGGCATATTACCAAAGTCCATAATTATTATGCCAATACCCAAACTTGCAGTAAAAACAATCATGAATGATAGAATTATAAAGAACAGATTTTTTTTCATTTTCTTTTAAATAATTGATATACATGTAACTTTTTCTATAGATACATTTCACTTCAGCAAAGCAGTTTTACACCTTTTATATAGCAGTAATATATAACAAAAAACCCATCAGGAGTTTCTAACAAAACATTTAATAAAAGTTAGAACAATTTTCACATAAATCTAGACAAGTGCTGTTTTAAGAGAAACATTTTATCACTGTTGATAACTGTTGTAGGAGATCTGATTGTTTTATCCCACCATCACTGCAGTAAACTTTTCAACATTTCACAGAGAAATTTCTTTTAAACAGTTTCCCTAATGCCCAATTAATCAGCCGAACTGCATTAGTGGATGCTTTGTTCTAGAAATAAATAAATATAAAAACACACACACAGTTCCAGCAGGACTTGATACATTTCGGTAGATGAGGGCATTAATTGACAAGTTTTGGCAGTGCTTCAAAAGACAATATATTTTTATGTAGACTGTGCAATGATTTTATCACAGAGCTGGGGTGCTTTTACGTAATTAACTCCCCTTTATCCAGTAATGCACATACACAATTAAAAGAATATTTACTGCTACCAGCCAGTATTTATGTCTAATTATCTTCACAGTATGCCTTAATTGCAGTTTTCCACGGTTACCTATCTCATTTTAATTATGAAATAACACCACTGTAAGTTACAGTGGTTTTAGCTGGGTTTAAAGTCAAAGTTCGAACAATAAATCACAAACGGCAACTTTCCAGTTTTACATATGCAGGAAGACTTCAGGTGCCACTCAAAGTGCATTATTGCTCAGGTAAGCATCTGTATAAAACCACAGACATTTTGTAAACTAGTTTGATAACTTCCATACATGAAAACATTTAAAGGTCCTTGCCAGATTTAAATCCAGTGGTGAGGGGCAAGAGAATTGATGTCAGCAACCTTTACCACTAGGCTCCGGTGGCCCAGCAAATATCAAGCATTCTCCAATAGTCTTTCCACTTACAAAATCATTTTGAATATTTAGTCATCTTTGATTAAAAAAAATTATGACTGTTTGTTTTATTTGATACAACATGTTCATTTTCTGGATTTGATAGTGGCCACAAGGGTAGGCCGTCAAAACAACCAGTATAGATATTCAATCTAGCTTTCAAAACCGTGCTGTCTGACTAGAATTTGTGCTAATGGCATCTCTAATCAGCTTGCACAACCATGCTGTTTGAATATAATCTGCAACCATGGCTGCTCTCATCAGCTTATATAACCATGCTGTTTGAATATAATCTGCAACCATGGTTGAACTCATCAGCTTATATAACCATGCTGTTTGAATAGAATATGTAACCATGTTTGATCTCATCAGCTTAAATAACCATGCTGTTTGAATAGAATATGTAACCATGGCTGCTCTCATCAGCTTATATAACCATGCTGTTTGAATATAATCTGCAACCATGGTTGAACTCATCAGCTTATATAACCATGCTGTTTGAATAGAATATGTAACCATGGCTGCTCTCATCAGCTTTTACAACCATGCTGCCTGATAAGAAAAATTGTGATAAATGCTTAATTTATCTTGAATCTGTTCACTTTGCTGGAGTCATGCAGCTTTAATTTCAAGCAGGGTTGAATAGTAATATTTCTTCCATGTCTTTGTCATTCTCGTCTGTGAAGATCTCTTCAACATAGACAAACATCTGGTTTCCAAGTATGTTCTTACAAAAAAACACAACAACAATTATGCCATTATGTTTTCTGCATACAAATCATTACAGAAACAAATAGTTTCTACTAAAGTTTATATAAATATACAAAAACATTTTTACAGCCAGACACTCAAGAATTTCTATTGCATATGCCAGAAACCTCCATTATTCTTGTGATCAATTTATATTTGTTGAAGTATTTACAATTTGTCTTGAGACAAAAACAAAACAACAGCTGTAAGCAGAAGAATTCTACTTCAAAAAACATGTCTCTATAATTATTTCAACACTACCTCTCTTGAACTTTACTTTCTAAACTGTATCACTAGAATGATAAATTCAAACAGCAAATCAAAATTATATATACATCTTGAATTTTTTATTACATTTGAGCCGCGTCACGACAAAACCAACATAATAGGTTTGCGACCAGCATGGATCAAGACCAGCCTGCGCGGATCCATACTGTTTGCTATCAGTTTCTCTACTTGTAATAGGGTTTGTAAGCGAACAGCATGGATCCTGATCAGACTGCGCAGATGCGCAGGCTGGTCTGGATCCATGCTGGTCGCAAACCCATTATGTTGGTTTTGTCGTGACGCGGCTCATGTATTGTCTAATCATGATAAATCAGATTTTCATGACTTACTTTCCAAAGAGGACAGCCACACCTACAGTACTTCTAGGGGTTGACATAGGGGCAACATAACTCCACTGTTTAGCCTGTGGGTCCCATCTCTCCACTGTATTTAGATATGACCAACCATCATGACCACCCACAGCATACATAGGTCCCTCTAGCACTCCTACACCTGTAAATACACCAGTAATGAACTGTATCGCTCATATCTGATATTTCACTTTGTTTCTAGAATCAAAAGAACTTCACTAGCATTGAAAAAATACTTGAGCTGCATTTTTTCTTTTTAAGTCTGAACTTCTGTACCACATGTGAAAGTATTTAATTTTTGATGTCTCATGGCAACACTTTGTAAATATGTTTTTTTAAGTAGGTTCAGTTATTACAATTATGAAATTAACTTGTGACTCACATGGGATTCATTTTCATTGATGTCTTGGTTACAAACATTACATGAATTTTTTAACATCCTTGTTACTTTATTATTAATATATGATAATAAAATCAAAATTCTACACATACATGTATTGCCATAAATTATAGAAGATGTATTAAGAGTTTGTTTATGAAATGACTGAAACAGGAACATTATAAATGTTTCATTTATTTTAAGGTCAAGGCTAAATGTAAAAGTATTTCAGTTATATACTGGTCTGAAGTTAACTAATGTTTAATGTCCGAACCAGAACAAACATGTTTTACCTACCAACCTCTCAACATATAAATCATTTAATATAGTACCAATGTCTTTAATAATATTGTCACAGGAAAACATATGCTGTGCCATAGATTTAAATTCACAAAAACCAAGAGATGCAGACCTAATGTTATATATACTGAGCTATGAAAGCACAAAGGCCTTAACTTTTCAATGTTAAAATATTTTAATATTACATTAATATGTAAAATTGACCCAACAGAATGATGCCACCAAAAAAAATACGAGAAATGGAACAATATTCGACTACATAAATCATGATACATATGTGCATTATCTTAAACTGATGAGATCCATATGTCTCCAAATAAAAATGACAATATTTACTAAATCCATGACAACATGCACACATAAAATTTGATTTTATGTTCTATCATATGTTATGATTTATATCACAGACAGGATGCCATCAATGTGACAATTAATGTTAGTTTGCACATACCAGACAGAAAATATATAACATTAAATATACTAAACTGCTATACCATGTGATAATAAAGTTATTTTACTGCATAAAATCATAAAATAATGCAGGGAAAATATCCTAAATATATCCCTGCAGCTTCATTCTACATTATATCAAGGATTAAATGCAATATTGCCATAACTCAAAAAAAGTAAGTTAGTTTGTTACAGCATTTTCAAATGAACCTCTATTGTTTTATGTTAAATATCTCTTTGTTTTGTTTTCATCATTCATCACAAGTTTTCTGTGAAGATTTTTCAGAAAACAATTTCCACTACAAATTACCTAGCAACAAAACAAATGTCTAATCACAGACAAAACACTCCCTTGAATAAAGATTATCTATCTTTATATACAGGCTACAAAAACGACTGCCTATGTCTTTGGCATCTTAGATCTATTTTGTATCTATTTTAGACTTGTAGACAAAATGTCTTTCACAAAATGAATACAAATTTACTGTATAACGAAATGAAAATCACAAAAAAAACATCAATAAATAATCTTATATTTGTGCTTTAAAAAAAAAGAAAATTTTTTTAAAAATAATTGTTACCCAATCCGTGTCTATGAGTTGACATTGGAGGCATGAGGGTCCACGTTTTCTTTCTCAGATCATAACATTCTACAGTATTTAGTGTCTTCAGACCCTCTCTACCTCCAACTATGAAGAGTTTATTCTCCAGTACTGCCACACCAAACTGTAATCGTCGACCATTCATATTAGCAACCTGAGTCCAAGTGTTGGTCCTTAAGTCATATTTCTCTATTGTTGATGGACCTGAAAATATGACAAATGCTTAACTCTATCACGCCATCTACAAATAGTTAACTCTTTATCACAATCTACAAATGGATGGTTAACTCTAAATGGCAATCTACATAAACAATATTTTGACTCATTTTCTTATAAAAAATGATAATGTAAAGGTAACACAGCTAATAAGTCAGATATGCAGTCTGGCCTGGCGATATACTAGCGATATAAGGAAATTATTTTTGTCACAATAGCATGAGTTGAACATAAGAAAATTATGCAAAAGAAACTTTTCTCACGCTTGGAAAATTCAAAATTAGTCTGAAATTTTCTAATTTCCGAGACCTTTGGTGGTCTCTTTATTCAATCTTTATGCAACCTTTGTCTATTATATTGACATTAACTGACTACCATGACAAAAGACACCAGGATTATATTGGTATCATTAGAATTCTAAAATGGGAACTTACATTACCACAGAACCGAAAATACTGTACTTATACGTAATAAATTTATCTTATGTTATTCTCTTAGACATATTAACTAAAAGTGCACTATAAATGTCTATAATAATGTCAAGTCTAGGGAAAGAAGCATCAACTATAATTTGATGTCATCTTCACTTCAATCAATTCTCTAAGTATCATTCTCCCAGGCATTATTACACAGGCAATAAACTTCAATCTTATGAGGCTTATATATCTCAAACAGTGCACTTAACTTGAGCATATTTGGAGACTTTCTAGTTCTTTCATGTTCTGGTAAGTTTTTATTTCGCCTATTTTCAACAGTATCTAGTTTATATAAATAATTATACTAATAGCTTAATTATGATAAATGCTTAGAGCTTATTTAAACCATTCAAGTCCAGTTCCTGAAACTAACCAATAAGGGTGTCAATAAACCCAAAGGCTGGAAGATAAATGGTGTGACCCCAGTGGGGGCTTAACACAATCACTGCCTTCTGAGGCTGACATTTTAAAAATTAGCCCACATATTCTTAAAGAGTAGTTCACAAATAATTAAGGAATTACCTTCACAAGTGTTTGGATTCTGTACATATTCTAACCTGTTAAACTACTCCAAGTTATGCACTGTAACATACAGTGGAAGTCAAACAGATTAAGATATTTTGTCTCAAACCACCTGGTGACAAAACTTTTTTTCTGAGTTCTGTCTCAAATCTTATCACTTTCATTGGTCAGTGTACATTCTGCGTAAGTTTCTGACCAATCAAATGCCCGAGATCTGAGTTTAAGCTTAGAGAATTTATTAATAACCTTGGACCCAGGCTCACAGACAGAGAAAGAGAGACAAGTTTACAAAAATGTCTATAAAATACAATGTTTACTGACATAATGTCAATATTTTACCTTTATTACTATCCATACCACCTACTGCAAACATCATACCAACAGTGGATTTACGTGGTTTGGTCCTTGGACTCTGGAATGATGACCTTCTCTCAGGTAGTAGGTGATATTTTAAAGCCTCCATAATCAAACCCTGACAGTCTTTGTTATCCTTGAAGAGTGGATTCGTCTCTACATGGTCGGCTATAAACTGTGAACAAGAACAAAATAGTAAGTCAATCAAAATACTCACACAAAAAAATTAACCTATCAAAGTAAGTTTTCTTGTGCAACTTTGTGTACATTTTTTTTTTTACATAAAATCTGGGACTTAAATTGACATCTTAAGTCCAAGATAAAATTTACAAACACATTGCAAGGAATTGAATGTGGTTTTTTAGTTTTTTTTGTTTTTTTTTGTATTTTAGGATCTGAATGTTATTTTCATATCTGATCAATATTATATGCCCATAACAATCCTCCATTACCCTGTTTATTAAAATGTTTTCTAAATTACTAATTAAAATATACTCAGTCAACCTCTGCATTGTTCTTGTGAAACCTAAGAGGTCCTTATTGAGGGTTGATGCAAAACTGTTGTAAGTCCTTCTTTATGTTATATAAGTTACTGTAGTTTTGCGCTCAACCCTCGTTATATACATCAACATGTGCACTATTAAAATCTCATTTCTGTTTCAGTTTCTATTACCTAGTACAAAGACCTTTGATGATGGTTTCATAAAGAACCATGGGTTAAATAAGTAAACTTTCATTAGTGAAACCAGTACATACAATGAACATTAATGTGTTTTGTTTTTTTACAATGAAAAAAAAATATATTGATAGATTTTCCTTTGAAGTACTGTATACAAGTTACCAGTATCTTACACTTTTCTTACACTATTACATGTACTGAATATTAGTATCTAAAGAAGAAGCCATGTTTATACAATGTAATTAAATTAGAGAGTTTATAAAGAGACATGTTATAAGGTATCTGATAACATTAACAAGTGTTTTAAGCAGCTGATATATTGCTATCAGGGGTTACAGACTTATTCCTTAACTCTGACAAATTATTTGTTTAATATATATATGGCTTCTGTAATGTAACACAACAGGCTTCTCTAATTAAATAATATACAGATGTTCAGAGGGCAGGGCAAACTAAAGAAGGCTGCATTTTATACTATGCTCATCTTTGGTATTGCAGAAAATAACTGAAATCTAGGAAATATTTTACTTGAATATGCCTTATTTGTATAAGAAAATGCAGAAGCTAATTTTGGGAAGCTGAAGTTCCTTTTATTGGCCAAGTTAATTTTGGTCCATTGTCATATGTATTCATACTGTGTTTATCAAAAGTGTATAGAGTAATTTATTTTCCTTTTGTGTACTCAAAACTGAAAAGATGTTTATTTTACATGTAAATAGAGACTGTGAATCAATTATCATGTGAAGCAATTATCAGTATTTTAAATATCACATTTAAGCAGATTATAATTATCTTTAAGATCTTAAAGCAAATACTGATATCTTTAAACTGTTGCAAAGACAAAAAAAAGGTCAGACTCCTCTATTATATAATGGGGGAGGGCATTGAAAATTCATAAAAAAAAAAGCTTAAATCAATGTGTCTTTTACAAATATTTAAATGGCTAGTTAAAAATATTCTTAAGTCTTTCAGTATTTCTATATACATATATGAATCTAAGAATGTTTTTATATAATAACAAACAACTTAAAACATACATCTTACAGACTCTCTATGACTAGAAAAATAAAGTGTTTATGTTTCTAAATAAATCTCCATCTCCCCTGATACCTGATACTTTGTTTACAAAATATACAATACTAGGACAAAATATTTAACATTACAGACTCTCTATGACTAGATAAATAAAGTGTTTATGTTTCTAAATAAATCTTGATCTCCTCTGATACTTCATACTTTGTTTACAAAATATACAATACTAGGACAAAATATTTAACATTACAGACTCAAGTTATAAACTATAATGTCAACAAAGTGCAAAAACAACTTGAGAAATTTGACACCTTCTTATGAATATATAATAAACACTTGTTAATGTGAGACAGTTATTTCATTTTTTTTTATGTATAATTCTAGTTTTAACAAACTAAACATTGATGTCAAAATTGTATAAGGATTTCAAGTATGTGTAATTATAATGGAGCATGAATCTTATTAACATTTTTTACAACAACAAAATTAACAACTCAAAAGCTTGTTATCTTTTTGCAAGTTTTAATATTACATATAATTTATTGGGGAATCTTTTTGCGTTGTAATTCCAGACAATTCTTTTGAATTTTAAGTAACAGTTAACCCGTCAATGGTCTTTGGTACTTGAGTGGTCTATGAAAAAAGTTTTTTTGCACTAAAATTGTTCACAAACTTGAAACAGCTTTCTTGAAGGCGACAAGTTTTCACTAAGTGATTTATTCTCCTGGACTTCATCACATTTTAATACGACTGCACAGGACATTCTTTACCTAATTTTTATAACAAATTTCCAAAATTATTTCTTTTTTTGAAATCAAAATTGAATAATAAGAAAACTAGAAATGTGTCATCATGCCACGGATGCCCCCACATGCAGCCAAAATTTCAGATGGTGCATTAATTATTTTTTTCATTTTAAGTTCAAAGCCCTTAAAACTTTTCAATGTTAACGCAAACCATTTTCATACAATGTTCAAGGCACTGAAATTATTCAGTCTTAACCTTTTAAAAATAGCATATTGCATATTTGTAGCCAAAATAATGGCTTAAAGTAACATTAAATAAATATGTAAAAATATATTTGCCGTCGGCCTAAAACCCAAGCATTCTACAGTTTCATTAACCTTTTTAACAGTATCGTTATAAATCTCATCAAATATTGTTCATAAATAAGGATTTTAAATGGAAAACCCCACGGTAACACTAAAGTACGTATACGAATTTTAACATGCAAACGAAGACTATAATCAGCTCGTGTATGCGCTATGTCACGGTATTATCGTTGCTATCCGGAACACAGCAAATATAAAATTTTCTTGTGCAAACACACTTTAACAGTTTAAGCTTCACGGTGCATTAGGCATGGGGTTCAGAAAAAGTTATCATCACATAAAAAAGATTAAATTTGTATGAAAATATCCGTTACAATGCGGAAATATACCGTTAAATTAGGACTACTACTTATAGGCATGTTTGTTGATTTAACATTGATGTACGGATGATTAGAAGGCGGAGTTTCTTATGCAAACAGAAATTGTACTTCCGAATTCGCCACAATGAGGTTGCACATTTGTTTGCCAATAAAACTCCTTTTGGTAGTCTGGACACCAAAATAAGATCTGGATTCGATATGAAACCCAATTTATTAATGAAATGTCGTTATTTCTGTTTTTATGAAATTTATTAAATGTAACTTTAAAGTATGAGTGCTGAAACTGAAAGTTCAAAATTTTTCCAACATTCAGGAAAGATAAGTTTGCCTAAAATCATTGAACCACAACCAAATTCAAACTTAAACTGCTTATTCCTAAGATGTATCTATATTATTTTCAAAGTGAAAGGGACATAACTCTGCCAAAAAATCATCAAACCATGACCAAATTCCAACTTGACCTGCCCATTCCTTTGACATATCCATATGTCAAATTTAAGTTGAATATGTAACACTGTTGGGTAGATAATGAACAGAAACTGTAAATTTCATATTATTTTCAAAGTGAAAGGGGCATTACTCTGCCAAAAATCATTGAACCATGACTAAACTCCAACTTGGCCTGGGCATTCCAAAAACATATCCATATGTCAAATTTGAGTTGAATGTGTTGTACCATTGGGGAGATAATAAACGGAAACTGAAAATTTCATATTACTTTCAAAGTGAAAGGGGCATAACTCTGCCAAAAATCATCGAACCATGACCAAATTCGAACTTGACCTGTATTTTCTTATGACATATCCATATGTCAAGTTTGAGTTAAATGTGTTGTACCGTTGGGGAGATAATGAACGGAAACTGATAATTTCATATTGTTTTCAAAGTAAAAGGGGCATAACTGTGCCAAAAATCATCGAACCATGACCAAATTCGAACTTGACCTGTATTTTTTCATGACGTATCCATATGTCAAGTTTGAGTTGAATGTGTTGTACCGTTGGGGAGATAATGAACGGAAACTGAAAATTTCATATTATTTTCAAAGTAAAAGGGGCATAACTCTGCCAAAAATCATCGAACCATGACCAAATTCGAACTTGACCTGTATTTTCTCATGACATATCCATATGTCAAGTTTGAATTGAATGTGTTGTACCGTTGGGGAGATAATGAACGGAAACTGAAATGTTATATTATTTTCAAAGTAAAAGGGGCATAACTCTGCCAAAAATCATCGAACCATGACCAAATTCGAACTTGACCTGTATTTTCTCATGACATATCCATATGTCAAATTTGAGTTGAACGGAAACTGATGATGACGGAATGACAGAATGACGGAAGGACGGAATGACGGAACAGCCCAACAGGGTAACACTATTATGCCCCAGCCATTACATGGCGGGGGCATAAAAATCACACTTTAAGAAGGCTGTTGAAACTGGAACTATATTCCCTATATGTACTGTATATTTATTTAGAAGTATGTAAGTAAACATTCAGAACTATTTACTGTATTAATGAAAGCAACATAGTCTCCAGGGAGCTAACAAGAAAGCTGAGATTTGGTGCAATAAACGGCAACAATTCAAGAACACTATCCAATTACTATTGATCAAACCCCGAACATTTTCTCCACATTGTATTAAAACAATACTTTCTGTCAATTAATTTGAGGAAATCTCATTTTCCACGCTGGATTACACAGTGGGAATGTTTTTATTATAGGTCTATCAAGGGAGAATGATGTATCTTTAACAATGGGAATCTGGAGAGATATTTCTCAAACCACTGTCATTCTGTCTATAATCATACAATATTAAGAAAATCTCAAATATCTAAACAGTTCTGGAATACATTTGTATATTCTAGTACTAGGAGAAGATTATAATGTGAAGAGACACACTGTTGTCATATGTGTCATCTACAGACCATTCTGGTTTGTTTTGTTTTGTTTTTGTTTTTTTGTCATTATATCCTATATCAATAGACCAAGTTAGATGTGTCATCGTTCCTTAGGGAAGGTCTCTGGAATTCACTTCAAGTTGATCTTTGACTCTTTTTAGGAAGTTAATATCTACATTTATGATTTAAGAGAAATTTAGAAAAAGTCTTAACATGATCTGATTTTATCTAATTGATGAAAAAATGACTTCAGGCACAGTCTGGAAAAAAAAAAACTGACTGTAAACAATAAACAACAAAATTGATAAAGCCAAGTACCAATCTAAATCAAAGTCTGATTACACATAAATTGTATTTGATTTTAAAAATCTTTACTTTTTGTAATCAAACACTGAAGAAAATTTTATGACCCTAAACATTGATTGTACAAAAACTACAAATAAATAAAGCCAATTATCAAGTCCAACACAATTCTAAGTTGACACCAATGTAATTAACAATCATAGATCTGAATAAAAATTCCCCTACTCTAAATGACAAAAACACAAGATATTACAAGCAGAACCAATAAAATAAACATAATATAGCAACTGTCTCATAAAATATTTATGATATAAGCAATTACCTATAAAAAATGATCATATTGGTTCTATATATCAGAGGTAAGGAGACAAACTGTGAAGGGAAACAGTGACTATATTAGTCACACAACTACATACATGAGGTTTCAGTAATCACTTCTCTCTATTCTTAACTTTGGTCAGAGGAAAACTGAACAAAAATGAACCTTAACAAAAACATACATGGTTTTTGTCATTTTTTTGATGATGCCAAAAATATATAGAGGATATTTGTTTGTTTTGCATGTAAGATCGAAATATAATTTCACTGAGTGAACACCAGATGCGATATTTTCACGAGTGGCGTAGCCACGAGTGAATATATAATAGCTGGTGTTCACGAATGAAATATATTTAAATCTTATATGTAAAACAAATAAATTTTCTTTTTATTTCATGCTTTTTAAGTGATTTTAAGTATTTTTTACTGATTTTGCCGCGTAACGTCGCGCATTCTCCTTTGTGACGTCATCACATCATGACGTCACATCATCAATTTTGAAATATAGTTCTGCTAAATTTCTCTAATTTTGTTACATTTTTAACATGATGTATGATGACATCGACTTTCTTTTCCTAAAGAAGCAAAATTTACGTATGACGGCATTTATTTCTGCGTGTTATTCCATTTAGTTATGATTTTCTTTTCATCCGCATTCAGATATAGTCCGGCTACAGTGAAAATTATATTTTATAAATTTCACTAGTGGTTTATCAGAATATAATCATCTGATATATTACAATAAAACACTGGAAAGCATGAAATAAATATCAAATCACAACAATATGTTCCACATCACATAAAATGAGAAGTACATATTAAAGTTAAATTAAACTAGCGGCCTTCCAATATAATCTGATTTAAAATTTTCAATGTACTATAAATTACTTTGATGAGAATTTCATATAAGTGAACAATAAGGGATGGGTGTTGGAATGAATGATGGCAAATTGTATGTGACAGATAGGCAAGTCACACAGAGAAAAACCTATGCTATATGATCAATTCTAGGATATATTCCTTAAGTTTTCATATTCAAATATTCAGGATAGAAAGTGAAATAACAATAAGGAAGGGGAACTTCTTTCTTAGCCAATTTTCAACAAATTTCACATCATTTTCATTAAACTGAACTTCCCTCTTAGTAATAATTTTCCCAAATAGTGTTCAAAATTTTGAGCGAGGCACAACCTAAGCAAGTATATTGAGATACTTAAACGAGATGATTTGCAACTTATTCAGAAAAGTATATCATGATTGTTAAACTTGAGAAAAAAACCACTAAGAGGTTATATATCTCATGAAGCTCTTAAAATACAAGCTTTACGTTAAAACACAAGAGACTTGGTATGGTTTCAATTGATACTTTCAGAGCCACATGGTGAAAAAAAAGTGTAAATACAGATATTACTCGCAGCCCAATAGTACAATAAAAAAGTTTCGAAAACTCTGCTTGGTGACTTATGAACAAATCTAATTTTTTAAAGAGGCATTATGATTTAAAGAGATGTGCAACTCTTCCACAATGGCAAATATGAATCTTACCAGGTCTAGAAGCTGATAAGTCTGATATTCGACATGAGTTGGTACATACCAGTCCTGTGGAGACATTAGAGAAAGTCTGATATTCGACATGAGTTGGTACATACCAGTCTTACAGAGACATTAGAGAAAGTCTGATATTCGACATGAGTTGGTACATACTAATCTTTTGGAGACATTAGAGGAAGTCTGATATTCGACATGAGTTGGTACATACCAGTCTTACAGAGACATTAGACGAAGTCTGATATCCTACATGAGTTGGTACATACCAGTCCTGTGGAGACATTAGAGAAAGTCTGATATTCGACATGAGTTGGTACATACCAGTCTTACAGAGACATTAGAGGAAGTCTGATATCCTACATGAGTTGGTACATACCAGTCCTGTGGAGACATTAGAGAAAGTCTGATATTCGACATGAGTTGGTACATACCAGTCTTACAGAGACATTAGAGAAAGTCTGATATTCGACATGAGTTGGTACATACCAGTCTTACAGAGACATTAGAGGAAGTCTGATATTCAACATGAGTTGGTACATACCAGTCTTACAGAGACATTAAAGGAAGTCCAATATTCAACATGAGTTGGTACATACCAGTCTTACAGAGACATTAGAGGAAGTCTGATATTCAACATGAGTTGGTACATACCAGTCCTGTGGAGATTTTAGAGATAGGTCTGATATTCGACACGAGTTGGTATATACCAGTCCTTCTGCAACATTAGAGAAAGTCTGATATGTTTTAAGTTTATAGAGGTACATGCCTGTGGAGACATTAGTGGAAGTGAGATATGCGACATGAGTTTATAGATACATACCTGCGGAGACATTAGAGGAAGTGAGATATGTGACATGAGTTTATAGAGGTACATACCTGCGGAGACATTAGAGGAAGTGAGATATGTGACATGAGTTTATAGAGGTACATACCTGTGGAGACATTAGAGGAAGTGAGATATGTGACATGAGTTTATAGAGGTACATACCTGCGAAGACATTAGAGAAAGTCTGATATGTTTTAAGTTTATAGAGGTACATACCTGTGGAGACATTAGTGGAAGTCTGATATGCGACATGAGTTTAGCGAGGTATTTCTTCCTGTTGTTAATATCATGATTGATCCACATTACTAGCGCTGAGTAAATTATCTCCTCACTCTGTATATTGAGATCATCACTGGATAGAAGCTTAGCTACCTCATCTGGTGGCAGAATAAGAAATTCCTGGGTGTTCATCACCTCTCCAAACCTTTCCTATAAACAGAAGTCAAAACTTGAGAAACAACACATTTTTTAACTAAAATCCTAAATGTTCACCCTTTCACTAAAACTTTCTAAATCACTATAAATAGAAATCAATTTTTAAAAATAAGAAATCAATATCAAGTTGATAATCAAGTTGTATATCATCTGATCTCAATATCAGTTCAAATAGTCATTTTTAGGCTAAGGTTTTTATTACATATTTGCTTCCTGTCTAAACATCCACACATTTCACTGACACTTGTATACCATATCTGTTAATATTTTTTTAAGAAAGATAAACAATAAGGAGAGATTATGATTATACTAATTCTAAGATATGACTCATGTAGTTCTGTCACTTACATCACATACACAAATGATATAATCCATTACCTTTCTAAAGAAAATATCAAAATAGATGGGGAAAAAATACACACTTAACAGTATTTTTCAAGTACAATGTAGTTGATAAAAAAAACATTTATAGTATTACCGTACATATCTTTTACACCAGAGTTAAGTGAAGTGATATCTGTTAGTTGCTAATAATTCAATGAGGATATAATAAAATGAAAAAAAATCTGGTGATCTGATTTTCCTCCATATGAAATGAAACATATGGTCAAGTTAATTTATCTTTTCTTTGGCCTTGCAAAGTTCAAAGTGTACCAAGATTATATGAAAATAAAAGTGATAAGGTTTAATCTAATCTGGGGTCCTCAAGTTCACGATCATCACAATAAATGAAATCTCAATTGTTTTATGAAAATCTCTACATTGTCTAAATTATTATGCAATATCTGCAATACTGTTCAGAAACTGTATCACAGTGTAATATCCCCCAATACTTTGCAATGACAGCATTACTGTGCAATGACAGCATTACTGTGCAATGAAAGCATCACTGTGCAATAAAAGTAATTTTGTGCACACACCTGCAATGCTGGCAATAACTGTATGATACACCTCTGCAATATCATATTACCAAACAATTTTTGCATTACTGTGCAATACATGCATTTTTGTAACTGAACCAAAGATATGTGAAATAAGGTGCAATAGCTGCGTTTCCATGTAATATAAGTAATATAAGAGCTCTTGTGCAATATTTCCAATACAGGCAATAACAGTTTTACTCTGCAATATCCATTTTGCTGTTGTGCAATATCTATAATTGGTCACAATGTTCACAATACACTTTTGTCTTACCATAACATAGTTATTAGCAACTTTGTAAAGATCACAGCATCCCTGAGCGTCAGCAAACTGTCGGATACCTATACAGTTAGACGGATGAAGCTGTTTCATAAGGAAATTACAGCAAGCCTCTACAACTTCTGACAGCTGTAACATACATGCTGTCGACAGCAGATTCTCAACTGTATCTTCTCGGAGTTCTATTGAGCCTGAAAAGAGAAATGATAACATAGTTCATAAATTATATTTTGCACATTTTATAGGATTAGTTCTAACACACATTTTTTTTGACTTTCTTTTGTTAGCAATATTTGAACTGTTGTTTTTTTGAAAAGCTATCATAATTGCTGTATGTTAACATATCATATTATCACATATTGACTGTTTTTTGGAATTGAAGTATTTAAAATGTGATTTTTGTGTGGCGGTCTGGCTGAGTGGTTAACACTCAGACTAGTAATCTAAGGATGGCTGCATCCGCGACTGTGTTCAAACCCCATCAATAAACTTATTGCTTCCAACACTATCGAACTAGAATAAATTTGTATAAACTAATTGTGATTTTTTAAGTTGTTCATTTACAATATTGTCTACTTCAAGTATTTTTGATGCTCATATACATGTGCGTATATATAAAAATAAATGCTTATATATAAAAATAAATGCTTGAATACTCTTTATTGTTTGGTATATATTGTATAACCTAAAATCCTAAGATTTTAACATAACATTTTCAACTCACATATGCTTTAAGTAATAAACATGTGATAAAAATCATCCATATTTTATTTAGTTTTCTCTCTTCATCTTTACCCAGCTGTATGTAATAAAATAGGAGGAAAACATGACTGTGTGCAAGAAATTAGCTTAATTGGTTCAGTTAAAAGGTGAAAACATAAAATTAACCAAGTTCTCTGATCCTCCAGATATTCATTCACTACCCTGACACTCACTTGGTGTTTTTTTTGCTAATCATAAATTCGCAGACTATATGAATGGCTTTCAGAAATGTATTTGTTTATATTAATATATATCATATTTTTAAGCTTACCATGTGAAATGAGAATATTATCTTCCTGCTTGCAGGCAAATTCTCAGACAAAACAATACTATTTATGAATGTTATAAACATTTTAACACAGAGATTATATTTCAGGTTTCATTGCTGGCAATGAAAATGCATTCTCCAATAACTTGACAAAAGGCTTTGCAAAGCCCATTTGTTGAGCCCATAAAATACGTTCCTAGCTATTTTTTTTTTGTAAAAAAATACTTTTTCTTAAAATCATTAGCTGTTTACATTAAAACGGAGGGAGTAAAATTCTGGATATATAAGATGGAAACCATGGTAACAATGTAATATATCATATATATATTACAGATTTTTATGAGACAGTTATTATTTGAACTTTAAACCAGGAACGGAAACTTTTCATATTAAAACATGACATATAATAAACCATCAAGCCTCTTATTACCATTTTAAAGATATTATAACATCTGGTAACCATGTAGACTATAATACCACGGAAACATAAAAAATATTTTACTGGATACCTTAACATGTGATGTATCATATTAAACAAAACAATTAAATCTTTACTGAGACTTATTTACAAATAATAACTTCAACCTGTATTTACATGTATTAACATCATGTGTTTGAAATTAAGTTATCTGTAGAGTTGGAAATTATGGCAGTACTTGGTAGTGCTTGCTGCTTGCTTTCACTTTCACCTTGCCAGAGCAGAAGTACAGAGCGAATGACCATAGAAATTATTTCATGAAAGTGACCTGCACCATCTGGGAATCGAACCAGGGTTGCCTGATTTATAGTCCAACACTGTACCTTTTGAGCTAACTCAGGGTAGTCTGGCAGTACTTGGTGGTGGGTGATATTTAAGGCCTTCAGGCCAGATCAGAGGTACAGTGCTAAAGACTGTAGAAAGAATTTTATGATCAACGATAACAAGAGTGACCAGCACTGTCCAGGTATCGAACCTGGGTCCCCCCATTTACAGTCTAATGCTCTACCAATTGAGCTAACCAGACAAAAGTTCAAATAATAAATGTTTCATATCAGAAGTTTTAAAGTCATGCCACTGTGCACACATCCTGGGTCTGCTCAGTTTTTGTATATTGATCTTTAAATCAATAAAACTAATCATAGACTGCTCAAGTCAACAAAATAACAAGTTCAAGGATTATAGTGACTTATTCACACTGAGATAACAGTTTTTATCTTGCACATAAATTTATGGTCTACCGAATATGATCAATTAATTAATAGAACAAATCTTATTGACTTATTTTTTCATTTAATAGGTACCTGGTACCGTATCACAATTCATTTGGAGAAGTTTCCAGGAGAAAGGCAAAGAAGGAAGATTTAAACTAGCACAGAGAATTCTCTTATACTTTGCATGATTAAAGAGAATAATAATTGACACAAATTTATGACACAAATTGGGTGATACCATCTTAACTTTTGCAGTTATCTGCTATAAGTGATTTTTTAAAAAATCTTTTCAATCCTTTTAAAAATATATGTACATGTACTACTATGTTGTCCATGTATGATGAACAAAGGTTCCAGAATTGTAATTTTCCCTAAACCAATTAAAGCTGAACTCAGAACTTAGTAAAAATCATTTCATTGACAAATTGAAAGTCAAAGAAGCTCTAAAAATTGAATTAGATGAACCTGGTCAGTCTCTTGTTCTCTCACACACTAGCACTTTGAACTGAAGGTGCCAGTAACATAGAGCCAGGCCAATTTGCATATCTGTCCAGTATAAATAAACTTAAATATATTGTTGGCTTTAATAACTTTTTGTCATGATATATATTTTCAGTATCACCAAAGTTTATAATGGACATTAAAGGAACTCAGCTGAGGTCCAAAGTCTAAAAACATACTTTTACTTTTTCTTATATAGATCAGCTGGGGCATTTAAAACAGCAAGACATGCAGAATATAATTAAGGAATATAGTCAGAGGAAATCAAATTTTTCCTATTTTCGGCCTCAGATTTGAGTGAAAACGCTTTTCAACTTCAGATCATTTTTCTAAGAATATATAATTACATGTATTCTGGAAAAACGAAGTGAATGAATGATCTGAAATTTTGCATATAAGTTATTGGTCTAGACTTTCATCAGATGAAACATTAATCTTAAAACTGCTAGCTGGACAAGTGTATCTAAGTAATTCAAGAAGTTAAGAGAACTGTTATGTATTATACCACATACAATGTTAAAATTACAAACATATTTATAAATACATGTCAGAATGTTTGACACATGGCGTTGGTATTTGAGCAAACATTTGATGTCCTGTGTTAGTACAAGCTGTAAAAAATTTAGGTTATCTGGTGCCTAGAAGTAATGTGGGAGGGGTACTATAATTCCCTACAATAAAAGTTTAAAGTATAAACATATTCTGCCCTACAGGTTTATTGCAATTATCCCCAACAGAGATAATTGACATGTGAAATTTCTGTTAAGGAATGTCTTGAAGTCAAAGGAACATTAGACCAGCCCACACACTATATACAAGCAGGATCTAAAAGGTTTTGTGGTAATTATTGTAGAAAGTATTTTTCAGTATTTAACACAAATGCAACAGCATTAAATGAAACATCAGGAAAAAGAGATACTTAATTCAGTACTAAGCTAATGTGTTTTTTTTCTTCATCTAATCCCGGGGTACAGACAATATTTTACACATAACTGAAATGCAGTGAACATAGTGGACAGTCAAGTTCAATGCGAAACTTTATAACAGTAAAAAATTGTTGCATCCAGGGAAGTTCTGGATAATAATCTATGATGGTTTGATTTGACTTATCACTAGGTAACTTTTGTAAAATGAAGCAGGTAAACTAATTTAAAACTTGTTTTGTAACCATATGATATGTCAACATGCAAATTGTTTAATCAAGATCTCAAAGCAAGGGACATAACTGAAACTAAAAAACTTCATCCTGAAGAACATAGAGAATTTCAGATGCCGCAATCTTGTTCTCTGCTCTAGTTAAATTCATTAAAAGTTTCTGAACAAGACATGAAAAGATGAATAGCATATAAAGGGCTATTACTCAGTATTGTTTCAGCAGAATACATATATGTTCCTCATATGTATAACTACATGTCAACATATCACTGCAATGTTTCTATAAAATCCAGTACAAAGTTTCTGCTCAATGTTTTTAATTAAATTATAATGTCATTTTGAACAAAACTGCTGATTTAATTGGACCCAAGCTTCTAAATCAACCTAGATAGAGACAATGATTTCTGACAGGCATGACACCACTAAATATTTCAAATCAGTTACAAGCACATTAAAATGCATCTATACCAACATTGTGGTCTCCAATTTCCACTTGTTAATTGAAACAGTAATCAATCCTCTTTGATGAAACAGGCCCTAAATAAAGCTTTAATTGAAATTAAATGCATCAACCCACTAAAACATATTGTATTCTATTTGATTTATTCAGAGCATTGGCCCTCAATGAAAAAGCTTTTTGTAATTATTTCAGTTTTACCATTTCCAGAACAGTGCATTTCATTTCAATAATTGACAGTAAATCTATAATTTGATATTCTGGTAAAAAAGTGTACACAATACAAAGTAGGACCATGGTCATGCAAGCGCATGGCACACGTAAACTTTATTGTTGTTCTATTGATTCTGTACTTTTTTAATAGATTGAACGTCTGCTACTGTTTTCTAGTATTTTCTATTTTTCTATTGTTCTCATTGTTTGAATGTCCGGTTTTTTTTTTACTTCTTGTCAAACTCATGAAAAATGCATGATGGGTACAAGTTAGTCGATGACATGAAACAAATATGACCATGGGGGAATAAATTGCTACCAATACAGAAAATGAACAATGTTTTCTCTTTAGTTATTATTGTTTACATTTATGAAATGGAAAATTTAGGCAAACAACATGCAACCTTTCATACTTTATTCTCCATAGACCCCACTTCAGAAAGTGCATGCTACTAAAGAATTGCATTACTTCATTAAAAATCTAATTAAGCAAATTGATTCCCTTCCATTTGTAACATGGAAAACTTGCGGTTGAATTATGTTTTACAAATGAAACAAATACAGTCAGTAAATCAGTATCCTTTACAAAATGTCAAGTAAGTGAAAGTATGACATTTTCATGTGTTTAAAAAAATCACTGTGAATCATGGATCCAGTCACATTTAAATTTAAGCAAATACAATGTGAAATTAAAAGGACTTCACTATGACTTTTGATGTGATGTCACTGGAAATTTTTTTTCCGAGATTTATGTACAATTTGACGATGGTTTGGACCAGCAACTTGTTTGCAAATTTTAAGGTCATTTCCCCACAACATTTTTAAAAAAAAAAAAAAATAAAAATGAAGAGTTCTGCAATGCTTTTCACTCAAATTTGGCTAAGAATCGCACAAAAAATTGATCTGTGAATATTATTTTGTTTTCCTTTGCAGAATTTTTCCATTTTAAAAGATTCAATTGATATTAATTGTTTTGTAAGATTTTCAAATTTTATACTTTTAGGCCTTAAAAGGAGCTCAGTCGAGTCCCTTTAACTAGTGTGCTTTATAATTTTAACAGACAAAATAAAAATAACTGAATGTAGAAATTAAAGAAAATATCATAATAGTAATATAAAGAGTAAAAACAAGTAAAGTGATGGTGTGATGTAGAATTAGATAGGAAAAAAACATAACTCTTTAGAATAACCGAAGGTTCAGACTCATTCATCATCTAAAAGCAACTAATCATTCCTAATCATTTTTAATGCAAATAATAAAATCCTTTTATTTTTATAAAGAGATAATGAGATAGGCTTAATCATCATTAAATAAACAATTAAAATGATGTTATGGTTATATTTCCTTTTTATAAAATTAATGTGAAATCTCACAAAGTAAACATCATTTATCATAATTAACTTAACATCTTTGCAAACAAAATAATAATTTCGTTTTATCTTCAGTGTACTTTATTTGTGTTTCCAACCAATAGAAAATTAACAAAGTATGTAAGATATCCATGTAAAATATGCATCATTATGGTGAATTATCATTGCATGTGAACACGTCTGTCTGTCTGTATTCAATGCACAATGAAGGTCCATCTGCTGCTTCAGGCACAAAAATTAACATTTTGCTATAGTGACAAACATTTGTGTAAAAAAGCATCTAAACATGTTTACAGCATGGTAATTTATTAAAGCATCTGAACATGTTTATAGAATGCTAATTTATTAATGCATCATGTTTATTTGAACATGTTTACAGAATGGTAATTAATTAAAGCATCTGAACATGTTTACAGAATGGTAGTTTATCAATGCATCTGAACATGTTTACACCATGGTAATTTATCATTGCATCTGAACATGTTTACAGCATGGTAGTTTATTAATGCATCTGAACATGTTTACAGAATGGTAGTTTATTAATGCATCTGAACATGTTTACAGAATGGTAGTTTATCAATGCATCTGAACATGTTTACAGAATGGTAGTTTATCAATGCATCTGAACATGTTTACAGCATGGTAATTTATCAATGCATCTTAACATGTTTACAGCATGGTAATTTATCAATGCATCTTAACATGTTTACAGAATGGTAGTTTATCAATGCATCTTAACATGTTTACAGCATGGTAGTTTATCAATGCATCTGAACATGTTTACAGCATGGTAGTTTATCAATGCATCTTAACATGTTTACAGCATGGTAATTTATCAATGCATCTTTATCATGTTTACAGAATGGTAGTTTATCAATGCATCTGAACATGTTTACATCATGGTAATTATTAATGCATCTGAACATGTTTACAGAATGGTAGTTTATCAATGCATGTGAACATGTTAAAATAATGGTAGTTTATCAATGCATTTGAACATGTTTACAGAATGGTAGTTTAATAAGCATCTGAATATGTTAACAGAATGGTAGTTTATCAATGCACCTGAACATGTTTACACCATGGTAATTTATCAATGCATCTAAACATGTTTACAGCATGGTAGTTTATTAATGCATCTGACCATGTTTACAGAATGGTAGTTTATTAATGCATCTATTTATAAGATGACAATGCTTTCATGCATTTGATTTTTCACTAAATTAATATGCCAAAGCATCTGAACTATTGTTTTTGGTTTAGTTTAACATCATTGCTTAATACACCACTATTTATACATGTTAACTTTTAGTTTCTAGGCTTTCTGTCTGTAATCAATTATCTGATCTTTCCAGAATGAGGGAGAGCAAGTAACCTAATAAGAGATCTGTATATACAACTTGTAACATTATTAAAGTTTGCTTGCATTAACACAAAGTAAAAGTACTTGCGTCACTGTACCACCCTCATATAGGCTGTCTCATTAAATATTAAAATCAAATTTTGTACAAAGATATATTCCTTCAAGCTACATTCAACCCTTAGATTACATTATAAGCTCCTATTCTTATCATTTAAAGCAACACATGCTATTCTTACAAAATGATGAGGTCTGTTTTAATGTTTCTGTACTTTTGCAAATCAATATTTACAGGAAACAAACAGGTAAATTTTAAAGAAATTAAGTTATTTTTGGGGACTTGTCTTAAAGTATTGCTTAATATTGATCTTTGAAAAGAATCAATCAGTTCAAATGGTTTGAGACATATTTTTAATGCCCAAAGATGTCATTTTTACACCACACCCCCTACAGTGTAAGACAGGGTCTTTCCAGCTATATTGGCATAAATTGAGAAAAATACCAAGCATTTTGGGAAATTTGAGAAATTTTAAAATTTGAAAAACTACCTAATAATTATGACTTGTATATCACTTGTAAGGCTTTTACTTTTGTGTATGATCATGTAACCTGCCATTTCTTTTAAAACATAAGTTAAAACAGATCAATTTTTCTCAGAAGTGCCAAAGATATAGAATGTACTGCAATTTCTTTTTACACAATGTCAGCACAGATAGTGATATCCAGCTCTTAAATAACTGTTCTGTGGAAATTTAGCAAAGGGACAACATCACCACAATTACTGCCAGGACAAATATTCTGGTCTAGTATTGGCCCTCATTGTAACTGATTTCTATAATTTTTAATCTGAGAAACAATCCTTACCCAAACAAAATTTGTTAAGGTGTTGGGCTTGTAAAAGAGACAGTCTGATATGACAACACCCAAACTTCTTCAGAAAAATATTATCACATCAATCATATCGAATGAGGTGAAAGGAAAAGGTGAAAAGGTTGTGGTTTAACACTGAGACATAATTACAGACATGAGGGTTGCCAGAAAAGAGTAACAGAAACTGGTAGAGAAAGTGGTGGTGTATTTGCTGCCAGTTCATCAATGATCAACTCGCCACTGATATTAGTTTTACCAGCCAAAAACTCTCTCTCACATTAAAACAATCTCTCACAGTAAAGAATGCCAAAGATTGGATTACTGAAACTTGGAGAAAAACATGAAATTTCTGTGCAATGCTCACCTGTGTAAGCACTTTTATCAGTGTTTATAAGGGCCTACTAGTAAAATAAACTATAAAACATGTTATCATAATACATAGCATTTAAGGTTCATCAGTAACTAAATAGACAAAATAAGAAAATAATGTTGAAAAATGAAGAATAGTTATATAGGGACCTCACCTGTGTAAGCAAAATTAACAACAGCAGCTAATGCATCAGGATCTACTTCTTTTATTTTAACTTCTTCCATTGACGCTTCACGTACATCATTTGTAAACATTGCCGCAAAATAGTCCGATGCAGCACTGAGCACTAATCTGTGAGCAGGAATACGGCGTTGCCCAGCAACTAACACAACGTCACAAAGAGAATGTTTTCTCACATATTCTTCCATCTTTTTCATCATCCGTTCGGCATGATTCATTGAATGAAATGCATCGCCAATGTCCTCCATCTTTGTGTTGTTAAATGTGTTTGCCGCATATGTGTGGTGGACCAGGTACCTTAAACAACACAACATTACACATTAAAAACATGTCTGGTGTAATTCAACAACACCACATTACACATTACATTATGTCCAGGGTAATTCAACAACACCACAGTACACATTAAAAACATGTCCGGTATAATTCAACAACACCACATTACACATTAAAAACATGTCCGGAGTAATTTAACAAAACATCACATGTTAACAGCATGTCTGGTGTAATTCAACAACACCACATTACATACTAACATTATGTCCAGTACTGTATTTCAACAAAACATTGCATGTTAACAGCAAGTTCCGGTGTTATTAAACAACACAACATTTCAAATTCAACATGTCCAGTGTCATTAAACGAATCTCTATATCCTTAATAACTTTATATATAATTCATAAGGTGTTACATTTCTTCTATTAGATAGAAGGCAGTGAAATCCAGTTTTGTAAAAAAGTTTTTTTAAAGTATTGACCTGGCTCTGAAAATTACATATACGCCTGAGAAAGCATGGTATTTTTTTCATGCCAGAAGGGTTTCATCTTTTATTAATCATCAATTAACTCCTGATAATTTTTTTTCTTCTTCATATCTTGCTGAATATATTTATTCCAGCAGTATGGTACCAATCACATTCCCACAAATGAAAATATTTGGAATGTAAATATCTAAGTATTTATGAAATGAAAGAGGGCTCCATGGCAAATAAAGAAGGCTTTCTGTGCCAAATTCTGTAAATCGAGGGAAAAAATCCGACAACAACATTTCTGATGGTCTGGCATCAGTTTTACACGTTTAAGATGATCTATTCAACAACATCACAAAATGATCCATTTTTGCAAGTTTCTCAATTACGTACCATTGTATATATCATTTTTGTCTGACCTCTACGAGGTACGACTTTCACAACCATACATCATACAAAGACAAGCATGTTTGATAGATTGTCTGGACATTTTGGACCACTTTTTCCCTTATATTTTTTTTCGCAACTATTTTAACTGGCCTAACAAAAACTGAATATTTCCTTTAATACTTATAGCAAACAAATTCACCATATTCAACCTGAACTGTTTCTAATTATATCAATTTCTTTGAAAAAGAAAAGGCATTTCCACACTTGATTTAGATGCTTACAGTAATTATACATCATTGTTTTTTATACATACTTTAAAATAGCCTACTGTTTGATAACTTGAACTTCATTAAAATTACTTTAACCTATATCATTTAAGATACTAGAAGCAAAGTAGAGAATAACACCATTATAAAAATCAAATAAGTTTATCAAGTACATAAAGTACATGATTTAACATTTAATTTTTTTTTCATCACATAAAACAGACCCATCATAGACAATACAACAGTGCAAACAATAAATGGGCAGTGACAAAGGAATCAGACAAACATTTGTTTTAACATATGTTTAAAATGACAATCTGATAGATGTAATGATGAACCTAGTTTATATGCTAATATCAGTAATATAGCAAGGCTTGTTAGCTGTGACAATTATCATAAACCACATGTAAAATATGACACTTACATAACATAGAATTTACTCTTTGACACAATCATGTGAACCACAAAACAAACTGAAACCTTTCAGTGTGCACTGACAATAACTGAGAAATTAAAACATAGTTTTAGTGAAAGGAAATCATTTAAAGCAAAACTCAACAGTAAGAATATGTTAGGACAAAAAGGGCAATCATAAACTTTGAGGTATTGTGATGCGGTGGTGAGAAAGGATTAAAATCTACATAAGGTTGAGGGATATAATTGACAAGCATAGAAAAGCATGTCATATGTCACTCAACATTATAGCTCATTTAGAAACGATGATTAACAATTTAAGTTATAATAAATGGCTTCAGTCAATGACTTAAAAACAATTAAACAACTAGGGAACACTTATCTTTATCATCAAAGACAGCATTAAAGTTGATCACGGCTCTTTTACCCAATTTTCTTAACAATTCTGTAAGTACTTTTTAATGATTGAGTAACGTTGGGAAAAGGTATATATATTCTATACTTTATTATATATACAAGTATTTACTTAGTCATAATTCTGTCAGGGAAAATCAGCAAACAGTTGCCGTACTTCTTTCATCCTTTCTTCACTTCAAAAAACCAGACAGGTTAATATAAATAATTTCACAGTGCACTTGTAATCATGGGAAATGGACTCGAAACTAGTAAAAACTAGAACTGCCACTATCATGGCTTGAATACCCCCGCATACCACTTTGTCAGAATCAACAGTGGCCATTTAGAGCTCAAGGACAACCTCCCTGCAAAATCTGAGGTTATGCCAGTGCATTGCTAAGTTATGTATTCTACATGCTTCAAATGTGAAAATGTCAAAATCAATAAATTGCGGACAGGACATTCTTTAGCAATTGAGAAGAAAAGCTTTTTTTTGTCAAGGTCCCTGTGACCTTGACCTTTGACCCAGTGACCTCAAAATCAATAGGGGTCACCTTATAGTCATGATCAACATCCATGCCAAATATGAAGACTGTGGGTCAAAGGAATCTTAAGGAGTGGACAAACTTTTTGAAGTCAAAGTCCCTATGACCTTGACCTTTGATCCAGTGACCTCAAAATCAAAAGGGTCATCTACTAATCATGATCAACATCCATGACAAATATGAAGACTGTGGGTCAAAGTAATCTAAAGTTATTGGGCAGACAAACTTTTTAAAGTCAAAGTCCCTGTGACCTTGACCTTTGACCTGGTGACCTCAAAATCAATAGGGGTCATCTACTAATCATGACTAACCTCCATGCCAAATATGAAGACTGTGGGTCAAAGGAATCTTAAGTTATTGGGCGGACAAGCTTTTTGAAGTCAAGGCCCCTGTGACCTTGACCTTTGACCTGGTGACCTCAAAATCAATAGGGGTCATCTACTAATCATGATGTACCTCCATGCCAAATATGAAGACTGTGGGTCAAAGGAATCTTAAGTTATAGGGCGGACAAGCTTTTTGAAGTCAAGGCCCCTGTGACCTTGACCTTTGACCTGGTGACCTCAAAGTCTATAAGGGTCATCTACTTATCATGACTAGCCTTCATGTCAAATATGAAGACTGTGGGTCAAAGGAATCTTAAGTTATTGGGCGGTCAAGCTTTCTGAAGTGAAGGCCCCTGTGACCTTGACCTTTGACCTGGTGACCTCAAAATCAAAAGGGGTCATGTACTAATCATGACTTACCTCCATGCCAAATATGAAGACTGTGGGTCAAAGGAATCTTAAGTTATTATGCGGACAAGCTTTTTGAAGTCAAGGCCCCTGTGACCTTGACCTTTGACCTAGTGACCTCAAAATCAATAGGGATCATCTACTAATCATGACTAACCTCCATGCCAAATATGACGACTGTAGGTCAAAGGAATCTTAAGTTATTCGGCGGACAAGCTTTTTAAAGTCAAGGCCCCTGTGACCTTGACTTTTGACCTGGTGACCTCAAAATCAATAGGGGTCATCTACTAATCATGACTAACTACCATGCCAAATATGAAGACTGTGGGTCAAAGGAATCTTAAGTTATAGGGCGGAAATGAAAAAAACGACGGCCGGACGGACGGCCGGACGGACGGCCGGACGGACAAGCTGATTCCAGTATACCCCCCTTACAACTTTGTTGTGCGGGGGTATAAAAATCATATTTACCAAACATCTGGAAAATCTTATACAACTGTTAATTTTTCTTAGAATATATAACTAAGCATTTCTCAGAAAATACCACCTCTGGGAAACTCTCCACTTGAACAAAAAAACGTACAACACTCCTTTATTGTCTGTAACTTATTATCTCCACATTGAAGAACCACAAAAACCTTATCTCCAAAAACTGAAGAGTATTCAAATTGTAAACAGTGTTTTACAGTATCAGTTTTCAACATCATGACTTCTGAAATGTAATGATATGATTACAGACAACTGTTTTCAAATTTATTTGACTTGTTTATAAATTATTTTACTGCCATTTTCTGCACAAGATCACAATATGAGCATTAATTTTCTGTAATTCACCATGACATAAAAGTAGAATGCTAGCATGAGCTCAGCTTGACACCCTGATAATGTCAGTCTTATCTCTACAAACCATGCCTTCATTTTCTCATAAATTAATTTCATTTTGTCCCATGAAAATTTGACAACTTCATCCTAATGGATAATATCTGTCTACAATAAAATTACATTCTTGAAATATGGACAATTTTTCCCTGAAGGAAAAAAAATAGTGCAAACATAATAAATTTGAAGGAATAATTTTGTTAATTTAACATCTAAAGAAAATGTCACTATAACAAAATTTTTGGTGATGCAAAATCTTAACAATTTTCTTAACACTTCAACTATTTCATTATGCATTTTCTAAAATAGCTTCAGATCTAAAAATAAACTCTAAGCCCTTATTAATTGAAGTTTAATTGCTTTGAGAGCATATAAAAGTAAGCTCACCGCTGTTTGTTAAAATTTAATATCTGTATTTTATGATACATCCAATTTTAGTGCACCACTATCCTCTATAATATAAGTTCCCTTGTTAAATGATGAACAGAATCTTAGATACTTAAAGCTTGTGACAATAGTTTTATTTGCTTTAAAAGAATATATCTGTCAAGGTCATACATAAGGAGGATTACATATACTATGATATTAAGAGACTGTAACAATAAGAGTTGCTTTTTTCTTTCTCCCATCATTGTTTAAAGATCAGACTTCATTGCCTTTGTCTCGTATAACCTTTATACTATACAATGTCTGTGTCAATTTGTATTGCACTTTTTTCCCCTTATCTATATGAAATGTGATGATATTTTGTCAAATGAATAACTATGTTTTATCTGATTTAATAATTGTTTTTTTTTATATATGATAATTACGAAGCTTGCATTTTTTTATGTAACTTGTACTTGCATCAAAATTTTTACTTTATCTCTTCTTTTTTTTACAGTATTCATATATGATTTATTTAGGCGTCAAACTGCATGGCTATGAAGAATTTTTGTATATTTATTTGTAAAGGTTTCTAAGCTACATTTAAGCATAAATTAAAGCCATGTATTGAGATTGTTTAGATAACAAACTGAGTCATCATTTCTCTTATCTATTACATGACCTTTTATTTGTTTGTAGTCTGATTTATCATTAACTATTAAATTATTCAAAAGCTACAAAAAGGCACTAATATTCAATATATGCAAGAACTGCATAGAGCTATCATTTTGAAGGTAACCAATTATATCAATAAAAAATTTCTTTTTCAGGACACAGTGCTGTAATAAATTTGTATTATTACCTCCCTTTAAACACAAAAATCAATGTGTATTACCTCCCTTTAACCCACAAATCAATGTCACAACTGCCCTTTAGCACTTTTAATTTACATTTCTATAAGAAAAATTTTTATTGGTGAAAAAATTCAATATATTTACAAATGTTAATTAAGTTGTGTTGGTAAACAATTAATACAATCAAACGCAGGTATAATGGAGCGATTGTTATCAGCATTAGTTGATCAATGGCAGTCAGCTGATCTCCATCAAACTTCAAACAACAGATTCTTATCAGTTAATAATCACCTATTTCACTTTTTCTCCAGTTTTGTTTGCATTCAAAACATCAGGGGTGTCTGATATCTCCAGTCTGGAGTTCCATTACAAAAATAAGAAGCAGAGATTTATTGTATCTTTCAACTTTGATAAATAAAGCACTTAATCTTAGATTTTTATTTCCCTCTTAAAATGCAATTAAGAAATAATATTTGAAAATGTAAACACTATTTTGAAATGTAATGAAGTTGGGAGTTCTAAATTACAATCAGTTTTATTTTCCACTTCTGCAACTCTAGACTATTAAATATAGACATAGTTAAATACTGTTTACAATTTAAATATCCAAGACATGCTATCATATTGCAAATTATTCTTTGTCATGATAGTTGAAACAGTACTTAAATCATTATTTAGGAAACTTGTCCATTAAAATATATAACTCATTTTACATTTAATTTGAGTGACAGCTACACTGAATGTCATCAGATTGTTTATACTCCCACAATTCAAAGAAAATTTCCAAGCTTATCACTAATCTCAACTATTCAAACAATCCATCAGGTAAGTAGTTGTTGGTGTGAAACCTTGTATGCAGGTGGTTTTACTGGTAGGGTTAATTAAAAAAAAGGTCATACCAATGACCCTTACACTAGATGTTATTCACTGGGTCCCCCAACATTAATGGGCTATGATCAGCCTGTCATGTCAATGTGGCAGCATTACCAAGTGGTTACCACAGCACACTATAAGGATCACTAGTCCAGAGGGTTCAAACTTGTTTGAAACTTCATACACCTATTGCTCATTAAATTTTACACTGGTTGATTCCAGATAGGGATTTGAAAGTGTGTCTATAAACTTATAACTTCCTACATAATCAAATTAAAATAAATCCTGTATAATTAAACTAATGAATCTTCATGTATCTACATGACAATTCTGTTTGGAAGCATTTTAAATCTAGACAGCTACAGAAGGCCAAATTCAATCTTAACACTGTACAAGGAGCCACTAAAATCCATTACAAATATTATTATTAACATAAGCCAAGTTGATTAGCCCTACAGTCTGGCATTTTCACTTACTTCAATAATGATTTAATGACTGAACAAGACATTATGAATTTAAAAAGTAATTACATGCTACATATTCTAATAAAAATATAAATGAAAGGTGCTCCTTGGAGATGGAACATTTTGTTGCTGATGTAAATTGCAGCAGTTTGTAGGGATGTTCTTTTATTGTGAGAGTTCTTATACATGTATTTATTTTGCTCTATGATTAAGGCAGTTTGTTTTATATGTAATATTTAAATAATTCTTAACAAGAATGATGGTGTTCAGTTTTCTGAATGATTTGGGCTATATAACAGATTTATTTTTATTTATAATGAGTTTAAAGAGCCACTTTGCCAGTACTTCAATCATACACTGGCTGACAGTTACTCACTAAATTCACTAACATCTCATTTCCATGCATGTAACTGTCAACTTCTCCTCACAAAATAGTGGTGGAGAACAAACGACCCAATCAAATCATACTGTTGCACACAAAATTTTTAATGAAACATCTTAATCACTTGTATGAAAGACCAATTAAAGACTTGAAGATCTTACATAGGGCAGGTCAAAAGCCTTATATATCTTGAATTTAATAATATAACAGAAGATATTACAGATTATATAAATATAATGTATTCAAGAAACTGCATATGTATTTCATCAAGACTGATATATTATTATGCATATACTTTTTTATGATAATTCATGAAAGTATCACACAATAGTAATGTTAGTGTCCTTGTGTACGTTTTTAAAAGTATAAAAAGGGGCTATAACTCTGATAATATGTAATCAATGAACTCAAGTAACTTATATTATATATATACACCTACAGCTGTCAGTACTAACTAGTTCATAACACTTCAATGCTTTACATTACACAGAAATACCAGTGAATCAAAGTACTTGACATTGAAGAAATTTGAAAAATATATCTATTGATCGATCTTTTAAGTTTTATTGGTATTTTTCTGGCTTAGCCAAAGGATTTGTGCTCATTTGAAACAAAGATAATGAGTAATAAAATAATAATTCTATGAAACACGCTCAAGTTATTTTATTTTTAGTGTTGTCTACAAAATGCCATAAATGATGGTTTTTTTTATGAAAATGATTACTTTGTACATATTTTTTAAGGTTTTTTTTTATGCCTATACATACATAGCATCAAGTTATAATTGTTACCCACAGATATTTGACTTCTTCAAGGCATATCATATGCATTAGTAGAATTAAACAATTACATATGAAAAAGTGAAAAAATTCAGCACATAAAGACATGATAGGAGCTAAGGTTAACTCTGAACAGACATTTTGGGTTCTGAGTTTAAGACAGATGGACAAGGACTATATTCCATTGCCTCTGGTAGGGAGCTTGATATTGCTATCTTTTCAATATCCATATAAACTTTATTATGATAAAACATAATGTCACCATAAAAAAACAGAAAAGAATTAGGCCACTAAAACAGAACATAATTGATATTATAATCCAACATAAACCATTGTCTCAATGCTTAACGTAAAAAAGTTCTTTGTCTTTATTCTAAACGTAAATAAGTATTTACTATATATTAAGTGTAGACAATCAGACAGGATAAGTGTATTAAGTATATAATATAATTCAAATATTGTCATCATTAAACTATGTTAAGAGGTAATATATATAGAAATAGTACAAATTATTATACTCTAATCCTCAATAGTTTTATATAGTCACTTATACAGAATAATTCAATAGTAGAAACACTATTTACTAGTATGACACAAGTAAACAAAGACAAAATGTAAATAAAGTTAATCTAACCCATAATTCTATTCATATATAAGCTGAGATCAAAGGAAAAGCCTGTTATAATCTCACAAAATCCAAACGGATTAAACTTTTAACATTTCCTACTGAGCAAATTTTATTGAGGAAAAAAAACAACAAACAGCACATGTCGCGATGTATAAGTACAATGACTGAAAAAACATGCATTTAAACAACTCGGATGGGATTAAATGCTTGATTTTATGTCTCTTTCAAACAAGAGAAATATACCTCTGATTTGTATGATAACATACAAAATGCATTTGAATAAGCTGTATGACATATGGTGTAAAATTACAAAATTACCATCTTCTGTAGCTAATTGCTAAAGAAGCATCGTTAATGTCGGGTCCAGATCTTAATTTCAATGAGAATACAAAATGTTTTAAATATGATCCTTTAATTTTAAATCATGCAGCAAAATATTCTAGTTGATGCAATTTTTTATCATCCAATTATGCTAAAAACTCCAGTCCCTTTTTTTGACAATTCATGAATTAATTGAGCCAAGTAACTATTTTTATAAATATTTTTATTTTATTTTACTAACTAATTGTATGTGGCAAATAATCTGAGATAAATAATATATCTTTCTGCAAATATTAAACTTCTATTGTCCTAACTTGAAATTCAAAAATAAATTAAAAGTTAAAATTGGCAGAAATTAAATTTTTTCCAACTGAAGAAGCTTGAGTATTAAAATGGAGACATAATATGACATTTTAAATAATTGTGTTTATGGGTTTATGAAATTGTCACTTAATTACTAGGCAATTTAAAGATCTCTTCAAATTTATATTAATAAAACAGAATAGGAAACTATGAAATCAGCTTTAAAAAAAAATTACTTTAGGTGAAAATTTACACTTATTTCCAGTTTAATACTTTTGATAATTTGATAAAATTTTACCTGCAATATGACTGAGACATTTTCTTCTTCTTCCACAGCCTCATTGAGTTTACTGCACGAGATATCCGAGCACATGAAAACACTGAATCTAGCACCATTCACAATATAATATCCTTCCCAAGTTAATATACTAAAACTGGTAAAACTAGTCAAAACATTATATTTCCCTGCAGTCTGTCAACACCAAACTAACAAAATTTATTTTATATATAACAAGAAAATACAACTTATTTAGTCTTACACATAAATACAATTTTGCAATTATTAACACCAGACTTTTTGACTATCACACCTTGCTTTCATTTATTTCAAAATTACTTTTTCCCTTTTCTGTAATACAGTATAACAACACTTCAATTATGTAAAATAATTTCTTTCCTCTATACTGGAAACAATCTTTGTTTTCTCCATTATTTTCACTATATTTTTTGTCAGAAGTCATAGATTATTTTCTCCCCTGTTCACAATCAATTAAATTACAATCTACTTCTAATGAACAGGTTATTTTTGAATAAGTAATAACTGAACTAATTCATGCGGAAAACAGCTTTTTGCAAAGAATTAATCACCATATTGTTATAAAAAAATAACAACCTCCGAAAAATAATTAATGTTTTTCTTTCTTCAATTTTTAACTACATGAAAAACATCTATGAAAATGTTTGCCAATCGTTATTAAACAATATTATATTCAAGTCAAGTTGTCCATTTTGTAAAGCATTTTCACTGAAGCACTTGTTTTCTACAATTAGTCTAAGAATCTAGAAAAGCTATTGCTTAAAGGTTTACATTATATTTTCTATTTTCTGCCACTGTAACTCTCAGTTTCCGTTATTTAATCACACTGTACGCTGATGTGAGCAGATAAAATAGAAGCAACTGTTTCCAGCGATCTCTGAGATCTCGTAAGCAAAGTCCCAACAACAAAATTAAAATGTCACCAACTTTAAAACTTAATAATCAATAAAATAACAGAGATTAAAATCTTATCTGAAAAACAATCATTTTGAAAAAGGCTATCCCTTTCATCACAAAATAAAAACTTTCAAAAATCTCAGCGAGTTAAAAAAAACTATTGGTTTCTCCGGAGTCTATCCTAATAAACAACCAATTCATAACATCTCATAAGTGTTTCTGAAGCTGCCAAGTGAAATGTTCCGCAGGGCTCCCGCAGTGAGCAAATTAGAAAATGTCACTGGGAGGAAAAAAATACTGAGCTTGAAGTAAGTATCACCAAGCCTTAAACATATCAAAATTAAACAGTCGTACATGTTCTAACTCCATGTGGCATCTTTATTACACAGTTTTACTCTATTATCACAAAACCTCCACTTCAATTCATAATTTTTTCCAATCAAATACAAGTCATGTTTTTCTGTTTTATCAGCATTATCATTTATGTTGTATTTCCCATTTAAATATCAAATAATAGATTTTCTCATGAACTACACAATATTTTTTTTTATAATTTCAATTTGCTGTACTTTTAAAAATAGCAAGTTAACATTAACAACATATTTAATATTATTTCACTCCACGCTCAATGAACTTAAGCTACCAAATGAACCATGGTATATCCGACTGATCAAGTTTTACTGTTAGACAGCTGTTAACAGAGCCATAAAACATGTCACAACTTCAAATCACAGTTACAAATAATCTCTACAACAACACTACCTCAATACAACATGCATGTCATAATTCAACTTTCCCTACAATTATTTTATAATTCATTATAATTTAATTCCCTAAAAAAAAAACACTTGAAGCATGAACGACATAAAAAAAAATTAAAATCTTTCAAGCATCATTTTGTAAAACTTGTTCATCATTAGGCTGATTCTAAAATAATTTGCAAAGGTTTTAAAAGGCATAAACGTTTTAAAAATTAGCATCATTGATTTTAGATAACAATAACTTTTGAGGAACAGAATACTTGGTAATAATTACGTTTGTAACTTCATTAATATGTCGACCCTTTTTGGACTACTGAATTGTTTTAAAATAGCGAACTGCTATTTACTGTTAATTTCTAGCATCCCTTGAAAATCAAAATTAACAGTCAACTGCACAATATTCTTTTGAAAAAATTTGGTTGTTTTTTTCTTCTTTTATAAAGGTATGAAAGAACTACTAACTAGACAGAAAGACTTTGGTTTTACCTGGCAATAAGCAGGCCCCTGGAACTGTGACCTTTGTCTTGATGTTTTAACCTTTATTTCTCTCTGCTAGTCTTCAAGCTGTCTCTTGAACATTGTTTAATCAATTAAACACAGATGTTATATTCAGTTATTGATTATGAAACCTTTTCATACCTGAGTGTCAGATGTTACTGGAATATTTCCTTTAACAGGTGACAGCCAGCCACAAACTAAACTGATGCATGCTTCTCCATTGATTTAAATTGTCATCTCACAATGGTCTTGTGCTAGTCTTTGTTATTTAGGACCTGAGTGTCACTGTCTTGTCATACCAGGCTAGCCAACCCTCTTATTCTTTATGAAGACTTATACACTCATTAGAAAATCAAATCTAGATTTGAGTCTGACAGAAGTGTAGGCCAATTTACTCTAAGATTGATATGTAGATGCAAGCACTTAGAGCTTGTAGAGAACAGGTCAATAGTGGTACAGCACATGACATGTCAATACTGGTACAACAATTAACAGGTCAATACTGGCACAGCACATGACATGTCAATACTGGTACAGCACATGACATGTCAATACTGGTACAACAATTAACAGGTCAATACTGGCACAGCACATGACATGTCAATACTGGTACAGCACATGACATGTCAATACTGGTACAGTACATGACAGGTCAGTACTGGTTACAACAATTAACAGGTCAATACTGGCACAGCACATGACATGTCAATACTGGTACAGCACATGACATGTCAATACTGGTACAACAATTAACAGGTCAATACTGGCACAGCACATGACATGTCAGTACTGGTACAGCACATGACAGGTCAGTCCTGGCACAACAATTAACAGGTCAATACTGGCACAGCACATAACTGGTCAGTACTGGTTCAGCACATGACATGTCAATACTGGTACAAAAATTAACAGGTCAATACTGGCACAGCACATAACTGGTCAGTACTGGTACAGCACATGACAGGTCAATACTGGCACAGCACATAACTGGTCAGTACTGGTACAGCACATGACAGGTCAATACTGGTACAGTACATGACAGGTCAGTACTGGTACAACAATTCACAGGTCAATACTGGCACAGCACATAACTGGTCAATACTGGTACAGCACATGACAGGTCAGTACTGGTACAGCATATGGCTGGTCAGTACTAATACAACACATGACAGGTCAATACTGGTACAACACATGGCAGGTCAGTTCTGGTACATCACATGACAGGTCAGTACTGATACAGCACATGACAGGCCAGTACTGAAACAACAAATGACAGGTCAGTACTGGTACAGCACCTGACAGGTCAGTACTGATACAACACATGATAGGTCAGTACTGGTACAACACATGACAAGTCAATACTGGTACAACACATGACAGGTCAGTACTGGTGAAACACAAGCCAGGTAAGCACTGGTAAAGCACATGACAGGTCAGTACTGGAACAACATATGACAGGTCAGTACTGTTACAGCACATGATAGGTCAGTACTGAAACACCACATGACAGGTCAGTACTGGTGCAAAATATGACAGGTCAGTACTGGTATAGCACATGACTGGTCAGTACTGGTACATCACAAGAAAGGTCAGTACTGGTACAACACATGACAGGTGAGTACTGGTACAGCACATGAAAAACCAGTACTGGTACAGCACATGGCAGGTCAGCACAGGTACAGTACAGCACTTAACTGGCCAGTGAAAGTACAACACATGACAGGTCAGTCAAGGTACAGCACATGAAAAACCAGTACAAGGATACAACATGACAGGTCAGTGCAGATTAAGTACCTGGCATGACTGTATAACACATGACAGCTCAGTACAGATGTGACACATGACAGGTCAGTGCATTTGTATAGCACATGACAGGACAGTGTAGGTACATATACAGCACATGACAGGTCACCACTGGAACAGCACATAACAGGCCAACACTAGTACAGCACATGACTGGTCAACACTGGTACAGCACATGACAGGTCACCGCTGGTACAGCACATGACAGGTCACCGCTGGTACAGCACATGACAGGTCACCGCTGGTACAGCACATGACAGGTCACCGCTGGTACAGCACATGACAAGTCAAAACTGGTACAGCACATGACAGAACAGTACTTAAGTACAGCTTACAGGCGATATTACTAATAGTGTAACTGGCTGCCTGTTTGCCATTAAGCCATTGATATAAAATGTATCACTTTCAAACAAAACCAACAAAAGCATGATCAGATATCTGTACAATACTTTATTTTCAAATTAAGATATTGGTGATTTATCATATCTGACATTTACTGTAAGGATACCATAACTTCTGAACTTATGAGAACAACCATTGATGACTTTTTGTATAATTTCATTGAAAAACTGCTATGTAATAATGTGTCAACCTTTTCACAAAGTGTCATATGAACATAACAAACTACTTTTCAGCTGAAAATGCTTTGTGACTGATTTTTTTCCCTCCATAAAACTAAATTACAACAATCAGTTTTATGAATAATTGTACTTTAAGTAACCCTTCCGTAACTGAATCAGCAGTTTTCATCATTGAATAAGTTTATGACACTTATTGTGTACTAAGTGGCACAATTTGTTTTGGTATGATCCATGAACAAGGATGACTGCAGTTTGCGTTACAATGTGAAAAAAACACACAAAAATATGTGAGTGGAAAGGAAATTGTGCCCACATTTCACATACAGTGAATGGTTTAAATCTGTCAATAGTTTATTTGTTTGCTTTCCAAAATCAAGATTAAACTTGAGCTAAATTGTGTTCACCAATAAACAACTTTAAATATGAGTTCATATAACTATACACTCCTGGGAACAGTAAAAGTTATAAATTTCAATTTTTTGGGGTCGGGATTATTAATCCATTATTGATCCTAATTCAACCAATAGTGTTACATTTGTACTTATCATTTTGTAAGATTTTTTCAAGATCTGGTGGGTTTTTTTTTTGTTTTTTGTTTCTTGAAAGTGATTATCGGCAGAAATAATATCAAAGAAAATACTATGTCTTCTGGTGGGTGGCTTTTTTATTTAAATCTAAACGAAGCATAAATAACATCAGTCACTTGTGAAGACATTTGTGAGACTGTAAAAACGAAAAATACCATGTGACCTAAAAGATATAGGTTTTTTTTAAATTATTTTAAGTTTTTTGTGTGTGTTCTTTTATAAAATCAATGTTGAATATTTTCAAAACATTGATTAAAGTGATATAGATTGAAGAGAAAATAGACATCATAAGAATTATATGGATTGGAATATTTTAATAGACCGTAATTACAGGATCTCTTATTCTCCTAATTATGCAAATTTAACATGCAAATGTAAAATTCATTGATTTTTGTGCACAGATTAATCTTTGACATTTTGCAGCTGTTTCAGTAAATATACTGGTTATAATAATTGCACTGGATTTATCATTGTCATTAAATCATAATTACCCTTAGTGTTTGAAATTATTTTTTGTCCTATAGGATTGCAGTATTTCAAATGAATCGTAACACATTTACTTCGGTAAATCGGCAAACTGTTAATCAGTCAAGTAAATCGACTGTTTGTAAAAATAATTTAAAACACTAAGCTGGTTAAAATTAATTAGTACATTTTTACAAATTTAAATTGGTTGCGCGGCTGTGCCATGCCTGACCAATTTTATTTTGTAACAAGAGCTGTCCGTAAGACAGCGCGCTCGACTTTTTTAGTGCTTGCCTATAATACAAAACATTGACAGTTAAGGGCCATAATTCAAATAAAATCTTTGACAGAATTACCTTCTCCTGGACATGTTTGGGAATCATGATTGTAAACAAGTATTCCAACTTTCAAATTAATATCTCAAACAGTTCAGTCAAAAAGTGGACTGGTACTAAAAACTTAACCAAGATTCTAAGTCGATAAAAGGCCTTAATTTTTAAAACAAATCCTTGACAGAGTTACCTTCTCTTGCGTACAGATGGGGGTAATGATGTGAAATAGCATTAAAAGTTTCAAAGCAATATCTCAAAGGGTTAAGGCAATAAGTGGATTTTACCCATATTCAATGTATTTTCTAAGTCAAAAAGGGGCATAATTCTGTCAAAAACCTTGACAGAGTTATGTCCTCTTGTCTGTTGATGAAGGTCGTGATGGTAAACAAGTATGGTCAGTTTCAAAGCAATACCTCCAATGGATTTGAAATAAAGTGAGGTGGTACAAAAAACTTAACCAAGCTCAATACAC